AAATTATGACCAATCCAATGAAACTCTACATCCGCATCGAAGTTTCAAGTAGCAGAAAGTTTCGGTGGTCAATGTTACAAGGTTCGTTATAGTAATCGAAACGAAGATGTCAGTTTCATGAAAATATCTTTACTAATTGAATATACCGGTGTTCAAATTTGCTCGCGCACTTCAAAATGTTACAGTAGTTCTCGATTTAGATCTCGGTGTGCTTTGTGCTAAGATCTCCCATATCGTGATAAAACGATTGTTTGAATAGCTTTGTCCAAACCACTACAATAGGTCACGCAATAAGGTTTCACCGTGTGGCAACGAATATACGGCTGGGTAACCATCAACATTAATAACGCATTGTCCGCTTCAGTGGCTAAGTTATGAATGGTGGGTGACCTTTATTCCCTCGGGGTACCGGGGACTGGAATCGGAGACTAGCGTGGCTAGTCTCACTCTCATGCAAAGGTCACTTCCGAATGTTTAAAAACCATCCCCCATATATCTTTTGACAACTGCGAATGTTGTTCAATTCATTTTTTTTCGTTGCCGGTGTTCAGGCCGACCATACCGGGGTCGAGCGAATGCAACGGACGATTTTTAAATTTATTTTCTGAGAGTGTGCAAAACTCGAAAATAAAAAAATTCATTGTAGCCTACATCAACAGATTACTAAGCCTTTTCTTCGAATTTTTTTTTTTTACACAATAATAGAAATCGCACCCACACGCTATGACAGTCATAAAGCATACATTTTGATTCAGACTATCACCGCAGCCAATTTATTTTTATTTTTTTTTAATTTTTGGTTAGCCCACTTCCTCAGAGCTACTTAACATCATTAAAACTTTTCTTCCACAGACCCATGCTAAGGACGTGTGTGCGTGTGTGTATCCTAAATGCGTGGCCCCTATTGCAGTGAGTTGCGGGGCCTACAACATCCGGAAAACCGACTACATCTAGGAACAGACGTTCCTCACAAACTTGAAGTTGATAGTCCAACACATGGTGGGTGTTCGGACGTCTTTCCGTCTTGGCTTAGCCGGGACATGTCGGGCTTATCGAGCGGGGGAGGATAGAGTGTTGCGGGGTTTATCTAAAAGGTTTAACTGGCTATACGTACATGGATTCCCTTACGGGCTTGGAGGTGTGTTTGAACAAATGTTTACGGTACCGCGTGAAATTTGCGGGCTGTTTCCAAAATACGCGCACCTTTTTTTTCTCATGTATCAGTAATCAACATGTGCTAGGATAGTGGGCAAAATGATTGCAAAATCTGACGTGACCTTTTCAGAAAAATGAGCTCTTGTAGTAGCGGAGAGCCTTTTCAGATGCTTAAACGACTGATTTTCCAAGACGAAATCAACCCAGATTAGATTCATTCATATACGTTGTGTGCATTATGCCAAACAAAGTGTATAAATAATGATTTTTTTCACCGAGTTTTTTCTTCTTTTTCTTTGTCTTTCACCGGATATCTTGCCATAAAGATTCACTTCACGAGAGAAGATATTTTAACCATTACAGCTCGGAAAAAGAACAAAAAAAATCTTCTCTGTATTGTTTTGTTCTTGAGGAATAAAGTGGTTCTGTCAAAAATTGGAATTGGATTCGATGAACTCGCTGCACAAGATATTGCCTTTGATTATTAAATCACTTTCGCCATTTCAACGTAAGACCAGATACAAGCAAACGGGAAAAACACGACGGTAATGAAACTGAGAGAAAATTAATTGCCTTTCAAAGTGCAGGGGCTGAACGACGCACTTTGAACATCGTCGGCTATCACAGAAATACACACATTTATGGCTACTACATGTGTTTATCTATGTGCAAAAGACCAGCACAATTTCGATTTCATTGACATTGTTCGAAAAAAATGCTGACGTATGGGTTGGAGGTATAATATTTATTAGAAGGTAAAAACTTTACACGGGAAACGGCTTTAATATACTCGGTACCTCAATGCGATAACTACGAGCATTGTACAGCGTTTTTATGTGTTCATGTTATTATACTTGATTAATAACTTTGAACAACTACAAGTGTAAATCGACAATAATTACGCAGCTAAGTTGATAGTTCTATTCGTTTTGTGAGATATAGGCCTACTTGGGGAAATCCGAAAAGGCTACGACCATATTTTTGAAAAGTTTCACACATGAAAATTCACAGACATAGCTCTCATTTTCAAAGTGAATTAAATAAAAAAGATTGCGAATGAAGTGCAATATGTGTAACCACAGGACAAGTAAATGACCGTACGTGGAAAGTTGATTATGGAGATGAAGAATTATTTTGCTGGGTCGACTGACGATCATTGTTTGCAACAAATTTGCTCACCTGATTATTATTCATCATGTTTCAAATCAATAAATCAAATTGACACTCAATTTAAAACCTAAATCTGTTTGACATACGTAAAACTTTTTCAGCCTTCATTCTTAGGAACACCGCAAACGAATACTCTAGTTTTCGTTCCTGTTCTTGCAGCAAACTGCTGTCAAAGCGCCCTAAATGTTACTCCCTACAAACCCGTGCGTGCTGCTCACAGAATGTCCCGCTAAATCCAGCGGGCCTCTATGTTATCCAGCATCGGTACGCGAGCATTTACCCCGTGTTTTCACGTCAAACCAATCCTACGTGAGGGACAATTATGCCGGAGGGTTAGACCGAGAAACCTCGTGACCTCTCGGAAACCTTAGCCGAGGGTGACGTTCACGATCTTGACCTTAAAAGAAAGAGACAGGCGTTCGGGGGAAAGGGTGTTGGTAAATGTTTTCATATCACACCGCCGCTTTTTTTGTGTCCAAGGAATGGTTATGGAACGTTGAAGATATTTGGACCTGATTTTCGTTGGGAAGTATGATAGTGAGGAGAATTTGTTGCTGTCGGTTTGATGATGAGATTCATAGGAATCCCCGATCGTTTAGAACAATCACGATCAATCTTGAAGGCTACACCGTTAGAAGCACACCATGTATAATAAGCCTGATTAACGTCATTACCTAACGTGTTGCTCCTCCCATCAGCTTGAACATCAAATTATCCCAGCTTAGATGTAGAAATCAGCTGTTTGAAATGAAACGTTTAAAAGAAAATGTAAACTTTTTCCTTCATGACGCATAAAACAGACAAGACACACACTCTCTAAATTCCGAAGAGTGAAAATTCACTCCATTTGAGTGAAGATTCACTCCCACAATCGGAAACTAGGGACTACACGTTTTAGAGTGAAATTCCTTCAATCGTAAAGATCGAGTTTTCCCGAGCTTCGTCTGAGGTGTTTCTTTTTCAGACTTTTTCAATGTAAATGAGAGTGATTTTCACTCGAAAACGTCTATCCCTAATTTCACTCTTTGGAATTTAGAGAGCAAGCAAACGACACACAAGCAGAACCTAATCAAGTTCTTTTTTTAGTTTTAGGGTGACAAAGTAGTTCAGTATTGCGGCCATCCTCCGGAAACAAATCACACAAGGCTCAATTACTATGATTCGTTTACTAAATGTAGAACTGATAAATTCAATTCAATTCAATAGACATTTATTTCCATACACTGCAGAGAAAATAGACAAGGAATAATAATAGGTCAGATAATTAATCAAATATACGGAGGCCAAATATAAAGTATGCATGTTCGGTACCGTGTGACTTAATTCAGCCTGCTATGAATTTCTCCTTGCTGTAGCCGGATCGAACAAAATAACGCTCTCAATTGAGTTCAGAATGAAACGCATTTTCGGTAAATTAACCACCAAAAGAGAATCAGTTTCTGTCCAAGTACTAATTCAACGAAAAGATCTATATACATACTCATTTCTGCTTGCTTAATCATATATGTTTCGCGAACCAACTTTTTTGTTCCTAGAAGCCAACTTATTTTGAAATAGATAAGACGAATCGAAGACGTAAAGAAATGAATAATTTTCTTCACGTGCGAATTGGTGCTTTAATGATTGCCATGAATAGAAACCATTCAAAAAGACTTTTTAAAGCCTGATAAGTTATCCAACTACGTGTATGTCCTACTTATTAACGAACCATTGCTGATTAATCTCGTGGAAACTGAGCGTGAATCCGTAACTTAGATAAAGGTTGGATTGTTCACAAAATTAACAATCAATTATAGTTTTCAAGAGTGAACGTGAATTATAATAAAATTCTGCCCGAAGCACAATTATTACCTTATAATAATTAGGTTGGAATCACATTCTAACAAACTTACCTAATAAAATGAGAATCGACCATTATTCTTTGTGATTTACAAGGGGCTTTCCTAGTTTTGTCAGCTCTACGACAGATTTTGTGAGAAAACGAAGTTCCCCGAGATTATTTTCAAACGATCAAAGCGTAAATAGTATGGACGAATATAACCGATTCGTTTTGCTCAACTTCATCTATTTTAATTAACTCGTTATAAACAACTGTTAACTTTTAGTTAATGTTACGTGATGCAATATTTTGCAATTACTATATAAAACTAGTAGGACTGCAATTTGACCTTGTTTTACACTTTACGAACGTTAAAATCAAGCCGCTTCCTTTTGATTTCTAATTATAACGATGAGGAAAAAAACCACATCAATGAGTTTGTAAAAACAGGCTCGGCTGTTTATCTTAGTACATCATTTTCAAGATGATTGTTCCCCTTTTGTCAAAGGCAAGCTCTTGGCCGGCTTGTCTCTTGCCCGCCCAGTTCACTTGAGTGATAACAGCGCTCGCTGTCAGATAAAATAAAATGTCAGTTTGGTGGGGTTTTTTTCAGCGAAGCTGTGGGGTATGATGAGCACATCCACGGCAGACAAGCTCCCTGGACCTGCCAGCCCCTATGATTCACCGGCCAGTGAGGACCGTAGGGAACCCCGTCAGATATTAATGGTTCAATGCATGCAGAGCAGGACGGCACGGTAAAGAAACACAGTCCGCAAGAACCCCGCAACAACACTACACTCTGGCTGATAAAATGCAGCCGCTATTGACTGGAATTCAAGTCACGTGACCACCAAACGCCATTCATTTTCCCCGCACCCGATAGATGTACGCATGTGTACGCACGCAGGGGCGCCGATGTGTTTTTTCTCCCCAGATCGACTGTACGTGTTTGGAGAGAGATCGGGCAGGGCACAGTTCGCCGTGCATTAGCTTGACACTGCACACGGCCTTGCATGGCGAGTACAGCGTACGTGTACGTGTGCTACATGGAACTGCTCAACACCGCCTAAATCCGCGAAGAAAACAGCCCGTTTTTCAGCCCGTGTGGACGAATTGGGACCGGAGATCACCGGATTTAAGGTAAAACATGTCGTCTGTTTCATGTACTGCTAGATTTCGTATGGGTTTGGGGTAACACGATCGGGAAGGGGTGCAAATCTGGCGACGACTGTCACCAGTACTGAAACTCGGAGAGTGGGGAAAAATTCAAGATGGCCACTGAGTGGGAGCTCATTGCCGCTGAGCGACTTCCTACGCAGGATTCGCTGAAATCGCTGTCTTCCTGCCTCGATGGACGCTCAAACAAAGAACAGGAATCATGTCTAGGATCTGATCAAACGAAATGAGATAGCTGTGAGGGTTGACGTGTCGATTTGTGGCTTACCATGGTCGTTTCTTCGGTGTAAATTTAGTCAATTTAACGTACTTATCGCAAACAGCCGCCCGATGGGCGACAGTACGTGTACGTCAGACCCAGATAGGACTGATAGAAACATACCAGCTGCGAAGGAGCTTTAAATGTTCCCGACATTAATGTTTCTTGCTGCCACATTCGAAACAGATCTATGCTCTTGGTCTCGTGACCTAACACGTAATGTAAGGTTTTTCTTCGTTGAGGGATTTTCTGCGAGATTTCGTTTCTGGCGACCTCGTTTAGAAATGCTAATTTCGTACACCAGGAGCTATTTTTACGCACCTAAATGCCGTTTTTTACAGGTTTCGCAAGGTACCAAATCCAAATTGAAATTTATGACCAGGAAATTTGCAAAGTAGTCAGGAAATTTGGAGTGGTGTTTGTCATGCTGTAACCGCTTTGAAGATTTTCTGAACTTAATCTGGGACGTATACTCTATTCTCAAGTTCGTAGAACTGTGCCGAATGCGTTGCAGGATACGGATATACGCGCTGACGCCAACTGACTGGCGGTGTGGCGGGAAAAAGGACTTTCATGGGAATTTCGAAATCAATCAAGCAAAACAAAAAATGCCACAGGGGTTCTACTTCTCTGCAATTCCAGGGAAAAGCGGACATTTTCTGACCAGTTAACCACCTGATGTCTCCGTGAATTTATGGTAATTATTCAAGGCAGCGTAAGAAAATTGTTGTAATTGCATATGCATGATACGAGTGATTGCAAGATTGTTTTATCCAATCTGAAATGAATCCTATCCCGCGCACTCTTTGCTCGTAATCACACCGATGCTTGACTAATATCCCTTTTTAAAAACAGGGATTATTGTTCATGATCTATTAAAAACAAAAAAACCCGCTGAGAATCGATTCCAAAGTAACCCCTGGAGGCGAGGGAAGGCAAGGGGAAGCAACGATCATGTAACACCGTCTAGCTTGAAGGGAAAGAAACTAAGTAGTGGTTCTCGCCCAAAGGTGATGGAGTGTTTTGGTGCAACTCCGCGACAGAAGCACGCTTTAATTATTCATTCGGTGATGGGATCATATTTTTGTTTGCTGTGAATCAGACGAGGTTAACTCATTGTCATTTTTTTTATTCACATCCATCTGATATCTGGTTACAATTATTATAAGCTTAGTTTTGTCTTTGGCGAGCAGCCAAGATGTTCGCACACACGAACTGTGAAAGACGGTGTTAAATTTACTGACTATCTTCGCATGGCCGTTAGCAAAAAGGGCCAAATTCCTGGAGCTGTAAGCACCAAGCAAACGAACCCGCTAAGTGTCGAAGGTTTGTTTGGCAGAAACCAGTACCAGCCAGATGACTTATGACCTGCACTTCTTGTAACCATTTAATTCGTGTGCACATTATAATATTTTTGAAATTGTGCAATGATTCTGTCTATGTTTCATCCATTGTAATGTTTTTTTTTATTGAAGCTTAAATTTTTTATTGTGAGCTTTTATTACTCATTGTGAATTCAATGCAATTTGCCCTTGGCAACCAAATTGAATTTTAATAAACCATGAATAATAAATAATAATAGTAACTGATTTTTAGTACTTTTGTTTAGTTAGCAAATAAATTAACTGAAAAAAAAATCTTCTTAGCAGCTCTCACCATTTGGGATTAGCATATAGACCGACTAGAAACTTGGTTGAGCACGTTTAAATAAAAAAAACACGGATTTCTAGGCTAAAAACTATTTTTCTTTTAAAGTATGGCGACTGCGGCCATGGAAAATAAAGCTATACGAACTATGAAATCTGCGTTTTTATATCCTTTTCTCAATTCCTTTGTCAGGGTTTATACCAGAGACATTAGAATTTCATTATGGCGGGGAAAAGAAACTGAGGACTCGGCATGGTTAATGACAAGAGCTTGGGGAGACCGCAGCGAGTCATATTGGCAACACAGCATGATATTTCTCTGTTGGGTGTTAATCGAATTCACGAACAATAACAACAAAATGCTGTTATAATTTTATTGTGATACGTGCAGCACTGTGTCGTATGGATGCACAACACGATAAATTTCATTGAAATAAAATTTAATCACGCGAAAAATAATACATCAGTCCATTGTGCACAATGTCAGAATGGCAGCACATTTACTCAGAGGTGAAAAAAATACACCATGAAAAATTTGCAAAACTACCGGTTCATGAACAACTTACCTAATGACAAAAATGATCAGAGGTAATAGCTATTCCGTTAGATATTTCTCAAAGCTGTGAAGTTATTGATGTTTTTTCCACAGTTTCTTAAGAGAAATTCCAGCAAGGACAGGAATAAGGTTCTTGTATAAGATGTTGTTCATTTCCGCAACTCGACCGTATGAAAACACGCGCGAATCAACGACGACTCATTCAGGTTAAACGATCCGTCATAACTGCTTTACACCCCGTATCACATCTCGTTTCTCCCTTAGTCTGGCAGCCGTACATCAGCCTGGTTTCAGCCTCTTTGCGGAACCTGGACGCGTTGTGTCTTGCGTCAGACGTCTTGAGATTGCGATGATCAGTTTAATCCCGCGCTAACTCGTGCTGACAATGCTCCGGGAAGCGAGTCTCACCATTCGCTGCTCATTACGAAATGGAAGAGAGATAGTCTTGTGCATGCTTCGCACTTAATTCTCCCGGTTTAATTGTAGGCTTCCGCAAGGAAATCAAATTGGGTGCAATTGTTGGAATTATAACCACATAGCATGAAGAAAATTAAAGAGTATCCATACTGTTGCATCAAAGTGAATTTTTATCACTCAATCAATTTTAATCTCTCGGATCCAATTTTGAAGATGCTCTTAAAAAGGTGTCGGATAACCATCACTGATATTTTATTTATTCTTGATTTGCAGTGAATGCGTGTGAATGTAAAAACAAAATGCGATACCCAATATCAATAAACTATTTTTAAATTACTACCATTATAGACAGTGTACTTTTGTGGCTTTTCGTGTCTGAGAGTTTCGTGGTTAATATTAAGTCAGAAGATTGTCCAATTAGCGCCTTTTTTTTGTTTTCAGTTTTACGACCCCCGCATTAATGACTTAACAGTCACAATAAATTAACGCCGTATTGTCAACACCGTAATTTACAAAGACATTCGCTTGATACAGAAAGCGCAAATAGAACCACGTTTCACTTCAATTTAATAACAAAAGAAACTTGTGATTTGTTTTATTAATGAAAAATTGAAAACCTGATATTATAATGTCTATTACTTTCGTCGCTGTCTAAATATTGCATGCTTTTGCTGTAAAGCCCTCGGAGTTGCACTTTTGTCAATGTGCAGATTGGATTATTCAATATGGGACATGTGCGAAAACTCAGCGGCTTGTTGTGGACGATAACAATTTCGTCACACGGACAGTCTCAGCACGCGTATATTCGCAACTGGCAGAGACGAAGTGCAGTGTCACTTTAAGGTTTCCTCAATGATGTATTGATCGCTAGGGAGAGTGTGGACATTAAAAAGGCATAAAGGCTTCTTTGACGTCATTGTGATCATCTTTGATGACATGTTGTGATTTCCTGGGGTTTTTTTTAGCGTCCGTGGAATAACAAACGCGACAGCGCAGGTTAATAGATTTACTGACGTGAGGATGTTGGCGACAAACGAGGGTATGATCTCGATCAAGCCACTCAGTGTCTAGTTTTGTCAATCTGAAGTTTTCTGAACAGCGGATGTACACGTGTAAAAGCGAATATGATTATCGGGAGCATTATCGTACAATGCAGCAATCTTACACAGTAATAGGCATTTCTAATTTACTAGCTTCTACATCATGTACTCACAGAAATTAAAGAATTTGAATGTGCAGTCGATATGACAACAAAATCTTTGGTTAGATCTCATGGTGATATAAACCTGTTATAATATAAGGCAACGCTATATTACCATGTGTCTCTCAGTGCGATCATAATACATAAAACATGATGTTAAAGGTAAGCAATACGGAAACTGCCACACACACCTCGTTCAACGTGAGCTGATGATAGTACAAACACGCACGGGCCGCGCTGGGCGGGCGAGGACTGGCCACGCAACGTGCCCACACGACGCGGCTACGCGCGGCACGAGACTAGCCGAGTCCGCGTCTAATTGTCGTGGGGGAAAAGGTTTAAGTTTCTCGTACTCGCGACCACTCGCGCTCGCTTTGCCCACGGGGCAAAAACGATCGTTCCAGACAGAGATATTTAAAGAAAGGAGTGCAGCGGATGATAATACCGACGCGTCAGTGGGGGCCCTGGGAATGTCTTAAAAATCTGGCCTTGGAGTCTTAAGACCAGGGTGATGGTTTTAACTAAAAGAGATAAAAAAAATATCCAATATGGGTGATACAAAGGAATTGTCGAAGTAAAAGCTTCAAAGAATTGAATCGTCGTCTAAGTCGATTATAAAACGAGCATTTAACTGATGCGGCTTTTCAGGATTTCAATTTGTGCCGCATTGTTTGATTTTCTCTTGAGAGGGTCTTTATAATCCTGCGACTTGTCAAATAATGTAGTCTATTGATGTAGCATTCTGTCAGGCGACTTTCAAATCAATGAATTGATTTATTATCCTTGACATATATTTATTTTTAAAAATGATTTCGGCATGTTAATAATGATATTGTCATTATGAATATGTAGCTGCAAAAAGAAAAGATTGAAATGGTGTAACAATAAGTCTTTGTTATAAGTATGTTATTGTATTAACTGCCGAGATATCTTGCTGTAATTAATTTGCAGTAATTGATTAAACGGTCACATGCAGAGGAGTAGGATTATAATGTTCTGTCAGGCTTAAATCACACGTAATGTGAAACTATTTCATGATTATATTTTTGCATCATTTTTTGAACTGTATATTTTCGTTTTAAGTCATTGAGATAATAATCTTGCATGCGCCTATACTTAACGACCGGCATAAGTGACTGTTCACGTACACGTATTGTGAGCCTATTACGAGTTAATCTCACGCAGCGCGTTATGTATGATTCAGTGCCTCATAACTCCAATGTTCATTTAGGCGTTAGATCATCTTCTTATAGAAATGCAGGCAATCGCCGTATTCATATCGAGATGGACGCATTAACGCTGCGCGTGCCTTAATGATTGGCGCGTTGCCAACTCGCAAAGCACGTGCGCCCATTTCGTCCCCTCCGTTTGCGGACTAAAAATAGTTTATTCAGAGCGTGTGTAGAAATATCGCTTTGTAATTACACGAAGCTGAGCGTATGTTTCTACATTCTAATGCACTGCACACGACTGCTTTAATATGTGTGCAGTCTAAAGTACATTCGAATCGTTTTAATTTCATTCACAAAAGACAAATCAAAGTGACATAAAGAAAGTTTTTTTGGTGGTTCAGTTTAACAGCCAATTTGTTTGCATTATTTTAAAATACAGGACTCATCTTGAATAAAACACCTCTTACACAACAGTGGACCACTTCTAGGGCCTAAATAATACCTTTGTTGTTGTTAATATTCTTTTTGCCTCTCCTATAAATAAAATATGTCTTACCATTCCCAAAAATCAGAATGCCGTTCTGCAAGGCCTACTTTCTCTATTCCAATGTTGCGAAATGTATTATTATATGGATGACACGCACTACCGTTATTGTGATTGGATATAGTTAAGTGACACCATTTTATAGGCCTTTCCTGTGTCTATTTCAGTAATTAGGTTGGTACCAACTGTCACGTCCATATGCTTATCGATACCGCGGCTCGCGATAACGAAAAAAGAACATGACATCAGTCGGGCTCATAATACAACCATGTCAAATGTCGACTTACTCGAAATTTTAACCACAGAATAAAATTGTATCCAATTTTACTAATGGAGAATGAATGTTATAGCAGTTCTCAGAAGCTACGGGAAATGTCACACTTTCAATCTACCCACGAGTTTGGTTTTCACGAGTTTGGTTTGTGCTTTTCTGCGAATCGTTACGGGTTGTTTGCGGGGCTAAGATGTAGCATACGGACCGTTGGTCGGTGTCACCCTGCGGCCCATCAACGCGATTCTTCGCGAAATACCGCAAATCGTCTGGTGTTAGTGTGGTCGCCTTTATAAAAATATTACATTGCCTGCTAGAAATCATAATTATATTTATTTTATATTAATTGCGTCTGGATTATGGAAAATGTATTATTAGCAAGGGGTATGTTTAGGTTACACCTTTCGTTGTTGCCCTAAGTGTGGTTAACAAGGTTTCACTACCTGACGGTAAAAATCACTTGCACCGGGACTTACCTATAAAAAAAATTCGCACCCCCCCCCAAAAAAAGGGTGAAAATTAACCATTTTATATAGAATTGCCTGCAAAACAATAATATAAATTATATTTATATATCACCGTGGTAACATAAAGTATAGCACCGATGATGTCACTAGTAATCTGCAAGAAATGACGGACACAAGAAGATTGGCAGCTATAAACGAACCGCGTTTTATAACCCGAGGAAAAAACGACGAGGAAAAAGGAGCTCGATGTGAGATTAATTTAAGAGATTACACGCCAGATTGCGCTTAACATCTCTGCCAAGAGGAAATGAAGCTGTAGATGAACAGGTCCGGTTTGGGCTGCGAGCTCTGATACCAATTACGCGATGGATGGGTCTGATAAAAAAAAAAGGAGCCAAGAGAATTGACAAGATTGGCATATATAGTTGCCGGAAATATAAGAAATCTACAAACAGTTTTTATGCATATTCTTATTTAATGTATACTGAGATGTGAAAATCAATGGATGTTTGATTCCCAGAGAGTGAAAATAGGGACCATTATGAGTGAAAATCACTTTAATTCGAGATTGAATTACTTTGAAAAAGAATCACTTCAGTAGAAACTCGATCTATCCAAGTGAATGAATTCTCTCATCGTCTTCCCTACATAGTTCCACTTCGGATGAAGTGAATTTTCAGTCGAGTAGAGTGCATTTCGCTCAATGAAATGAAGATAGTGAGTCAGGAAGTGTACTTTCCCAGCTGTATTTCATGACTTAATTTGCCTTTGAAAGTCATTCCGTTGACACATTACTTGTTCGTAGAGTGAGGTTTGGGGCCAAAGTTTGTCCCGTCTCACTTCAAAGTTTGGCCCCCGCTCCTTTGGCAATTATCATGACTTTGCCGCCGGCAGTTCCAGGAGAGTGAATACTGTATGCGAAAGCTATCAGTCAGCAAGTAGGGAGTTTTGAGATGAAATTGATCAGGTTTATGAAGCCCGGTAGGGCAAGGCAAAAGACTTGACAGGCAAACGAATTGAAAGGAGTCGCAAACCTTGATGGCATGCTCACCGTTATAGGGATTCGACGCATTTCGGCCCGAGAAAGAGAAACACAGATGGGGATGGGGTGGATTTCTTACTTTTCGGCCACGAGAAAAATACATAAGACATCATGAAGATATGTTCATGCTTATTGGCTTTAACGAAAAATCATCCAAGTTAGCAATAACTGTCGGAAGCAGCAATTCACCACCACCACCACCAGTGTTGCACAATCACAGAAGAGTTTTTGTTTGAGAAGTGGAACTGGAACTGGAAGAACCCTAATTTCGAAGTGGTATACACATGTATATGTATGGGATCGCACCACTTCAATCACGTCCCCACCTAACCAAAAAATATCCTCAATCACTACCAATATTACAACCACCACTAATGTCAGTCAGAAGTCAGAATTTGTGGCGTCATTCTTGCGGAAAGAACTCCAAATAACCCCTGTCTCTTTGCAACCACCAGCTCAGCTCAACCATTTCTCTTCAATTGATCTCCGTGACACAAATTCAATGGCCTTACCCATTAAATACTCCCAGTAAAGGTCACGGCCACATTGCTATTAATCAATTTAAAGTGCAGCCGCAACAGATTGCTAAAAATCATGTGCCGTTTCTGGCAAAAAAAATCTCTTACACGAGAAAATGTGAAAGTTTGCACAGGCTACAAGTTTACCAACTTTAATTCCTCCCTTTTCAATACTTAAAATTCACGAAAATAGTTGCAGTTTTATACAAGCAGAAACGAAAAGACTGAGCTTGCCCAGTCGAGCAGGACCCAAAAGTGTTACATTACAGCTTCATTCGACCAGTCTTATACTATGGGCTTAACTTGACAGAACATTAAACTCGGTGACTCTGTCAGTCACTAAGACGGTAAGTGACACGGTCAGTCGGTGATTCATGACAGTCAGAAGACAGCAGGCTAACCCATAAGGTCCAGCAAGAATCAAATGACAAAAAGTAGTTAACATCGTCCTTGCTTCTTTTATTTCCTTCAGCGACACCGACATTTTTGCGAGAGAACACCGAGCAAGATGGGAGATCGTGAGCGACCCCCGCGGCCCAAGATGACGGACATCAATCCCCTCATCGTCTGCATACTGTGCGGTGGCTACTACGTGGACGCTACCACCATTGTGGAATGTATGCACAGCTGTAAGTGGCTTTTTCAATTTTTTCTGTTTGTGTCAGGAAGGAGCAAACAAGACTCAGGAGAGCAGTGAAAAGTAGAGAAGTGTTGGGGCATATATAGACGTGAGAGCAGAATCGTCTTGCCTTTCAAAAGCAACTGCATCATTTTCGATGAAAGATGGTTTGAAAAGATAACATATCATGTCAAAAAAGGACCCGAGAACATTTTGGGAATTGGTACAAATAGGGCAGGGAACCAAAGCGAAAAATATAATTTGGTACGTGGAATGTAAAGTTTTAAACATCACTAATTAAAATTATAGGAAAATACAAAATTAATTTCAAGCGTCATTGCTGTCAATTCACCCCTAACCCCAAAGAGTACCACACACTATACTATGAGTGTTGTGCCCACTTATACACGAAGTAGTGCATACTACAGTTTACTACACTACAGGGTGAGTCAAAAAAAGCGGAACCCCAACCCCCCAAAATATATTTCATATTTAAAAATATATATAGCACCAAAAATAATAATGGCTGGAAAGCCAATTTCATAAGCTTCTTTTAGATGAACAAATTATTGAAATTGCTCAATCCGTTCAAAGAATATCACCATTTAAACGCAATGACCCTAAAACCTGTCTCTTCCAAAAAAAACCTATTTATTGTGTGTTTTGACTGTTTGGAACAACAAAGAAAATAACACGGAATACTTGTTTCAACAACTGCCACCAACTGTAGTACACAATATCTTTATTTATAACAACCCTGTTTAGGCAAACAATATGATTTATAAAATCTACTTTTTTTTAAAAGACGGGCCTTGAAAAGGACTTTGTTGAATATTATTAATGTCTAAACTGAGATTTTATCGCTGATGATGTTTGTGACGACGATTCTTGAAATCGCATTTTTTGGACCAGACAGGTCATTGTGTTTAAATGGTGATATTCTTTGAACGGATTGATGAATTTCAGTAGTTTTTTCATCTATAAGTAGCTTATGAAATTGGCTTTTCGGTCATTATTATTCTAGGTGCTACATATTTTTGGGTTCCGCTTTTTTGACTCACCCTGTATAAGTATTTTGTGGAATATGTGAGGTTAGGGATACATCTATCTCTTTGAACAGGTTTTTACACTTAAAATATTGATTTAATATGTCAATAGCCTAGGGTTTTTTTCAATTCACCAATTGAAACAAAAGAGCATATCGATGCAGTAATGATTTAAATTGGTTAACATCAGTAAACGGTTATGACTGGATCTCTTTCACTGAATGAAAACACTCGTACGTGTATTATCTTCGAAATCGACTTTACGTAGCGTCCTGGAAAAAAAACTCCTTAATGTGTTATATCCACAATCTCCAGTCCCTGCTTTTTCTCAATTCGCAGTGCTTTTAGTTCTCCTTCAAAATCTACAAACAGAATATTTCCACGATCGTCAAACTCGTCTTTTGAATAGCGTGAGAGTGACTAGTGAATAGGACTGCTCTCTAGTGCTCACAATGCAATTTTCCGCACAGCTTGTGATGGTGTTTGCCTCTTTATTTTCACCGCCTATGTTGCACCTTGCGCTCGCTGTATATTGCGCTGTTGCGATTGTAACCGAAGACTGTATTGGTCTTTGTGAAGAGAAGGACTTGATGGCAATTGCATGGATGATTCTAGGTCCCTGTGTAATGAAATCGGATAGTTTGGTTTGGTCGAGGACAGGTCTCACCAAAAATTGCCCGCAGGACAAAAACATGAAAAGGGAAATCGGAGCGACGACTCCTATAGAAATGACAAAATGGTCTCTAACGCTCGTACTGGTAAATGTAGTTATATCACTCTCAAAAAAGAGGGAAAAAACGACGGAAATGGCTTTTTTTTTTTTAAAGTAAATTAAATGTTTCGATACAGGTCTTGCAAGCCAAATCCGCAAAAATGAAAGCAGCATATGATCAAGTACTAACGAATGATATCACAACTTTATGTCGAAAAATAATCAACCAAAGCCACGACACATGGCCAAAACCCAGACATCAATATTATATCATTTGACCTGCAATTTAAAAATTGCTCTGAGATCAAAAAACAACTAAACAATATGAATGGATGGCAAGCATCGTCTGCATCTATACGTCCGTGTGTTCGACGTCCACGGATACACACGCACGTCCTTCAGAATCAATTTCATAAGTAATTGCTGTCGGGACGATTAAGCGTATCAATCGCGGTGACATCGAGGGACAGGTTTTACCCCTGATTAATAGATCGGTGATTATCTCATTACGCAGGATGTATCAATGGAAAAGGCTCGGGAGATAATTATCGTATCCTGTTTGTTTTGGAGATTCGCAGATTTTTAAGGCACGGGGCGGTTAACCAGTCATGTTTTGATAAGTAGTATAATATCATAGGTGTTTATTTGAGAAAAGATTGATTCTCATTATTAGGTAAACTATTATTAAAGAATATATACACATTATAGACTCTCACAAATTGTTAACAAGATTGGATTTGGTGGTCACGTGATGCCGGCTTTCAACGAAATATTCCATTCTGTGCTGCATAATGTATCTCATGAAATATGGGTGGTAAAAATGTAGTACATGTAATTTACTGCATGGTTAATGTGGGGGCTTGGGGAATAACATGTCATAGAATGTCATGATGTTGTCGCTGCATGCTGGCAACCGAGACATGATAACATGATTAGTCGCATTATGTGAAAAGAAATCTCTTCAATCATCGTCATTCACGTCACAACGCTCTCTTCAGATAATAACGTTCACAGGTTCAAATCGAGTGAATTCACTCGTCCTTAGCCTGAACATGGAGCTATAAAAATGAGCTCCATAAACATTAAACTGAATACAGCAGAACTGACAACACGATATTAAGTCAAAACCTCAGATCTATTTTCATCTGTGGCATTCCCACGTGGCTGACCGTAACTCTTTATTAAGAGTGGGCTATTATTGGTTCAATTCCCTACAGATTGCAGAGCCTGTATCGTGGCCTACCTGCGGCAAAGCAAACAGTGTCCGACGTGTGACATTCTCGTGCATAAATCCAGACCCATGCAGAAAATCAGGTAACGTGTCTCATCAATTTGATTTCTTTTAAACCTTATTTAAAGAAAAACAAATTATCGAAGATTATAATACAAATTGTGACAAAAAACAGAAAAATACTAAAATGCATCAATTTATTTTTAGCAGACTTTTTTTTAGCTGACACAAATTTCATTTGTTTCTTATTTATTTGTTATTTTTAAAAAATTGTTATAATGTTAATTTTTTTGCAGTGATGCTATTATTTGCTCAATAGCAAACTGTGCATGGTTACAACATCTCTCGATTTCAAGTTGACGCTGTGCACAATTATTATTGCAATCTAGGTTATTTTTCCACAGAAAATAGTTTCAAATTGAATCGAGTTGTCTTGCGAAAAAAATCCAAGTCTTCTGAAATCTATTTTACGCTGATAATCGCTTCTTAATTTAGAAAGATGTCAATGCTTCAGTTGACCTCTTTCAAGAGTTACATCTTTACATCCCTAACAATTACAAGTTAAAATGTCACGATAAACTGGAAGTATAAATGGGATTTGTGAGGACCACCCTGCGGTCGTAGGATCACTCCCGCGATCAAACTAGAGACTGGGGGAAAATGAGGGGACTAAACGGCCGTTCGTGCTTTCCTGGGGTGATACTGTATAAAGATGCAAGATGTTATTCTGATCAAGGTGTTTTTGTATACTCAATAGCAATGTCAGGCACCGTTCTTTTGCAGGTTTTTTCGCATTAAATTTTTGAAACAAAAATGCTATGGTCCAGTGGTTCAGTGTTTGACTCGTGCACGATGATACGTGGGTTCGAACCCTGCCAGGAACATATTTTTTTTTGGCCTTAGGCAAGACACTTAACTATTATTGCCTCTCTCCACCCAGGAGTATGAATGGGTACATGTGTGCTGATATCGGCTGCCGCGTGGTCTCATGGCCTGATGGATGGGGGTCGGGGGAATAATTGTAAAGCGCTTTGAGATTATTAATACGATGGAAAACACTATATAGGCATTACAAAAAAAACAGATTCTCAGTAGCGTCATGAAAGTTCACTTCCCCATCGCAATTAGAATATTCGTGAAGTTTTTGGAATACGAACACGTTAAAAATCCACTCAGATAAAACAGTGAAAATCATTGGGTGGACACAAACTGCTCTCGAAAATCATAAACACAAACCCTACAACCAATTTGCAACAAAATAATCGATTTGTATCGCTGTTTTTTCTCAGGCCGGACACAACACTTCAGAAACTTGTCTATAAGATGGTTCCCGGATTGTACCGAGACGAGATCAGACGGAGGCGAGACTTCCACCGTACACACGTTCAACATTCCGGTGAGTAGCTTGCGTACACTGAGGTCATTTTAAAAATGGAATGTAGAATATTGCGATTCGCTATTGAGTTGCCTTTTTCATGGATACATTTTGAAAAGTTTACTTCCATTACAGATTGTAGAATTCTACTTATACATATAGGGCCAAATATCAGTAATTGTCACTCAAATTTGGTACACGTGTATTTGATCGCAAGCATTAAAAGGTTTACAAAAATGATACGTAGTGTATGTGCCAAAGAATTGAAAATATTTGTTTCCCTTTTTCATATAGTGTGGATGAAATTTACAAAATACATGCATGTTTTAAAATAGAAAGAAATGTTGTTGGTAATCGCAGAAAACGGCGAGTCGACCAGTTCGAGCCCCCCTGAAGATCCGACCAAGATATGCGACGACTCTATCATCATCTACACGCACGATGAAATGATCAGCCTATCGCTCGAGTACTGTCAACCCAGTGCATCAACTACTCGCGGTAAAAAGCAAATGAACGGAGACAGCGAGCCACGGGACGCGGGGACGGATATCAACGGCAACGCCATTGCCGACAAAAGGGCAAGTAGCGTTTTTCGCACGAGAGTTTGCACTTTAAACGCTATTAGCAATCGTTGTTGCCAGTGAAAACAATATCATCGTATGTTCCGAACTTACAAACACTCAATCCGGGCGATTATTCACATTTTAACAGTGGCGACTTCAGCTGTAGACTTTAATACTATTATATAGGCCCTATTATTATGTATAAATTAATTATACACTATAAGTCACAGAGTATATATCAAGCACACACTGCAACTATCTACAGACTATAACTAGATACTTGAAGAAATTACTGATGACTGCACGGAAGATAAGGCACGACATATCTTATAGTTCTACCCTTAAAAGATAACTTCTTCCAAATGATAGCAAGTCCTTACCTTTATTGTGATTGTAGGACATCGATGCCAGATATCTCAGATGTCCAGCGGCAGTCCAGATCAGCCACCTGAAAAAGTTCATCCGAAATAAGTTCGGTTTACCACAAGCATATAAGGTGAGCAAGGGAAAATGAAACACTCTGTGGAAATAAAAGCTTTCAAACCTGAGCTCAAGCGAGTTAAACTCTTCCCAAAAAGGTATAAATTTCAGTGGTTTAGATGTATTTGATAGTTTGGTTTACATCTCCCAGAGCATTGCGTATAGTGATGACGTCAATCAGGAATGCATCCTGCACTTTTACACATCAGGAAAGAGTAAGAAACACAAGAATGATTTGCGTAGGGGAGGAGGTGACTTACAAAATCGCAACACTCAGTGGAATGACGACATCATTTTTGTGTATACATGCGGTGGAATGAGGTGTTAAATAAAACAAACTGATGTTTATTTTTCAAATTAAGTTTTGCCCTTCACCGACGTTTTTGGAGGTCGTGGGTTCGAGTCCCACCCGAGTGATTTTTTTTCCAGCTTTCACTCGGGAGGTAACACACTGAGTATACAGTGTTTAAAAAAACGTCGGTGACGGGGCAAAACCTAATTTGATTTATATCACCCCGACGCAAAATTCCATCTTATGATGTTTATTTTGGCATTTCGGCGTCACGGCATTCAGGGCAACGCGCTGCAGTTATTGACATTTGAAACCAAATCCGAGTTCTCTCGCCTTTAAACCTTTTAACTTTTTCCCCCCTGTAGGTTGATGTACTTCATCGTGAAGGAGGAGATGACGTGCTAAGAGACAACTATACCTTGATGGACATTGCTTATATCTATACGTGGAAACGGGTACAATTTCGATTTCTTACCGACTGAGTTTTGGGTCAATTTAAACGAAAGGATCTACTTGTGTGTTTATCAGTTATTAAATGAGTATTTTATTTAAATTTCATCAGTAAAACTTAAATCTTTTTTTTTCCACAGATGGGACCCTTGCCACTTCTTTATCGCATCTGTGAACCACTTCCCAGTAATAACAAAAGGACGTGTAGTGACGCCAGTATGACGTCAACGCCAGCTAGCAACGGCGAGTCCCCCGCCAAGAGCGCCAAAATCCAGCCGCCAATCAAAGTGACGATTACCAGCACACAGCCACAGCCAGTCTTAGTGACATGAGGGTGCCGTGATAAAATTTCCTTTTTTTTTTAAACAGGTGCACAGATATTGCATATTCCTCCAGGTACCAAATTTACAACTATCAGAAAGTTAATCTAGATATCTGTCTGACATGTAGTGTGCCTCTATGTGACACGGGGCTATTTAATGTGTAAATGCAGGATTGCTATAAGACTACTGAGACTATACTTAAGACACTGTAAAAACAGAGTTTAGAGTTTAAACACATTTCGCAACACTTGTTTTTACCCACTTTTAAAACATGTGTAAATCGAAGACATGTTTAGATGTATGGACGTCTGTGACATGTTTAAGTGCGTATAAAGCCCATTAGTACCATCAAGTATAAATTGTAAAAGTGAATAAAAATGATGGATTGTTTTGCGTCGGGTGATGTTAATCAATATTAGGTTTTCCCCTTCACCGACATAAACACTGTATACTCAGTGTGTTACCTCCCGAGTGAAATTTGGAAGAAAAAAAAACACTCGGGTGGATAAAAATGACTTATCGGGTTGAAGTCAAATGACAGGCTATAAATGCACACTTTTATCACACTTTCATTATCATCTCTCTACGTAAAACGAACATACAGATTTGACTCTTTTATAAGTAATTATTAATGGCACGTTCAGGCTTTCATACAGTGCAAAATCCTAAACATGTCTCAGACTAAACATGTAAACAAGTGAGTACCAGAAAAGTGTTTAAATGCTAAGCACCATTTTTACAGTGTACTTAAGTTCTCATTGTCTTTTAGGTCAACAATGGAAGCCAATGAAGTAATTCTCTTCACAGTAGTTTCGGTGGACGAACGTTTCGAGGTTTAGTAACAGACAAACTCTTAAGTGTTTCTTCAAAGATGTGAAATTGTGTTGTACTATTTGAATTAGATTTATGACAATGTACAGTCGCTAAATGTACACATGTGTATTAATTTGTAAAGTATTAAGTTCAGTTCTGGAGTGCAAAAAGAAGATTTAGAAAAAAAGCTTACAAGCAAGGAAAAGAAAGGTGCACGAACCCACAATATCGTGGTTCAAATAGGTTTCATCATTTTCGTTATTCCAATTGCTTTAAAACTAGGACAATTCATGTTGCAGTCAAGTAATGTGGAAGACATATAACTTGAACATTTGTAACCTTGATACCGGTATTTAATTATCATTGAGTCGAAATGACAAAAATCTGCAATGCAATTTTGGCGCAAATCTACACCTTTTTTTACATCCCTTTTCTAAATTGGTACAAATGCTCTATACTAAAATGCTTCGTATTGTCGCTGTGAAATAATGTATTGAGTTTATTAACTTTTAGCAAAGTTTGTGTACAGTTATGGTGATATATGTTGGTGTGTTATTTTAACAAAGAGGTTTTAGAATGATGTAATTCAAGACACTGAAACAGTAAATGTTCATAATGTTTATAATAGATACTTATAGGTAACAAATGCTTTGCTATGAGGTACCTCTGTATAACGGCATTCAATGGTTTGTATTGTGTGGAACGAAGTGTTGTGTTTTACTTGATATATCTGGTTTTGTAAAGTAATGTGTTATGTGTTAAGTTATTGAAAAAAAGCTGAAAATCTAAATTGTCAGAAATGAGAATTGCGTCCATTTTGTCGAGGATCTTGTGGGAGATGTTACCATGAGTATTTTGGGGAAAATGAGATTTATGTAACTCTACCTAAATTTGTATTCCAATCTTAATTATTCAGTTTAACACTCCATTTTTTACACTTCCTATGGAACAAATGAGACTTGTGTTCGGGCGTAACAATTTTTATATCTTGCCAATCACCTGACATTTTATTAATTTCCAAAGTTTTATATTTCTTTATTTGAACATATTAAAGATCATTAAAGAGCAGTCACATTACAACCTGCCACAAATCGAATTGAGCAGTTTGTGTTGTTTTTTATTTTGGGGATTTCTCTTTTTAGTTTACGTTGGTGTTTTTACATAAATCAAGGTCAAAATCACGGGGTTTATAATTTCTACGATTTCTCTTTTATTTACTCACTTTTCAGAGCAATAAGAGAATGATTTGTTTAATTTTCAAAATGAATCCTTGAACACCATCACATGCATACCGGAGTACATTTTATTTATTTCAAGAACAGTAAACCCTTAGAATCATTTTGGGAGCTAACTTCATGAAACCACCAGACACTGAAAATAAAAGTACCGTGCACTGATTTTTACTGCTTGTTATGTTTGCACATGTTAGGAGATGAACTCGCAAACATTCACTCAAAGCTTTTAAATTTGTGAAAATAGAACAATGCCAGAAAAATAATTTACATACAAAATCTATCAACGATTTTAGTTGATCTATTTATATCCAGGTTCATTTTTTATACCCTGAGCTTTGGATGCATGGTAAACACAGTAATAAATACAATGCAAGTAGCGTTATTCAGATGACTTAATGATAAAAAAAATAAACTAGGCTGACCACCAAACACTTGGAATGGGGGATTGGAATGAGGGCTTGGAATGGGGGATTGAATAAATGAGCAATTCCCAATGCGATGGGTTCAATATCTTACTGTAATACTATGTCACAAAAGTTTTTTCGAAACCAAAAAGCTAATATATATAAAAAGTTTAATATCTATCTAGGCTTGAGGTGTGGTCGGTTACTGTCATTGTGCCAAGACATAATCTATCTACGCTTGAGATGGGGTCTGTTACTGCCAAGACATCTTTCCTGCCTATGTGGTAAAATTCCCCCATAAAATCCCGCAAGACACACACAAGTCGAAGCGGCCGTCCATCAGCGCGACCAGCCCCGTGGCACTGGACCGTGTTGCTGCCAGGCCCTTGCCCGTGTCCTGGCTCGGTCTGCCCGGCAACCACGCACGATAAAGACGGTCCATTTCTATCACCGTACCGGACTAATGTGGTCACAGTGTATAGGGATTGACTAAATCTTGCTACAAATGGGAATCTACTCTGCATTTAGAGTCTTATTGGATGGACCAGGAATATTGAAAAGTAGTTTGTGTGACCGGTGTGACGCTGTGTGCTAGTAAAGTTATAACATACCCGTCCGTTCAATAAATACAAGTAAACAAACATGGCGGCACAAATATCGGGGTAATTTGTGCGTCGCTTCTGAAACTTTTGAGCCATGTTTTAGGTTCAGGATAAGCACTACAATATTACAAGTCTCCAGAAATTATTGTTTCTGTGAAATTACTTAAATGTGGGGAAAAACAGACTGTACTCACTTTGTCCGAGCATACAGCAAGGAATGGTCGTAGCACTGGCATAAGCAAGGAATGGTCCGAGCTGTCACACTACGGATCGCGGAATGCAACGCCGTGTTGTCAGTGGGCGAGACACACGTGCCGAAATTGTAGTTGTACGCCTCTGGTTGTCAAAATATTGACAAACCCTGCGAGTTTTGACAATGTTTTGGTTTCCTTTACGAATAAATAGACGCCATCTATTTGCAGTCCTCGCTAAAGCAGCTGTTGGAAGATGTTTGGGAGCTGTTGTGTCCAGTTGGAGGTATTTCCTCGTGAAACAAAAAAATCGTAAATCTGCGTCATGTGCGTCGTCTGCTTTTAAATAATTTTGACACTCACAAAATGGCGACAATGACAAGCATACCCACAATTCCTTGCGAAAAATCAAACTGATCCCCGGCCCCGCGCGCGCAGGATCAGGAGGATCAGGAAACGGGAAAACGTAGATTCTCTCCTTTTGTCAGCAAAACTTTTTCTATAATGATATCAAATTTAAATATCTGAAAGATGAGTTATGTGTGGTCGTAGGTAATTACTTCGTTATTTCTTGAACAAGAAATCAACATCGTTGAGTGTCTTCAGACTTGATTGCTGATGACCATGGGCCAATAAAAGTATAATTTCATTAGTCATTTTTGTGTGTGTAGAAAAACGGATTACTCGGTACGGATAGAATTACATGTAGTATCCAAAATTTGGAATATGAAGTTTTATTAGGCAAATGTGGGCAAACAGTTTAAGGGTAAAAATTGGCTTTAAACGTAAACACCCCCGCCCCCCCCCAAAAAAAAATGACCACACCCCCTCCCCGCCGCAATAAAGAACCACTGATTTGACAGATTAAAAAAAAAGGATTTAGAAAATATGAAAAATAAGTAAATAAATAAAAACGAAACAACTTTGTTTGGTTTTATTTGGTTTTATTTATACAAGAGCAAACAAAAGCAAGTAGGCCTATAAAGAAGATTGATATACTGCTAAACGAGATAATTCAACAAAAAAATAATAATGTATTAAATAGCGTTGTTCTCTAGCTGAAAACAAAACAAAACAATCGACCGAAGAAATTTGATAACTTTTAGCACAAATATGTTAACATACATATTTCGTTTTTCAGTCATAATTTTTAAAACGTAGTTAGGCAATTATCAGTATGTTCAATTTTTTCACAGATGCGTTTTATTTGGCAAGATTACCAATATATGCTTGTTTTACATTTTATTCATGTTCCTGCCCATGTGCAGACCCACATTTGTTTTTACACTTTCTTTTCAATTAAAGGCTGCGGCTGTGATTGCAAGCTCCGAGTTAACCAGTAATGCCTATAAAAACATGAAGAATTGTAGAACTGTTAGCTGTCGGTGAAGTGTGCTGCACTCAATATTTTCCCTAATTTTTTTTGAGGGTTTAAGACTTCAAAATTAAATAATTCAATCATTTTCTTAATTATAAAGTGGTTTGGTTTTGAAATCTTGCGTTAAATCAAAACAGTTCTGTCTTTTTCAAAAAGCTACAAGATTTCACAACAAACATTAATCTCCGGCATTTTCTCCTTTTCTCAATGGGTCAGTTTAATACAGCTAAGTAGGTTAGGTTCTGAGTTTTGCAAAGCATCTTTCCTGGGTCACAGCCTTAAGAGTCAGGTCAATATACAGCTCCCTAACCCTAACCGAACACAACCCATCAAAGTTAAGTTCAACAGCAGGTTTGTGTTTAAATCTGTTGGGATAGGTACAGTTCCCCTAAACAGATGGTCTTTTACACTGGGGTTGGCATACCTCCAGAAACTAAGTCCAACAGCGTGTGTGTACAATTTCCCATGTGGGTGTTGGAATTTGCCTGAATGGGTATGGTTCCTAGTAAATTAGGCTGGGGAGTTAGTTAATGACCAAAAGTCTTGTCTAAAGGCACAGTGATAGCCACTGATGTCAACTTAATGTTTCTTGGGGTCATTTAAAAAACTTATAGTTACTAGTCTCATTTTGACAACTTAACATTTTCTTGCCAAGGTTTCTGAACAAATATATTTAACATAATACAACCATGTGCTACAAATAATAACAGAAAAATAAATCGACGCAAATGGACATGACAGATCAAATTTTAAAAACTCTCACTGCCGTTGTTTAAGTTGACAAGCCAAATTTTAATGATTAAGATAACTCTGGAGCATCCGTTATTTATTTTTATACAACACCTGCATAAATCCCCGTCATCTGATTGGTGAATTGTAGATCACGTGACATATTATTATTCGGTATAATGCACGATGCGACCATGCGTTATACCCATGCGTTATTGCGTTATACCGTTTCACTTTGCGCTTGTTCCATGACGCGGTATTTGCGTGCAAATTGCATGCTGGTGTGAGCGTTCAGCGTAGCGCGTATTGTTCCAAAGAGCCAGCGCTACAGCGTTGGGTTCAAACATTTTCGTGAAGGGGTAGTTCAACATCTTTAAAATCAAAATAAATTGTAGTTTATAATTTACCAATCAAATGACGAGAATTTATTCAGGTGTTGTATAAAACAAATAACGAATGTTTTACGTTCGTGCGATGGAAAGAATTATTTCATTCGGTGACAGATTGAATGTTCTATTCCACTCGGCTTCGCCTCGTGGAATAGAACATTCAATCTGTCACCTCTTGAAATTATTCTTACCATCGCACTCACAAACATTTGTTATTTGTATAATCTCATATTTTAAAACTGTGTGATATATTACAGAATTTTTAGGCAATGTTGTGTATATTTCGCTAGCAGCAGTTTACTACAATATGTCAAAGCTGCTCATATTCCTTTAAAAATTTAAAGTAACGATGAGATGTCGTTGATGTGCTAGTGATGTAAGGGCGTGGCTGGAGTGGAGTCTTGCTTGGGACCATGAACAAGAGGAAACACGCCCAATGATGCATACACCTCCTTCAAGATCAGTAGTACTGTGTCCTCAGAATCCCTGTACACAAAGAGACAGGAAGCTTTAAACCTCTTGCAAACATAGATGTAAATAAAAACTAGGTGTACACGTTGAATAAAAACATTTCTTCATTTGTTTTTTGTTTTGCTTTTCTCGTTCTTCCAATTTTGTTTCTGATTTTTCTGTGAGTTGGTAACAAATTAATTTGAGGGTGCACTGAAATCTACTAAGAAGAAAGTGAATTTATAGTATGCCAGGGTTCAAAATTAGCGGTAGCCCGCTAGCCAAATGCTAGTCAAAACAGCGGCGGGCTAGTCACACTATTCCTTAAGTAGCCTGGCTGGCGAGTCAACAAAATTATTGGGATATGGCAAAGATGAACGGACAGGAAGACATTAATCATTAAATTCAGAAAGAAAACCTCATCAACTTGTGTCTAATTTTATGAACTGTTTTTAACAGTTCAATTACTAGATCTGTTTATTAAAAGCACAGATAATTGCCTCAGAATTGAGCCTGAAAATACGCCATTTTGTGTTTGAGCTTAAAAAAAAATGCAGGCTTGTGAAAATGCCAGCGGGCTGATTAAGAGTCTGTTTCAGTAGACCGGCTGGCTAGTGAACAAAAAAGTTAAGGTAGAACCCTGAGTATACCCTCGTTGATGAAGGGATATTCTTTTCTTGACCTTTTAACTATCTTTGCCATGAGGCAGGTGAATTTGCGAATGTGAATACAAAGCTAATTTGATGCAAAATTTGATACCAAATCGTTGTGTGAAAATTTACGCGACGTCACAAATTCACGTTAACGTTTGCTTTCATGCCGAGTTGTATTAGCCTTAAGACTTAAGACTACTCACCAGTAGCAAGTGTGGCTTCCCAGTGCAAAGAGATACTCATTGAAGCTCTCCAGTGGTGCCTCTTGGAGGACGTAGTCTATCCGACGTCCATTGTTCAGCTGACCCAATCTCAGCTCACATTCTGTGGATGGACCTATGTTATATAACAAAGAAAATATCAATCAATCAATCAATCAAAAGAAATTTATAAAGCGCCAAAATCAAAAAGTTTGCTCCAAGGCGCTGATGGGGCACCAAAAAGAAGAAAAATTACTGACGGCATGCCTCCTGAAACAGGTGAGCTTTCAGGAGTGTCTTGAATGTATGCAGTGAGGTGGTATCTGTAATGTATTCTGGAAGTTTGTTCCAGATTCTGGGGCCGTATACAGAAAATGATCCATCAGCAAAAGAGACACAATGGGTTCTAGGCTCAACAAAGTGCAGTGAACAGGAGGTTGATGATCGAAGTCGTCTCTGTTGAGAACTAATTTGGAGCATGTCCATGATGTAAGCGGGAGCTTGTTTCCAGTACGCTTTAAACATAAGAATGATGACCTTGTAGTTGATTCTTTGTGTGATTGGAAGTCAGTGAAATTTGATAAGTTCAGGAGTGATGGAGTCGAACTTCCGTTTGTTTGAAATTACTCTGGCAGCAGATCGCTGAACATTTTCAAGCCTCTTTTTCAGTTTCTGACTGATACCAATCAAGAGGCTGATTACAGTAGTCCAGTCGTGATGCACCAGAGTGTGGACTGCTAACACGGTGCTTATATATGGAAATGTGAAAGCCGATGTAATCTTTATTTTTAGGGCTGTGCTTTTACAGGTATTGTGGGAGCCAGACACCTGATATCATCGTGGTCAATTATCCGGATGCCTGCTGAAGAGTTTAAACACATGACACACTACTTGGCAACCACTCTGCAACTTGATGGAACTTGAATGCATGTCAGACAGAGCCGACTCGCTATGATAATTCAAACACTAGCCTTTCAAACCCCGGCCAATTGCCAAGACTATGGTAGGGCAACACTCATGCCCATGTCTTAGTGTACACATACCACTGCAGGTGTTGTGCCATGTCAGTGCTGGCTTCGAATTGTAGTCATCAGATAATTAAGTCTTTACTCAGACATGAAGTTGTAAACGTTTCCTAGATTTTCTGGCTTCGTACAGTGTTCTGAAGCTGGAAAAATATAACATTCTATTGAAATCATACCTGGTTCCCTTGATGACAACCCTTCTCGTTCCTGCTCTTGTCTCGCCATCTCCTCCATGCTTAGCTTCTCGGCCACCGCCTCCATCTCCTCCGATGAGACAGCAGGGACCGCAGCCTCCGCACCGCTCCGATGAGCCAAGGCAAACTCGTGGATGGACTTCCAGGTTTTCTTCATGGAGTCGATCAGGTTGCGCTTGAGGTCTGAGCCAAAGGCCGAGAGGCTCTCCCTCAATTCTGACAGGAAACGACGCGGTTTGATTAACCCTTTCCTTACCATGGGCGACTTTTGTCGACAAGGAGAACCCCCTGCTGGTTCCCATGGGCGACTTTAGTCGACCAGGAAACCACACACAGAACATCCTCAACACAGATATATTCACTACTTTTCAGAAAGGCGGCATGTTGATATGTTTGGCCGTCCATACATCAACTATATACCAGCTGAAAGAGTGTTTTCGGATCGTTCTAATGGTGTAGTTTATTCATAGTGTTGCCATTACAACAAAATGAGAAAAGTGCTTCAGAAGTATCCACGCACAAATTGAGGTATGGAGTGCCATTTGGTCATGTGGTGAAATGGCTTGCAGTTTGATAAATGGAACCAGATGAACAAACAGGCATAACTTTCTTATATTTACACATATGGACTTCATTTTTACATCACATACAAGAGTAAGGCTCAAGGAACAAACTTTACACACAACACCTATGATTTAAATCACTCCTTGGCAGTGAAAATCTGGGTTGAAAAAAGTGAGTTTTGGACTTGTGGTCATTTTGTTCACGCTCTAGTGATTTGCGCATGACTGAGCAAACAATTTGGTCCTGGGGAGAGCCAAGTCAATAAACAATGTGGTAATGAAAGGGTTAAATCAAAATGTCACGTTCAAGCTAACAATTAGGCAAACCCAGAAAACTCTAATCAAAGAAAAAGCCCATCGCAATCATATGAACCGATACATCAATCTTAGAAGATAGGAAGTTACCTAGATGGAAGCGTTTGCGACCTTTGTGGTGTGGCATCAGGAATGGCTTCACATCAGCCATGTCAGAATGAACCAGCGGTTCCATCCTATAAGCAACTGGGTCAAACTGGCAAGAACAGAGCAAAAAATTACAACGATGAACTCTCATTTCACAATAGAAATGATGACATGGGTGATAATAAGGAGTCCAAGGGTAATAAGGGAATAAATGTGTGTTCAGGAGGTTTTATAACACTCTAATTAAGACCGGTGGGAGTCTGGATGGGTAATTATCACCCATCCAGACTCCCACCGGTCTTAAACAGAGTGTTTGATACCGACCAAACACATATTTATTCCCATTCATAAATACCTTTTCGGTCAAAAAAAAAATCTTTTCGGTCCAAAAATCAAAACAAGTCAAAAACTAGACGTTGCCAACCATTTTGTTCAACAATTTTGCTTCATGTTTTACGAAACACCCCTGTGACTATAATATGGAATGCCCCTCCACAACTCGTTACTTATAAGGACATTGGCGTGCGCGTCGCGCGAACTGCGCGATGTTGCGCAAAACGCAGCTTGACTGGTGTAGTGTGAATTTTGGACCATGAAATGCTGATTCACTGGTAGTATTGCGCATGCATATGTGAGGAATGTGAACGTTCAACCAATGAAATGTTAAAAGGCACCGGATTTCATGGGAGTCCAAATTTCATGTGACACTGGAAAAGTGTTTAAGACCAGCTAGCCATGTCTTTATCATCCGATTAAGACCGGCCACGCGACGGGCTCTCGACCAATAGGAATGCGTAAACTGTCTTAGGTATTTATGAATAGCTGTTAAACACCTGTGTTTAGATTTTGGGCACTTTTGTTACTTTAAACGAAACAAATGCACACATGGCAATTGATCTACACTACCTTTAATGGATCGGCCCATTAAGGACAACGTTGATGGTTTCCCAATTTATCTATTTAATTGACTAGGCGATAACAGCATTTAGACTGATATTGGACTTTGTCACGTTGACATAGAAATTAACAGTTACCTTTCAAAGTCTATTGATGACCACCCCAAAGGTGGTCATGTGAGCAGAGGGATTTAGCCACAACGCTGAATGAAGAGGTCGTGACGACCTCGCAAGCTACGTCGTGCTTAAAGGTATAGTCCATCATTTGTAATTTGTGCATTTTGTTCGTTTGAAGCAACAAAAGTGCTCAAAATCTAAAGAAGGGTGCCAAACAACGAACCTGATGAAGTTTCAGCTCAGCTTCAGCTGTATATTTGGAGAAAAACAACATTCTAGGATCTCGATTTCAAATCAAAAGTTGCTGACTCATGTTTTGAATTTGGCCTGAATTCAGCGTCCGAGACACTTTCTCACTGAGCTGATTGCAGTTACGCGATGTCGCGCACCGATCCGACGAATTATAGCAACCACGAGCGCGTGTGCGTCTTGTCAACGCTTGCGTGTGCTTCCTTGAATAAAAAAACGAACTACTAACGGAAATTTCCAACGGTGCTTCTTAAGACGCACCGTTGGAAAGGCCTTCTTTTGCTGATTTCTTCAAAATGACAGCTTGCCAGAAAGAATAATTTCACAGGGAGTTTAGTCCCCTTACTATCTTTCAACCAAGAATGTTTTTCAATGATAATTACGTCAGTTACTTTTTGGATATCTGCAAATGATGGACTCTGGCTTTAATTAAAAGACTGTGAGAGGGAACCATTAATTTCTATGATTAGGGGACGTTTACCAGAGGCCACATGGAATATAAAGGCAAAAGAAAATTAGAATTCAAACTTGGACATGACTTACAGGATGGAACATATTGAAGAAGCCGTCACAGGTTGGTAGTTTGTATTCTTCCCCGACCCTACTGACCCCTCGGACAGTCAGGAACATGCCGATGGGCGACCCGATGGCAAAGAAAGCCTGGGGCTTGAAGTCTAGCTGAGAGTATCTGACAAGCGGTTGGCCGACACCTAGGCAAAATGGATCAGTAAGGTTGGTAGTCAGGACACAAGTTCATACCAATGCTCAACAGGTTCAGAATCTATTCATAGGATGGAATTTGCATCGGGGTGATGTAATTTCAATATGAGTTTTGCCCTGCACTGATGTACAAAGAATAGTTTCAGTTTCCAAGGTTCAGAATTTGTTCTTAAGACTTGGGCAAACAAGTGACATTCAAGGCTAATACACTTTGCAAAGTTAAGAGTGTGAAGATTTGCAGTGATGAATTTCTTGGTCAAGTGACATGTTCAAGCAGTGTATTGGGTGGCACGCAAATCTCTCCTCTAAGGCTATAATAATAATAATAATAATAATAATAATAATAATCGGCATTTAAGAACGCTCTTATTAGTAAACTAAATCACAGCGCTTACAGTATTATTATTACCCCTGATCATTGGGCCAATTAAACAATCCAAATACCATCTCAGCTCCCTGGGGAGTATACAGCTGGATGCTGCCTGTTAGGCGCAAGCAAGCTTATTCAATCACAATAACCATCTCTGCCCTCACAGGTACCCATTTACTCCTGCGTGGAGAGAAGCAATGAGTGACAAAGTGCCTTGCTCAAGGGCACACGCACCATAACCTAACAACCCGCAGCTTTACCCACAGACCACGAATCCAATGCCCTTAACTACGAGGCCACAGCACTCCATGTAGACTGTACCATGACCCCGGCTGGACTCGAACCCACAACCCGCAGCTTTACCCACAGACCACGAATCCAATGCCCTTAACCACGAGGCCACAGCACTCCACGTAGACTGTACCATGACCCCGGATGGACTCGAACCCACAACCCGCAGCTTTACCCACAGACCACGAATCCAATGCCCTTAACCACGAGGCCACAGCACTCCACGTAGACTGTACCATGACCCCGGCTGGACTCGAACCCACAACCCGCAGCTTTACCCACAGACCACGAATCCAGTGCCCTTAACCACGAGGCCACAGCACTCCACGTAGACTGTTGTGACATTTGACAATGTTCAGTTTACTGGTCTGTTGAAGCAGCAAGTTATGTTTTGAGCAAGTATGCTTTCGAGCAAACATTGGCGCTCTACAAGACTCTGTTATTATTATTACTTTTGTCAAGGTCTTTGACAATTCCAACTGTGTGGGAATATACTGCCAATAGACACAGAAAAGGTCAGGAGATCTGGCTTTACTTTAGACTTAACCTCCATCTTCACGGACGCCAAGGTAAGGGTCCTCAGATAACCTTGATGGAGCAAACTGGTTCTCAAATTATCTACACATACCAACACTGGCTGGTTTAAAGCTATAGTCCATCATTTGCAGCCATGCGAAAAAGTAACTGGCGTATTATTGTTGAAAAACATACTTGGTTGAAAGATAGTAAGGGGACTAAACCCCCTGTGAAATTAATCTTTCTGGCAAGCTATCATTTTGAAGTAATCAACGAAAGAAGGCCTTTCCAACGGTGCGTCTTAAGACGCACCGTAGGAAAACTTAAATTAGTAGTTCGCTTTGTTATTCGGCGCAGCGCGCGCAAGCATTGGCACGACGCACAGGCGCGCGCGGTTGCTATAATTCGTCGGATCAGTGCGCGACTCGCGTATAGCTGCAATTCAAAACAATTCAAAACATGATTCAGCAACTTTTGATTTGAAATTGAGATCCTAGAATGCTGTTTTTTCTCGGAATATACAGCTGAAGCTGAGCTGAAACTTCATCAGGTTAGCTGTTCAGTATCCTTCATTAGATTTTGAACACCTTTGTTGCTTCAAATGAACAAAATGCACAAATTACAAATGATGGACTATATCTTTAACTGGTTTAGGAATTGTAGGTCTCATCATACCCTACCTTCTGATCCAGGTTCAAAGTCAATGTGTACAGAGTGTGCAGACACATCGTTGAACTGTGATGCTGATGAGGCTTCCTGCCTCTCACGCTCCAAGACTTCTCTGGCTTGTTTCTCTGCTTCAGCCTTCATCCTGGCCTCGCGAGCTTTCCTGTTCCTCTCCTGTAAAGATGGCAACAATCTTTCTCAACTATTTTGGCCCAAAAGTACGAGAAACTTGGCTGTGGCACACACCTCTTAGATTCTTAACTGAATCACTGACATTGAAATATATTACGTGAAGTCTAATAGCATTTAATACAATTTCTTATGGATTTCTAGGCTTTTTATACCTTTATTTTCCTAAACAACAAGACATCAACAAGAAATCCTCAAAAGTAGTGACACAGTTTGCAACAAAACAAATTTTCCAATGGAAGATGATTAAGATATGATTAAATCCTGGTAAAAAAGCATTGAAAGTTGAGGTCAGAGCTAATAAGCCTCTGTACTGATGACGTCACACTTTGCTTACATGTGCACTTTCCTATGGAGCCAGTGGGAGCCCACGGTCCACTGAGCACCATAGGAAAGCACACATGTAAACAAAGTGTGACGTCATCAGTACAGAGGTTGATATGCTAGGTACATGAATTAAAATGGCTCGCAAAACTTACTAATAGGTCAAGGAACTGATTCTTTTGAGTATAAAATGGGTTACATTGTGAGCTACTGACCTCTTTGGTTGCTTGCTCCTTCAAGAAGCCACCTAGTTTCTTCCTGGGTCCGAGAGGGAGACCCATCTCCTTCAAGTCAGAGTCACTACACATGAGCTGAGGAGTAAAGGATGCATGAAATCGTAAGATTTAAAGGCATAGTCCATCATTTGTAATTTGTGCATTTTGTTTGTTTGAAGCAACAAAAGTGCTCACAATCTAAAGAAGGATGCTGAACAACTAACCTGATGAAGTTTCAGCTCAGCTTCAGCTGTATATTTGGAGAAAACCAATATTCTAGTTTCTCGATTTCAAATCAAAAGTTGCTGAATCATTTTTTGTATCGGGCCTGAATTCAGCGTCCGAGACACGTTCTCACAGAGCCCATTGCAGCTGACGAATTATAGCAACCGCGCGGGCGTGTGCGTCGTGTCAACGCTTGGGCGTGCTTCACCGAATAAAAAAACGAACTACTAACGGAAATTTCCAACGGTGCTTCTTAAAGACGCACCGTTGGAAAGGCCTTCTTTCGTTGATTTCTTCAAAATGACAGCTTGCCAGAAAGAATAATTTCACAGGGAGTTTAGTCCCCTTACTATCTTTCAACCAAGTATGTCCATGGGCGTCGCCAGGATTTTTTCTAGAGGGGGGCAAAACAAATTCTTGCCAAAAAATGCTTGTATTTCTCAACACATTCTCGATTTATCAGTTTTAGAGGGGGGCAGGGACATTTTGCCCCCCCCCCCACTCATTAAATTTACACCACTTTGTCTTCGAGCCTCTTTTTTTTTTTTTTTTTCTTCCTTTTTCTTCCTTTTTTTTTTTTTTTTTTTTTTTCCAGGGGGGGGCAAGTGCCCCCCCTTGCCCCCCCCTCGCGACGCCCATGAGTATGTCTTTCAACAATAATTACGCCAGTTACTTTTGGGATAGCTGCAAATGATGGACTCTGGCTTTAAGAATACAATTTTGGTGGTTACTTACTTCGTGGAGTTACATTCTTTTGATCAATCATAGAAATTTGTTTTCAAGTGTTTCAGAAGTCATTCACTCTTTCTACTATCAAACCAAATTTTCTTCTTACGAAAGATACATGCAGTGCGTCAAAATTTTTCAAAATTGATCACATCAGCAGTTTTCTTTACCAGAGTCTCTATATCAATCCGCTCCTCCTGAAACTTGGGCAGGAAGTCGATCAGTCCCAGCTGAGCGAGGGCACTGTCTAGGGTCATGACCTCTTCCTCGGCTTCCTCATTGGCTACATTCTCAGTGAGTTCATCGCCGGGCAGGGCGAGGGATTGGTCCGGAGTGACGGGTGTGTCCGTGTGGGAGTCGGTTGTTTGTAAGTTTGGTTGGCCATCTCCCTGGTGGGACAGGAGGTCAAAGACGATCAGAGAACCTGCAAAAGAGAAAACGAAAAGTGTGATTTTGATGTGAAATAGTTAAATTTATGGTGGAGAAACTACAAATTTGTCATCATGTGATTGGCCAATGAGACCACACTGGCAAAACAGTGTTTGCACTATCAGCTTTCAGTGTACAAGACACCAACTTACATGCTTGATGGCTGAAGTAAAATGGAGTTCAGATAGAGAACTAATTACGCTACAAATGATCAAAAAATCCTTTGGTCCCTATTTAATTGTGTATCCTATCTAAAAATATGAATCTAGATTTAACAGGAGAACTTTGCAGTTCTCTTCTGAAGGGTGTGTATAAATTACTTGACTTCAACTACCAATTACATATGCAGCTTTGGAAGCGGCTGAAGACGCTTCCCATGGGCACAAGTGTTGCTGTGAGCCGTAGCCTATAATTCAGATGCGGCCTGAATGGGATACGGCTTGAAATTACACGCGAGTCAAAGATAGCGGCTGCAGCCACTTCCTACAGACTCGTATGTAATTTCAAGCCAAAGCCAAGTAATGTGGACATGGCCAGGGTGAGCCTCACCTAGACTGTGTCCAACAATAGAAGCTTGTCCCCGGAAGTCAGGGTTTCTGTCTTGGAACAGCTGGTAGAGGCGGTTGATCTCCGAGCAGACGTGCTCAGCGATCTTCTGGGAGTAGGAGGGACTGGAGTAGAAGAGGATATCCAGGAGGGTGTCGTTGGTGAACCGGCGAAGACGGCTGATGCTTGGCAAGGTGATGCGTCTCAAACGTCTGAAAGGATTTGTGTAAAATGCTTTCGTCACAAACATCTGAAACAATGAAACTTATTTCAGACACTGCATCAAAAATTCACTGTTGACTTGTCCTTTTTTTGATAAGCGTGCTTATGCATTGGTCAAGGCTTCAAAATAGGAACACCTCCAGTTCCTAGGATGTTTCAGGGACAAGTTTACAGAGCTGCCAAGCACAATACTATGCTAAGCACTCAAGAAATTTGCTTATCTCAAAGAGGTTATCAACCAAATTGCCACTTGTGTATAATGCCTGTGAATGGATCTGGCTTGTTTTTGATAAGCAGTCAAATTTGATAGGTAATAATATCTCCTAAATGGAATATTTCTAGTATCTCTGAGTTTTTTTAACCCTGGCTAACCATACCTGTCAACACCTGTCGCGTCTCCATGCAAGGCATCATACCAGTAGACGGGTAGGAACTCGATCCGTCCAGTCCTGCCATCTTCTTGTGAGTGCTTGAAATGTGAACGCATCAAGCCCAGCGAGACAGAACGAAAGTCATCCACTAGGAGGCAACAAAAGTTAAAAACTAATTTATAACAATAATATCCAGAATCTGAACAGATCAAGCTTTTCATTTCCTTTCTTTTCATTCATAAAAAAAGACTAAAAAATGTGACAGCAACTTGGGAAATGTCTTTCAAGAGATTTATGACAAGCTGAAGAAGTGGTCACCTTTTACACCACTGGCCAGAGTTGTAATGACTCAAGTCAATGACTCGACTCAAGTCCGACTCGAGTCACAATTTTTGGTGACTCGACTCGACTCGAGTGGGCAAATGACTCGACTCGACTCGAGTCACTGCGAGCAAATGACTCGACTCGACTCGAGTCCCTCATCAGAATGACTCGACTCGACTCGAGGAAGGCTAATGAGACTCAAGTCCCAAAAATAAAAGCAAAACTGTTTTTGTTCATGTCACGTTAGAATGTTCGCGAATAATGTATACATATACATACATGGTTTGATCAGTGTCCCCATTAGTTGAATGACGATCAGCTGGCACCCCCTTTTTATTTTCATTAAGAGGCAAATGTGGTGTCGCCACATTTAGCCCGAATGTAAAATTTGAAAAGCCAGAAAATGACTTTCTCTCTTGTGTTTATTTATTGTATAGTGCTCAAATATTTGTGACTTGAATTGACTCGAGCTAAATACTTGACTCGACTCGACTCGACTACACATTGTGACTCGACTCGACTCGACTCGACCGTCTTGACCTAATGACTTGACTCGACTTGAGTCACTTCTTTAAAATGACTCGACTCGACTCGAGTCACAAAAATCAGTGACTCGTTACAACTCTGACACTGGCTCACAACTTCACCCGATTTGAGTTTAGTTGAGTGGCTGAAATAATAGGGTGACGGAAATTTGGTAGTTAAATTTAGTTACATTATAGGGTATTAGGGGAGCTAGTAGGAGGGGTGAATCTAAGGTTTCTTACCACACTCAACGATCCCTCTGAACCGTAGGTCACAGACAGGCCCAATGCCATGGGCTATGAAGACCAAATGATCAATTTGGTTCGGTTCTCCTAAAGGAATACAAACAAGAGAAGAAAGACCAATAGACCGTTGAAAGACAGCTGTCGGAGTTATTCTGTTCAATATTTCAGAAATAAGCAATGAGTCACACCAGTTCTAATTACATCAAGCTTTACGACGTCTGTAGACAGGTCTACATGTATGTAACAAACATATGTTCACTACACGTTTCTGCCATAATTCTCCCGCAAACAGGAAAGTGGCCTTATATGTGACCGGCTCCACAAAAAAGGGTATTATGTTGCAAAAAGGTGAAATTGAGTTATATACATGTTTGGAAAGCCCACAATGTAAGCTTTCATTTGGTACATAACAGAGCTCCATAGCCCCTCCCGTTCTGGAAATATGATGTATTTGCATATTAATTACTTCCTTGGAGTTCAAATTACACAACTGAGGAAACAGGCTTTGAAATAGCTGGCTTTGTTGTTGAACAACAGAACGACACACACAAAATGGTTGTTTTTTTCCACTTTATTCATCAGAATCAACTTTTCTGTGACTGAAACCTGAAAATGTAGGTATTAAAGATGTCATTCATGACAAAAAATGAAAATCATATTTTGACAAACTTTTCACCTTCTCAATGTTGAGCGGGTCATTACACAATAATGCTCAGCGTGACTTAATACCCTTTTTTGTGGAGCCGGTCACATATAATCCAAAGTCGGAAAAATGAAAGTACGCAGGAAAAAAACAACAAATTGCTAAGAATTTTAAGTAAATCTCCAACCTTGATCAATATTTTCCACATCATCCACTCCACGTTTGACAACCCTGGGTCTCATCTGACCATCGGGGGAGGTGCCAAAATCATCTGCCCTAGACGGGGGTCGGAAATGGACGATGACGTTGGGGTTGTGCATGACAATGGTCTCGCCATCCGCAAACTCAAGCCTCTTGTGCCAAACGTTGTTGAGAACGGCAGTCTCGTACTCTTGCTGCAATTATGACGTTTGAATTTTTTAATTATTGGAAGCAAAAAATGGAAGCTCTATAACCTTTACTCCGTAGTCATATAACCTTCACTCCCTATCTGCTTGGAATTTTCCTGAACCCTCCAACATATACGGATTGGTAGGAAAGTAAAGTAAAAAGTATGTCACAACCAATGTGAGATGAGATTTGAAGGTTTGCACCGTAAATGTGGCAAAATCTCTTTTGTGAGAATGTGTGGTTCTGAAAAGCACCAGTGGGTATTAAATGTTTCGGACAGTATACTCTGCCCGTCGTCAGGAGACTGAGGGATTCCAACAGTGCAGATGGGTTATATGGTGCCTGGAAGCGATGAAGCATGACAGGGATGCAAATGTGGCCCATCAGGCCGGCGTTTATCACTGGTTTCAGTAGCATGATACGACTGAGAATATTTCTATTCCCCCTGGATGGGATGCTAGTCCATCGCAGGTTACTCCCCAGCTAATGCCAGTACCCATTTATACTCCTGGGTAGAGAGAGGCAAGCGGGGGTGAAGCGGCTTGCCCAAGGACGCAATATATGACCAGCAGCTGGTCGAACCCCTGACCCGCTGATCATGAGTCACGAACCCTAGCCACTAGGCCACACTCCAGTAGATGGGTAGGAAGCCAAAGCACATTCATTGTGCATGTAATTAAAAGTGTCAAAGGGCATCGAATTCCACAGTAAATGGGCTTAACCGTCTCAATCCTGCTGACTCCTAAAACCTTGCAGTGGATTTCGAAGGACCAGGAAGGGTAATGGTTCAAGCTATAGTCCATCTTTTGCAGCCATCCAAAAAAGTAACTGGCGTATTATTGTTGAAAAACATACTTGGTTGAAAGATAGTAAGTGGACTAAACTCCCTGTGAAATTAATCTTTCTGGCAAGTTATCATTTTGAAGTAATCAATGAAAGAAGGCCTTTCCAACGGTGCATCTTAAGACCGTAGGAGAATTTAAATGAGTAGTACGTTTTGTTATTCGGCGCAGCACGCGCAAGCATTGGCACGACGCACAGGCATGCGCGGTTGCTATAATTTGTCGGATCAGTGCGCGACATCGCGTATAGCTGCAATTCAAAACAATTAAAACATGATTCAGCAACTTTTGATTTGAAATTGAGATCCTAGGATGCTGTTTTTCTCGGAATGTACAGCTGAAGCTGAGCTGAAACTTCATCAGGTTAGTTGTTCAGTATCCTTCATTAGATTTTGAACACTTTTGTTGCTTCAAACGAACAAAATGCACAAATTACAAATGATGGACTATATCTTTAAGACAATAAACAGGTAAAATCACCACATCTCAATGAGACGAAAGAAGACAAATATAAGAAGAAACGAAACAAACCTCTAGTTTATCGGCCAAGGCTTCCTCGTATGGCAGGAATCGGTTCTCGCCGTCGCTCTTGTAAAACCACGTGCATCGACGGACACTTGAGGGCCTCTCATCCCAGTAGACTGCGTGTCGTTGTCGCTGCTGGATGTTCACGTCATAGCGCCCTCCATTGGTGGAGATGATGATGTCCTCATTGAGGTTGTTATAAGCTACAAGGCCAAGACACAGATTGAGATACATTAACAAATAGTGGCCTGGGTGTAACTTTCTCAGTACGCCAATATTCATAAAACCTCTTCATGGATTTTTGACAATTTGGGGAATTGGATTAAATCATTTTCTTCATATTTTTTAAGAGACCAGAATTGCCTTTTAATTTACTCACAAGCATGAAGTGCCTCATCCAGTCTGATTGAATCCATGATACTAAAGGGGTTCCACACTTCACCCCTATCAAACTCCTTACAGTAGAACCAATGTGGCTGGACAGGGTGGTATGGGGTACCCCCGGGGCCTGGAGAGGCGCCTGACTGGGGACCCGTGGACTGGGCATGGTGAAGATCGGCAGAAGTAGGTGGGGGCCTTGAGGAATCAAACTGCAAGAAAGAGAAGCGGTGAATAATGAAACGTGAACATATGTAAAAACATAATGAGTTCTACTTATGGATTTAACTGCAGCAGGAACTTTGTCCAAAACTTGCAAAAAACGAAATAAACATTAGCAATATTGATTGTAACAGAAAAGAAGCCACTTGCAAATCAACTGAACTCACCATTGGGAGACCAGGGGGTCCAGTGGGTGGGGCTCCAGTGGGTGGGGCCCCCATAGGGGGTCCGCCCAGAGGGAGAGTCCCCATCGGAGGTGTACTTGTAGGTGTCGATCCCACCCCACCCATAGGGTGGAGTACCGGCTTGTATCCCTGTCCAAGCTTTACCCCTCCAAAGCCCCCAGTTCGCCCCTGTGGTGGGCCTGTGGGTGGGGGTGCATTGGGATCATGGGGCGCAGACATGGGGGGTCCTTGTCGATTACTAGGGGTGCCAATGGGTGGACCGCTGGAGTACTGCTGAGAGGGTTGTGGGGGTGCCGGACTTGAGAAACTGACAGGCTGGTGACAGGAGGATGAAGGGGCATATAGCGGAGGCTGGGTTGGATTTGTCGTCAACGTGGTACTTTGTTGGGCTTGAGTGGGGAGGGATGCTGGTTGGCTGATGTTGGCAAAAGGGTCCGAGGCACTGGCGGACGATGCAGTTGTGAAGAAGGGAATTTGTGGCTGGGTGGTTTGGCCAACAGAGGGCTCGGCTGTCTGGCCAAGAAAACTGTCAGCTTCACCATCTTCTACAAGAAGAGACAATGAAATGAAGAGTGAATTAAATGAAGGCAAAATGCTTCTGGGTTTTGGAATTTGAGAAATATGATATTACCATGGTTACCAGTATTGATGTACCACAGCTTAAATACTGTGGTTAGTACACTGAAAATGCTATGATTGACGCATGCGGAACGCTGCAACTTTGCAAGGGTATAGGCACAACCCCTTTCAGATTTTGGCCTATTCAAATGTTGCAAGTTGAAGTAGTGAAGAAGGAAGTCTACCTTTGTTTCATATACATCATGTATCCTCGATCCTCCATAATCTGCGCAGATAACTTTTCGCATTGCGTGCGCGTTGTCAAGCAAAAGTGAGTGCGAAAAAATAGGATCGCGTAGTTTTAAAGGGTCTGTTCACGTTGCACTCAGACTCAGTTCAGCAGTGTTCAGGCTAGTCAGAGTAACTTGGACCCAACTTATCACCTTTTTAACATTCGGACACGGTCTGGCGATAGACCATGTCCGAATGTTAACAAGGCGATAAGTTGGGTCCAAGTTACTCGGACCATGTTCAGGCCTATTTTGGTTTTGAATTATAGGCCTATCCTTCAAAGTTTAATGGCGTTATTTTAACCACGATTTTACTGATTATATACAGCCACAGGATCAATAAGCAAAAGTATGGTTTAGCTATGATGCAGTCTGAAAGGAAGTTAACCATGAAAACGTTATAATCTTTCTCTATCTCGTGATCCTCGATCACTTAATCAATCCATGATCAATCATGAATCAAACTCAAAGGCTTCTTAAAAATGCCACAGTCCACAGATGCCGGTAAAATGTCTTCCGTATTTCAATAAGTTTCTAACTGTAAACATCATCAAAAACTCACACAAATTACTCACCAGTTGGAAAGAGTGATGCAGTTGCTGGAACCGGTCTAAAAGCGTCCGGTGCCAAGCTATCACTGGCAGGAAAAAGCAATAAAGGCGGAGGATTCTGATTCGGATCAGCCATGATTCAGCCCCTTTTCTGCTGCACGACACGTCATATAAAAGTTCACCAATGGAGGGCGCTGTTTATACCTGTTCCGGTCTGGCGACCAACTTGTGAAATGTGAGTTTTTATACGAGTTCTTTTTTACGTGAACCAGACTATGAAAACTGAAAAAGATGGCTGACATTTCAGACGTCGCTGACAGCTTAGTGCTCCGGAGAATCCGGCCTGGCACGAAATTTGAGGCAAGTTTTTCGATTCTTTTCATGAATTGTGACTGATAAGTGTTTTGTTTTCGTATCCTTGATGCTTAAAATGTGATGATATGTTCCTTCAGATTGATCAAATAAGCTGTTCTATTTGGGCACTTCCTAAACAATGAAAAAGGGGGGCGTGGTCATGGAGGGAAGGGACTATTTAACACTTGCTGGATCGAGCACCTTTAATGTTTACTATCCAATGACTGTATGGAATGTGGTTTCTACAAAATGTAATTTGAGCCACCCGACCCTCACAACCAGCCCATTCACCCCTGATTAACCTCTGGCATGTCTGGAGTATCTCTCCAGCCCCAAACAGCCGTTAAAACCACAGACATAACCCCATTCGACATTCCATTTTGGTCACAGGGGTGATCGAAATAATCCCAATGTATATAGTGCATTTGTACACAAGCCTATGTAAATGTGCACAAGCACACAGGGTTTTCCCGCCAATTTTCAACCCCTCCAGTATGATCACAAGACTGACACCCCCTCTGAAGGATGTAGTATGGTCCATACTACGATCTGGTGATAGATGGCCCCGGGTGTGTTTACCACGTGGCCAGGACAATATAAAACATAAAAATGTGTAGAGTCAATATTCCCTCCTGAATCCAGGTAAGGTGGGAGGAACAAAAAGCCAATATCTGTTATTGTTTTGTAATTGTTTTCTCAGTTATAACATTAATGACATAATGTAAATCTGTGCGAGCATTGATTGTCTTTACATTTATTTAATTTTGCGAATGAAAACTTCTTTCCTGTATTGTCAAATACAGGATTTTCACAACTGGCCAGACCAGTCTTTTGAAGAGATGGACAGCACTTTAGCCGTCCAACAGGTACAGTATTTATCACCGGTCATTTCACAGATATCAATCATATTGTAGTAATGAAGTTGTCTTCCATACATTGCCATTGCTGTATGTAGCAGAGATTTCAAAGTCTGACAGTAAAACTGGGGGTAACTGAACTGAATTTGTGTTTGTTTTCTTTTGTTCAATTTGTAAGAGTTATTTATATGGACCTTCATTGTGAAACCAATCTTGTGTTGAATAGAAACGAATATACCCTTTTCATGTTCCAAAACAGTACATCCAACAGAATATTCGGAATGCCATCAAGAACATTGACTTCATCTTGGAGGCACCTGAGGGTCAGGATGAAGGAGTCTGGAAGTATGAGCATCTAAGACAGTTCTGCCTGGAGCTAAATGGATTGGCAGTCAAACTGCAGGTGAAATATCAGACATCAGAGTGAATACATAAAATAGGATTCATCCCTTATAGGCCTTAGTACTACTACTACTACTACTACTACTACTACTACTACAGGGTGAGTCAAAAAAGCGGAACCCAAACCCCAAAAATTATATTTCATATTCAAAAAAATATGCAACACCAAAAATTATAATAACTGGAAAGCCAATTTCATAAGCTACTTTTAGTTTTAGATGAAAAAATACTGAAATTGCTCAATCCGTTCGAAGAATATCACCATTTAAACACAATGACCCTAAATCCTGTCACGTCCAAAAATGCGATTTCAGGACTCGTCGTCACAGTTGTCTTCAATCATCACCAGCGATAAAACCTCAGTTTAAAAGTTTAAAATATTCAACAAAGTCCTTTTGAAAACCTGTGTATTAGAAACAGTGGATTTTATCAATCATATTGTTTGCCTAACCAGGGTTGTTAATAAATATATTATGTACTACTGTTCTTGACAGTTGATGAAACAAGTATTCTGCGTCATTTTCTTTGTTGTTCCAAACAGTCAAAACACACAATAAATTGGTGTTTTTGGACGAGACAGGTTTTAGGGTTATTGCGTTTAAATGGTGATATTCTTTGAACGGATTGAGCAATTTCGGTATTTTTTTCATCTGAAAGTAGCTTATGAAATTGGCTTTCTAGTCAGTATTAGTTTTGGTGCTACATATTTTTTTAAATATGAAATATATTTTTGGGGGTTTGGGTTCCGCTTTTTTTGACTCACCCTGTAGTACTACATGTACCTGCTCTGAAGAACACATGTAGAGCCACTTTGTTGACTCTCTCGCCAGCGCGCTGAAACTCTTTCCACACAAGTACACTGTTCAGTTCAAACATGTACCAAAATTGTTTAACTGGTGTTATACATGTAGGTGGACGCAGACCTACAGGAGTTTTTTACATTGACCTATTTAGCTCCTCGACCTATGCTGTTGAAACTCAATGGTTCTTGAGTCTGGAGTGCTGAGTGTTAACACATAGCAACCGATGAAAACTGGTGTGCAAATGAATAGATGTTTTCATCGGATGACGTCACTCCGCCCCGATCTATTACCAACTTTGCCCAATTAAAATCAGCTCAAGTATTTCAGTTGTAGCCACTCCATTAAAACCATTCAAGTGTATGACTATGAAGTTTTGTTGGATTCAGTACCCACACGCTTATGGGCAATTCCACGGTTACTCACGTTACATTTTTGATGTATTTTTGAGTTTCCTTACTGAAAAGGTTTAATAACTGTTATCCCCATGGTAGATAGAGTAGACCTAGACCTAACTAAGCACCAAAGATGACATCCAGAAAAATGTGTTATGTATGATAAACAAGACGCACAAAATCGGTTACTCACGTTACGAAAATGTAATGTGAGTAACCGATTTTGTGCGTCATACATAACACATTTTTCTGGATGTCATCTTTGGTGCTTAGGTAGGTCTAGGTCTACTCTATCTACCATGGGGATAACAGTTATCAAACCTTTTCAGTAAGGTAATTACAGCCCAAGGAAACTCAAAAATACATCCAAAATGTAACATGAGTAACCGTGGAATTGCCCATATGCATTGTACAATCATGAAATAGAATCAGGGTTTCTTTCGTTGATATAGCAGGTAATTCAAATATTTTATTTTGTTGACTGATAGACTGAGTGCAATCCAGACACATGCACCCAAATGACGGCAACAGAGCAGTGGATATTCCTATGTGCAGCTCACAAGACACCCAAAGAGGTGGGTAATGTAATTCAGGGTGTTCCTTTTCTTTTGTTTTCGTTATCTATTTAGAAGTCACCCATCATAATGCTGATGGCTTCTAGTTGTAATGGGATACTAAGAAAAAAATGTAGGATAAGGCCAAAAAAAAAGTCTCTGGTTTCTGGTATGGAGCTTGTCCAAAAAGTGGTGCGGCGACGCGGCTTTTTTTTTTTTTACCCGACTTTTTTGCTTCAAATGTCGGCTGATGACTGGAAATGGTGTCCGACTAAACTTAGTGCAAATATATGGGAGTCCAGAGAGGCCACATAAAGCTTATTCTCGATCATAACCCCATCTAAAAACACGTTGAAATTGTGCAGCAGCAGGATTCCAGTCAAACCAGTGATTTTGGCGGTTTTGAGACATCATCTGTCATTGAAAAAAAACTTTTTCATTTTGCCGACGCGCATGGCTACGGCGACGCGCGCGCATACCAGAAACCGGAGACTTTTTTTTTTGGCCTAACTGGAACAAAAGGAGCGAACACAAAGGAGAGATTCATTGATTCATAAGGAAATAATTCACATTTCTTTTGAATGATTAAGAAAAGTGTCTCAGTTAGTAAGTTCAACAAATGGTGAAACAGGTTTAATTTTATTTGTTAAAGATATAGTCCATCATTTGTAATTTGTGCATTTTGTTCGTTTGAAGCAACGAAAGTGCTCAACATCTAAAGAAGGGTGCTGAACAACTAACCTGATGAAATTTCTAAAAATTAATGTGGCCTGATGTTGCGAACTTAGCAAGTTCTTCTTCAGAGGCTAAAACAGAAATGACAGAGGCACATACATTAACAAGGGGTGCACACAAACATGCAGGGGTGAAAGAAGAAACACAAAAGGAGGATTAGGTGGGAAAGGTGTGGAAAGATGCAGGGGAGGGTGGATGAGAGAACAAAGAAACAAAGGGAGATGGCAAACCACAAGGGGTCTGGTATGAACAGGGGAGGGACCAGAAAGGGGAAGGATCAAAGGTCACCGGGAGTGGGAACGGACAAAAGAGTGTGGGAGTGAAGGGGGATTATGCGGGGGGGGGGGGGGGGGGGGGGGGGGGGGGGGGAACAGTATGGAGGTGGAAAGGGATGAAAGATGGGGGAAGATGGGTAAACACAAACAATGAAGACCAGGTGGATTATCTGTAACAGAAGACAATGGAGGAAGAAAAAGATTAATCATTTCCAAGTTGGATGTTGAGACCATGTGGTTGAATAGTTCGAAGACGATTCATCCACACTTTCTCTCTGCTGAGGCGAACTGAGTCCTTGCGATGGCCAAGAGATTCAATGCCCTGCAAAATCATATCAGAAATGGAGTGGTTAGGCAGGTTGAAGTGGTGACCAACAGGGGTGTCTAGTTTCTTGGTGAAATGAAATTTCAGCTCAGCTTCAGCTGTATATTGCGAGAAAAACAGCATTCTAGGATCTCAATGTCAAATCAAAAGTTGCTGAATCATGTTTTGAATTGGGCCTGAATTCAGCGTCCGAGACACGTTCTCACTGAGCCGATTGCAGCTACGTGATGTCGTGCACTGATCCGACGAATTATAGCAACTGCGTGCGCGTCGTGCCAATGCTTGCGCGCGCTTTGCCGAATAACAAAACGAACTACTAATTTGAATTTCCTACGGTGCGTCTTAAGAAGCACCGTTGGAAAGGCCTTCTTTCGTTGATTACTTCAAAATGAGAGCTTGCCAGAAAGAATAATTTCACAGGGAGTTTAGTCCCCTTACTATCTTTCACCCAAGTATGTTTTTCAACAATAATTATGCCAGTTACTTTTTGGATAGCTGCAAATGATGAACTATAGCTTTAACAACTATTGAAGGAGTCTATTACTATTCCTTGATGACATTGTAACCTGTTGTACTCCTAGTGTCCTGCCATTGACTACACAAGACATACCTTGGATGGAGCAGCGTGTCTACTCAACAGCAACAAGTATTTCCCTAGCAGGTAATGCACAGTCTTAATGTGGCATCTATTGATGCTGATGTTTACCATTTCAGCTTTACATTCAGTGGAGTGCTGTGGCCTCGTGGTTAAGGGCATTGGATTCATGGTCTGCGGGTAAAGCTGCGGGTTGTGGGTTCGAGTCCAACCGGGGTTATGGTACAGTCTACGTGGAGTGCTGTGGCCTCGTGGTTAAGGGCATTGGATTCATGGTCTGCGGGTAAAGCTGCGGGTTGTGGGTTCGAGTCCAGCCGGGGTTATGGTACAGTCTACGTGGAGTGCTGTGGCCTCGTGGTTAAGGGCACTGGATTCGTGGTCTGCGGGTAAAGCTGCGGGTTGTGGGTTCGAGTCCAGCCGGGGTCATGGTGCGTGTGCCCTTGAGCAAGGCACTTTGTCACTCATTGCTTCTCTCCACCCAGGAGTAAATGGGTACCTGTGAGGGCAGAGATGGTTATTGTGATTGAATAAGCTTGCTTGCGCCTAACAGGCAGCATCCAGCTGTATACTCCCCAGGGAGCTGAGATGGTATTTGGAATCTTTAATTGGCCCAATGATCAGGGGTAATAATAATACTGTAAGCGCTGTGATTTGGTTTACTAATAAGAGTGTTCTTAAATGCCGATTATTATTATTATTATTCCATTTTTGACTAAATTAAATATTATTGGACACAAAAGAAAACACACCTCACACCATTCCTCTTGAGATTACCATGCGACTCTTGAGATTACGCAGGGCCACCTCAATTTGATGGCGTTACATTGGGGCAGTTTATTGGAACAAGAGGAACCACAGTGCTTCCACAATATTAGAGGTGTACCAGACGAGGAGTGTGTAGTGATCACATGGAAGAATTTGTCTATAGACAATTAAATACCCTGCCCCCCTCCCACCAATTTTTTTTAAAGTCAGGCATGCAACTTTTCCTCGGATCAGCTGATTTCCTCTTTTTTCACTCCCCATGTGTGCCATTGAAAATAGAAAAACACTGTACAAAGTCTTGAAAAGATTTGAATTTCCTCTTTTTTGTGACTTCCCAGTTGCATGCCTGTTAAGTAGATTGTTAACAAATTGTAAAGCTGCCTGAGAGGATCATTTAAACCTATGTTTTCTTTGCATCTCTGAATTAAACATGTAGGGTGAGCATCAAGGAGTCGTCAGTAGCCAAGCTAGGATCAGTCTGCCGTAGGATATACCGGATATTCTCCCACGCTTACTTCCACCACAGGGTGCTGTTTGATGAATATGAGGTAAGTCATAACTGATTCTTTCAAACTAAACTTGATTCAGATAAATGATTGTTAGTAGATAATAAATTGATAGGGCGGAAATACATCTTTGAAAGAATGCAGAAGGCATCTCAACAAGTTTTCTTTAAATACCTCTCCCAAGTACATAATCTGAAAAAAGGGATTCTTTGTTCAAAATTAAAGGGGCACTAGGCCCTGAAATCCCTGAAAATGTTATGTTTTGGATTGTTTACTTAGCCTATTTCAAACATCTGGTTGAAAGAAAACCAACCTAATGTCTTACCGTTCCCGAGAAAAGACGAAAAAAACCTGCTTGTTTACATCGGAAATGACGGAGTACGAATACGTTTTTCGTGTCGTTCTCAGTGTACGATATACATGTTGTGTGTCTCGGGAACAGCGGTGACCGATCACCAATGCAAAAAAAAGGTGGTTTCTTCAACGTCCGCAAAAGGCGAACACTTTATGAATGAAATCACAACTAGCATCCAAACAGCTCGAATTTATGGGGTCGCAAAAGTGGACCCCGTTCTCGCACGCATAACACTAGAATAACACAAAAATGCCCAGTTTTGAAAGGATAGTTGTGTGGATGTTTATATCCTACTTTTAAATGGTATTTCCGATTAACATCATCCCATTCAAAGCGCGTTTTGTAGCCCAATTGGGCTGTTCCAGACACCGAGTTGTAAAGGCTGGCTCAGGGTCCTACGGTATCAAATCCATCAAATCCAACAAAATATCATGTAAAAGATTATTAGGGGACTAATCCTGAAGAAGGAAGTAGATACAAGTAGTCATTTTCTTGTGACTCCCCTTTCAGAATGAGACTTACCTGTGTCGTCGCTTCACCACGTTTGTCACCAAGTATAACCTGATGTCTAAAGACAATCTCATCGTGCCAATCTTGGAGCAGAATAAGACGGAGCTCGAGATAGCTGAACCCCCCTCGGAATCATCCGCTTGATGACTGTCTTATAACTACCCCAAATTTCAAGCACAAAATAACTTATATTGTCTAAACATGGGCCCACTTTGACAGCGCTTCTAAACATTTTAAACAATTCACGAGAAGTATCAATTGCCTAACATTTTGGCCAGTTTTGTGTTGAGTATCTATATCCTGAGGATCTCCACGATATTGGACTTTAGTCTCAGGCTTTTCTCATCCAAACACTTGACCCATACAAATATCTGCATCATTCAAATACAAATTGACCGCATCTAATATATTGTGATCCAAATTTGAGAACAATTATCTGCCAAATTCAGCAAAGCACACAGGAAACTTGCAAGCAATGGCAACCTTTCACTTGAGCTAAACCATTTTTTTCTAAATTTGAGTTCATGACCAACAAGTCCTGTCAAAGCCGTTCTGGAAACTGACAATAGAGAGGTTTCGCATGCAAACGGATACGTTTAGTGCGATGGATACGTCATCAGTTATGACGTCGTACGCCACTCACTATCTGCTAAACGTGCAGACGACACGCATATCTCGCTCGCTACATGTAAGTAAAAAACGGATACGGATAGCTAAACGTAAGTGTCAGCGTATCCGTTCGCTTGCGAAACCTCCCTAAAAAGTGCATCCTGTACATACATGTATAATTAGTGAGGACTTAGAAATGATACTGGAAACCACCAGTACATGTAGATTATGTATCCTGTCTTAGAAATTAGCCATAAAAGACAAGGAGATACATTTTGCATTCGCATGCCAGTATTTTACTCGATTAACCAGTTCGCGTCGGAGGACATGATAAAATACACGGTTTAAACGTCAAGATTGCTTCGACTCGCCTTTGGGTGACGTCTAAACACGCTAATCCCTCGTGCCTTTGGTACACACACACAAAAGTCAGTTTGTGAAGTCTGTGGAGGCGAACCGTGTGTTGATATTGAATCGGCTGTTGTGCACGGCCTATTGTTCGACAATTTACGCTCCAGTATACACCTCGGAGTATTGAAAAATATGAGGTCTCGGCAAGAAATATACAGATACTGTTGAAATGACTCTTGCAAATCAGTATTTGTGGCGTTTTGCTGTATATCAGAAGTTGGCTGGAATATTTTGCCTTTTGCAAAAAATAGAGATATTCGGCAAAAATAATCCCGGCGCGAACTGGTTACGACACAAACACCTTCATGGCAAATTGGCATCTTATTCTGTAAGAGTGTGTAAAACTTTGTTTAACTGTCAAACCTTGTCATCTTTGTGAACTGTATAGAGTGTGTTATTTATTTGACCTTTTTTTTTAGCAATAAATAAACAACAGAGATACTTGTTGGTACTATATTTGTTATGCATACATTGTAAACTTATTTTGGTTGTTCAGGCAGTTGGGGCGCCCCAAAACGGATTCTGCTACAAATCTGTCAAAAAAGGATTTCATTATCTTTCCAATAAATAATTTTTAAGAATTGTGTGAAATGATGGGTAGGCGTACACCGCGTTATGGGGAAGTTTTTTATTGTTAGGCAAATTAGGACCGAGTTATGGGGACTTTTTGCTGTCCCCATAGCATTTTCGGTCCCCACAAATACCTTGCACAGACAAGTGTAAGTCCCCACAATTACGGAATAAGAATGTGTGTTCTTTGCTTATCATTCACGCCCAAACAGTATAAGAAATATAGTTGCTGGTAGTAAAAGACATCGCTTTATTTGGTTATTTTATCAAGTTCAGTATCACATTTGTGTGTGGTTATCTTTGTTGATGCAAGAAAAGCAACCAGCATAAATCTAATCAGAGAGATAGAAAATTTATAAAAGATTTACACTTGATAAACTAATGCAGCTTGCTCGTTGGAGCTTAGTTTCGCAACGACTGTAGCAACTTCGCTTCGCTACAGAAAGTTAACTGAGCTTTAAGTGTTATTTCAACCTTATACGCCAGTCACAAGATTCTGCACTAAGTTGATTTTGGTTAGTTGACTTTAAGTTGACATTAGTGGATCCACCATGGATGTGTCCACTGCAAAGAAAATCAGCAGCTTGTGGAGTTCATTCAAGGGATGGTGAGTATTGATTTCATTAGTGGATTTAAAACAATTGGATTTAAATGTTCAGTTTTTTTAAAGCACTGGGAAGAACGTTCTTGCGCTAGTAAAGTACATGTATGTTTAAGAATAGACCAGATTTAGTTATGATTTGTGATCAAATGATATTCTGAAAAAAATAAATACAAATCTTAAAATTAATGTGGCCTGACGTTGCGAACTTAGCAAGTTCTTCTTCAGAGGCTAAAACAGAAATGACAGAGGTACATACATTAACATGGGGGTGCACACAAACATGCAGGGCTGAAAGAAGAAACACAAAAGGAGGATTAGGTGTGAAAGGTGTGGAAAGATGCAGGGGAGGGTGGATGAGAGAACAAAGAAACAAAGGGAGATGGCAAACCACAAGGGGTCTTGTGTAAAATAAATACAGTTTGTTTAAAAATAAATACAGTTTGTTTGAACTGGACCGTACTGTTTGTGGTAATGTGAAATCAGTGGTTGATGTTATTTTTACTGAATTTACAGGTCACGGAACAGATCCGACGACCGCAGCCCAATCCTTACCTCAGCCCCTCTAGAAGGAGAAAGCTACACAATGGAAGATGTCTTCCGGGTCGCAGAGGAACTGCAGTCCATGGATCCTCCTGGCTCTAGTCCCTGCCCTGAGACGGGCATCCAGGAACCGATAATCCCTGTGAGACGAAGACGTCGCGGGTCCTTCATTGAGATTGAGAGGAGGATAACGTTGCTGTGGAGTGACGTATGGGTGGAGACAAAGGTGAAGAGGAGGGGGAAGATTTGCGAGACGATATGCGGGAGGCGGGAGGAGCAACCCAAGGTGATACTGAGAGGAGGTAAGCCATAATAAGTCTTGGTAGAGTTTGTGGTGTGGGAGGCTTCCAAGATTCCATGTGATAGCCTCGCTGTTTGAATCTTCATTCTTGTAAGTACTGCAGTACAGGGTTCCTTGAAAGTATCTTTATTAGCACTGTAGCTTGGAAGCTCGGAAGATTCCTGTTAAAAGAAGACAAAAAGGATCATTTAAAAAATTTTAACTTGCTAATGATCATGTTCTTGTTTCACAGTGAGTGGTTTTGCAAGGCCAGGGAATCTAATTGCTGTTATGGGAGCAAGGTGAGTATTCAAACTAAAGTTTATGACTGAAAAAAAAACCATGAATGTCATAGCGAGGAGTTTCATTTGTTTGTTTTGCTTAATGTTGATTTTTTCTCTATAGATGAAGTCTGTGTACTGTAATTGTTACAACATTTATTAACTTACGCTTATTTCAGTGGTGCTGGCAAATCAACCTTGATGAATGTCCTGACCCAGCACAATCTTGGCAGCCTGGAGGTCAGGGGTCAGGTGTCAGTGACGGACTCCATTGAAATACTGCCCTGTGTTGGTGAGGTATCAACATACATCCAGCAGGAGGATGTGTTTGTTGGGTCTCTCACTGTCAGAGAGCACCTCTTACTGCAGGTGCATCTTCTTTACTTTCTCTCTCTTTCTTAAGAAGGACCCGTCGGTGAGAACTTACTCCAAAAAAAGCATGGTTGTTTTAAAGGGATGGTGAAGCCAAGCATGGCTTCATGGTATAGTTAGAGTCAGAATTAAAAGTATAAATTTTGTGATATTGAAAACTGTGGCTTTAAAGTTAGCTTGATGCAACCAGGAATGGAACCCAAGACTACCAGATTACAGGTCCAGTGCTCTACCAATGAGACTTTTAGCCCATACATTTGTTGGCTTCTTCTCAAATAGCCCATCAAACTTTGCTAGTGGTTGGAGATAGGATTATATTGCACACCCCGAAAGAGTGCACCCTTTGAAATGTGATAGAAATCAGGAAGCTGAAGGTTGAGTTGTTGATTGTTTTTCCAGGCAAAACTGAGGATGTCGAGGGAAATCAGTTTGGAAAGGAAGATGGAGCGTGTTGAAGATATCCTTGAGCAGGTGAGAAAGCTTGAATTTTTTTGTAAAATTGAATTTTAGGAGATGTGGAATCTTGGGTTTTACAACCAGACTTAGGATCATTACTTCTTTTTGCATAATTACATCCACTCGCAAAATGATTCATAAGAAACTACTTTTGTTTTCTACGTTTTGTCTTTTTATAGCTTTCATTGGTGAAATGTGCAGATGCGCGGATAGGAAATCCAACAACTTCAGATGGAATATCAGCAGGGGAGAGGAAGCGTCTGTCATTTGCATCAGAGGTCAGTCGATCTTGTCATTATCAAACCGATATTCCAAATGGGGCAAAGTGGACTAACCTTTTTCTTAAATGCAGATGCTGCAGAGATGATGGAAAATACTTAAAGGGAAGATACAACATTTGCAAACATGACAAAACGAAATGATCAAATTATCACGAAATACCTTACTGGATTGTTATGGAAAGACAGTCTAAAGCATCCTGTAAAATCGTGGCTTCTGGTGTGCTGACATTTTGTAGGAAAAATGGTATTTTCCAACGCTGGTCAGCCGACCAGCGTTGGAGAAAACTGTTTTTTTTTCAAAAAGTGCTCCTAGTTTTTCATAATTAGTTATTCCGCATTTTCTTTACAATTGATCACACATCTGTGAAGGGGTACAAGCCTGCTAGACTGATTCTCTGACCTTACAGTCTATAAATTGCTCCGTTTCATCTTAAGAGGGGTCAGGGAACCAGACTGCAAGAACATGATTGGTTTTCTTTGTTTTTCCAGCATCTACAAGCACAAAACGTGAAACATGTCAGTTTAACAATATTTGCTATAACATACTAATCCTCCAAATCCATTTATATCTAAAAATTGCAGCAAGAGCAAATGTTGTACATTCCCTCTAACAGAACAAATGAGCAGGTAAGAGGTTAATAGTTTTAAAGTAAAGTTTCTATCCAAAACAGCAATTCCAAATCTTGAATTCACGACTTTGTTACATTTCTGCTTCAGCTTCTGACAAACCCTCCACTCCTATTCTGCGACGAACCTACATCTGGTCTAGATTCCTACATGTCCCAGATACTAATCAGTATGCTACGTCAGCTTGCCCTAGAGGGCCACACTATTCTGTGCTCAATTCATCAACCATCATCTGATGTGTACTCAATGTTTGACCGGTAAGTTAAGAAAAGAAAACAAAATGTTAGACACTCTGAACCAACTGGTAACTTGGTCAAATAATATATATCATGGGTCTACTGTGCTTTGGTCTACTATGCTTTGGTCAATTCATGTTGTTGTGTTGTGTTGTGCGATAAAATTATAAGAAATACAAATTATAAGAAATATCAGAAACTATGGACATGTGATTATAAAAATGGTCAAAGTTAACGGACTACTAAATGTTGCTGAATTCATCAATTCTTATCTCAGGTCTACCTCTACTAACATATTGCTTTATCGAGAAAAAAAAGCCACAAATTGTGAACTCCACTTACTCTCGACAAAAGCTTGAGATCTCAAATCTGTCTTAACTTTTGATCTCAACACAGCTTGAGATATATTTAGGATACCAATATTTTTTAATATACAGCCTGTCTCAAAAAAAATGGTACAATCAGAAAAAAAATTGGTTAAATATGAAATTTCAAAATAAGTCATTCTTACTTGGCATAATATTAAAGAACAAAGACTGGGCTTTCCAATAGTGTTTGTTTAATCTTATTTGCTTTTGTCAATTCAGAGATATAATCAATTTAAAGCGATACACCAAAATCGATTTTGTGCCACTTTTATGCATGGGCAGAGTTGTTTCGAGTACTGTGCCATGCTGTCTTGAAGCTCACAAAAGATTGCAACTTTGCAAAAGAAACAAAACACAGATTAAAGTACACAAAGGAAGTCTGGTTTTCTCGATACAAGCTTTAATAGTCAACATAATAAGTTCAATGATAAATAGTTTCTTTATGAAGTTAATCCCTTCTTTGAATTTCAAATCTGTTCAAGTGTGAATAAAGTTTTGTTTGACTAATTCTTTCACCGTTCTCACTCAACCAGAAAGTGGCACAAACTTGATTTTTTTGTTCAGCAGTAAACTGGAGTTATCTCTGGATTGACAAAAGCCAATGAGATGAAACAAAAAGTATTGGAAAGCCTGGTCTTTTTTCTTTAATGTGATGCTCAAAACGACTTACTTATATTGAGATTTAATATTAAAAAAAAAATCATTTTCGATTGTACCATTTTTTTTTAGACAGGCTGTAGAGCTCAAATCATTTGCAAGAAGCCTTTTTTTTTTTTCTTCCTAGCTTGATCCTGATGGCTGATGGGCGATGTGCTTACCAAGGAGATATAGACAAGGCGGTAGAGTACTTTGCTAGACTTGGCTACCAGTCCCCTGATGATTACTGCCCGGCTGATTTCTTCATTGATACGCTCTCCATCAGACCTGGTGATGAAGAAAACTGTAATAGGAAAGTTGATGTATGGAAATGTTTATATTAATTTATAATTTCATATTAATCTTTTGTAATACTAAATGATAAATATTCATGTAAGGTCATTATTTACTCATATAAAGTAAAAGGAAAAAGGAAAAGCACCATTGTTACAAACCGTTTCTGAACCAAAGCTCTGTAGACTTAATTTTCTGGGATCTAATTATCTGCCTGTACAGATAAAAACTACAAACCCATTTGGATTATATAACACATTTTTTCCAGACGTCTACTCAGTCCATGTATTTCTGAAAGTGGCTTTCCTCACAAAACCTTCACTGCTCTTTTTCTTATCCCACAGGTTCTCTGTGATGCATTTTCCTGTAGTGCCGAAGCCAGAGTCATCCAAGCCACTATAGAAGAGGAATACTTTCAAGCCAGAACGGAATATGTAAGTAATTGAGAGTTGGTTTCAGTTAGTCAGGTGTGGGCACAGGCACCAGGGCGTGGGTAAGTACTTAGAGTGAAATTAGAGAAAAACTTTCAAGCTAGAACTGAATATGTAAGTAATTGAGAGTTGCTTTCAGTTAAGGGTGGGCACAGGTGCCAGGGCGTGGGTAGTGGGTAAGTACTTAAAGTAAAATTAGAGACAACGTTCTCTAATTCACTTTGATTTTTTTGATCGATGGATCAGTTGTTAACACGCCTCCGAGTTTCCACTCAGACGTTTTACTTTAAGACAAATTGCAATGCAAGTATTGTTTGTATTTTATTTCCTTTTTAGGAATCCAGTGATGATATCCCATCAAGAACTAGGTAAGAAAACAACTAGGCAAAGAAGTCCCTGAAACTCTCTGATAAATACTTCACAAAGTTTGGCAAAAGGGTGTAAAGCTGCTTGCTCAAGGACACATCACAGGACACCTGTCCAACAGCTGGATCAAAAGCCATTCCCCTCCAGAGCCACAAACTCTTTGCAAGGTGCCACTTATAATTACCCCTCAAGATTTACTTACCCTTTGAGGTTTTACAATCTTTTTATAACCGTTGTAATTCCTGATAGTTGTTTTTTGTCCCTGTTATTTGTAATGAAGGTCCTCCAAAGCCTCTTACTGGCAGCAGTTCTCTCTTCTTCTCTGGCGATGTGCCATAGATGTCTTCCGTGAACCATCACTGCTAAAGTCTTATCTGGTAACATCCATTGTAAGTTCGGTTACCTTTCACGGGCATGTCCACGAATTCGCCCACGCTATGTCCCATACGTAATGAAGGTTTAACCCTATGAGACATTTATAGTTTTCAGTGATGTTCATTCTACTGTTGGGCATCTGTATGGGGAATACCCACAAGAACGTTTATGTTATTAGTCTTTGCAATGACTATATAATAAAGAAAAGTCTTGCATATGGGACAAAAAGGGACCTTTTCTTGGATTTGCCCTAAACTTACCATGCTAAATGCGTAAAATTCAGCAAACGGCAGTCTTAAATTTTGGAGAAGGGTGTGCTTGACCCTGAAGAAATTGCCTGGGGGATTAAAGGTTTTAGCTGAGTTCAAAACTTGCTTGGTGTTTGTTATTCTTTTTCCAGATTTTATTTAGTTGGCCTGTGGCTAATCAAAAGTATCTACTATAGAAAAGATAAACATTATCCTTATGTCTAGAACACATCTGACCTTTGTAGGTGCTGATTTGTAATAGAATGATAAGATAAGAAGCAGAAAATTAGGTCACAAAAACAACAACTTGAAATCATAACTTACATAGACTCCGGCCGTAGGAGATTATTAATAAATGAATAAATATAGACCTACAGAGATAGAGCATTGTTACCCTTGGGAGTAACCTTCCAAATCTCTTGGTTCAAATTTAGGGAGACAGATGCCCTGAAAGAAGAGATTATCTCTTTTTGGGCGATTTGAAAGGTTAATCCCATATTAGTCCTGAAGATATCCAGTTTTAATCCACATTTATAGGGGTGTTTTGCTAGATTCAAAGGTGATACTAGCTTAGAGTGAACTAAGTCATAGCCTTGAAATGTCAACTGAAATTTTCAACGGCATTTTCTGAAACCTGAAGGTTGAAATGATAATATGGTAATGTTTCATTTTCTCCCTTCCTTTAGAAATTCTTTAATTTTGTCCGTGTTTTAAGAACTAAACCAAAGATTCCCCCAAAGTACCTGCTGTGCCTCACAAAACCTATGGAAAGAAAACATGAAGAAATTGATTAAGTAATAATAATAATAATAATAATAACGGAAATTTATACCGCGCCATTATCCGCCATAAATGACGCTCATGGCGCAAACAAAAATTATATCAAATCAGAAATAACAAAACAATTAAATTTAAATAAACAAGAATATTCTGAGTGGTCTGAAACAAATAGGTCTTTAGGGCAACTTTAAATTCAGAAAGTGATGAGATATTGATGTGAGAGGTCGTTTGGCATCAGACAAAAAACTATCAAGACTTTGATTGGAGTCCTTCTTAAATACACAATGAAGCCCAATTTTGACCTGTCAGTTTACTAACTTATATTGGACAAATGTAAAAATTTTGCCCTTTCTCAAATTTTTATTCTCAAATTGATGTTGTACCACAGGGTCTTGGAGTCTTCTTAGGCCTTCTGTACTTGAATCAACCTTACAATCAGTCCTCAATCCAGAACATCAACGGATTTCTCTTCCTGCTCGTTGTGCAGATTAGTACCACCACGCCGGCCAGAGTTGCTGCCGTAAGTATTCTGGGTGAATGGGTGCTTAAATGAGTCGCTAGAAAAGACGAGAGGGATTTCACAACGTAGTGCAAATGGAGTCCAGTTCAGGGGCGGATCCATGTTTGGCTCCAGAGGGGGGTTTAGCTGTTGAGGGTGGTGTAACAGCTGTCTGGTGTTGTTTTTCCTGTTATTAAAAAAAAATGCCCAAGAGGGGTTTCTACAACCCTTAGGCCAAAAAAAAAAAAATATTCGGTCTCTGGTCAGACCAAAGTTCCGGAATTGACGCGGCGACGTGGCTTTTTTTTTTTTCTTCAAGCTTGGATTGTACAGACGAGTGGGGTACTATTTTGCTTTTTTGGTGTTCTCATGTACATTGGTGTCCTCCATAATTTGCCTTGGTGCTTTCGATCATTTGCCTTGGTGCAATTTCCCATTCCTTGGTGCTCTTTGGTAAAAAAATTGAGGAAGTGCGGCAATAGAGGGCACTGTTGGAGCTACCACGGAACATTTTGCAAAAAAAAAAAGATTGACGCGCATGATTAAAATCGACGCGCGTGCTGACCAGAGACCGACTTATTTTTTTTTTGGCCTTAGCCCTCAAGGTAGATCTGCCACTGCACTTTGCTGTAGGGCAGGCGGTGCCTGGAAAGGGGCGGGAGACACTCATTGGTTTTAAACAGTAACAAACGCATCTTGTACGCCCCCTAATTCTGAGTGGGGTCAACAAGGGGCGAGGGGTTAAAACAGGGCAACAACGATGGGGGTTATGCTAACAGGAACAATAAAGCTAACATTTTGTTACCTTGTCCTTTTGAAGGTCATACCCAATGAGCTTCCACTCATTGTCAGGGAACACCGCGGTGGAACGTACTCATCAGCTTGCTACTTCTTGGCAAGGGTTTTCATTGAGGTAGATACCATCCTTCCTGTCTGGATATTCCGAGAAGTTTAGACAAACAAGTTTGCAGTGGCGAAATGAGGCACCTCTTTTCAATCGTATCTTTGGAAATAAAATAAATGTTTATACCAGTGCCTATTACCAGTAGCTTAATTGCACCAAATTCTGGTTCTTTAACCTGTTGTCGTAATTCTTAATTGCGTTGCAGGTAGTCACTCATGTTTCACAGAGCCTAATCACAATTGGAATCGCATACTATATGATTGGTAAGTAAATTGTAAATAAAGAAATACAGCTTAAGTAGTTTTTTTTATAGAATAATGTCCATTTATTGATGAAATAAAAAATTACTTTTCTTATTTGTTATTCCAACACGTGAATGTGTGAGCAACAGTCTAAAAGCAAGTTCTTGTAAATTGAATGGAAATTGACTGTATATTAATTTCTCAAATCAAATTCCAAGAATTTTGTATTTTGGGTAGTGTGTGGTGCTTCTCTGGGAATTTCCCATCCTTTTTTTACCAGATGTTGTTTGTTTCATTCCCATGAAGGGCTGAACAGGAATATTTTTTGCTTCCTTGTTGCCGTGGGAACCACTGCCTTGATGACAATCACAGCTGTCAGCTTTGGTAAGCTGCCGACAGCCCCCCCCCCCAACTAAAAAAAAAATATAGCTGAATTCTGGTGGAAATGCGACTGTACCTTCAAGTTTATTTGTGACTTTATCCTAAGTAGCCTTTGTAAAAAAGTCAAATTTACCTGTCAAAAATATAAGGTAGCCATTTTCTTTCAAATGTGATGAAGCTTTTACTATATAGGGCAGTGCCAGGGTTAAACATTTGCAAACCACCTGTTATAATTTATGAGCATTGTCCAACTGTCATTGTTCCGAGATCAACTTATTACTTTTTATTACTGTTTTGGGAAATTCCTCCTGACAAGAAGCGTCCAAGTTTTTGTATGTTTGATGATAAGAAGCCAGATTCTCAATTGCTCCCTTGGTATGTGACACTTGATTTCTCGAAAAGTGTCTTGAACATTAACCTAGTCTAGTTCGCTTTGTTAGCATTTGAAGATACATAATGCTTAATATTGTTCAGTTGCAAGGACAATGAAACTGTGTGGTTTGGGTTTATTCACCTTGGCGATTTGAATGATTGAAAAGTCTGGGGTAAAAACAGCATCAATTCGTCACGCCGTGAGTTATGAAAGCACCATTTTTTTAAAGTTAAAATGTTACAATCTGGTCCGCCAATATGCAGTATCACATTTCATATTAATATGAGCAAACTGGAAAGGAAAGGAGTATTTTTGAGACGGCGTGGACGTTATAATTACAATGATCGTGAAAACACGTAATGCACGTTAGAAATAACAACACCAACTACACGATATAAATCCATTACTAGCAAATTATGGTATCGAATCAGGATACAGGAAGAAAGTTTCCTATCCAGGGCTTACTATTGGAAACGACGTTGGAAATAAAGTAAGCACTGGGGTTACGAGGTTGGGTTCTGGGTTGAACATTTTCATGTCTCCACCTGTTTTCAATTAAGGCTTTGTCTCTTGCATTTGCAGGTGTGTTTCTTTCAGTGGCCAGCCCAACCTCCGAGATTGCTCTCAATCTGATGATTCCAATCTTCTTCCTCTTTACATTGTTCGGAGGCTTCTACATGAATCCACTGTAAGTTTAATATTCTGGTTATCAAGAAGCTAGCAATAATGAAATATTTTCAGGGAAGGGGGAGGTCGGGAGTCTTATTCGTTACATAGCGGGCTAGTGGAAAAGTAGTATATTGGGAAAAGAAAATTGGGCAAGCTGTTCAGGAAAAGGGAGTGTTGTCTCACATTACATGTACGTCAGCACTCAGTCTATGGACTTCATTTTTAGAGTTTGTAACCCAAGGGAGCAGATAGTAAAACGCATTATTGTTCTTGTCTCTTTGGGCAGAACCACACCAGTCTATTTCATCTGGGTCCGGTTTGTGAGTTGGTACCCGGCTGTTTTTGAGATTCTGCAGGTGAACCAATGGGCTACCATCGAAAATTTAGGTGAGATGTTTCTTGCAAACATTACACAAAGCTTCAAGTATCTGTATCTGTAGCGTACTGCAAGCAAGTAGGTACAGATGATTTCAATTTGAATTCAAATTACCAAATTATCTTTTTAAATGTTTTTATTTATTAACGACTGCTTTTTTTTTTATCTCCATAAAAGATTGTGAGCTAAACAGCACCCTTCCCTGCCTTGAAAATGGAGAGCAGGTTTTGGACAAATATGGCTATGATCAGGTAATAACCATAAACGACGTTACATTTCATCACCACATTGTTATTTTTCATGGTCAACATCTGCCAGCGATCACTGACCTCCACCTCATGTTACCGAGGGGAATAATGTTGCACCATCTACAGGTGTTTCGAATCATGGGAACAGGTGTATCCAATTAAGATTGAGTGACATATTTTTATTTTTATTGTTTTGGTATGAGTTCAGTTTTTTAATGGGATGACAGAGAGGTTGTGACCTGCTTCCTAGAATAAGCTGGATGTTGGAATGCTTTGCTAGCAGTTTCTCGAGGCTCAAAAACTTTCTGAGCATTTTAAGTTTTTGAAGTTGATGGTCAGTGGTGATAAGGATTTCAAAGTGGTTTTTCTCATAATTGTATTTTCAGTTATCAAAATGATGTATGTGTTGACATTTTTATGGTTCAGGATACTTTTTTCCCGGCATGATTTCCACGAAATCTGGTTTGCAATAAAAACAAAACTTTGGGCATTAAAAACGTATGACAATTTGAAGAGAAAATCAACAATTTGTTGATTTAATTTAAGTAAAATGGTTTAGATTGCAATCTTTAATTGTAATTAACCCCGTATCAGTATCACCCCATCCATTTCACCTAAGCCTACTTACAATTTTGACTTGCGCAGCAAACTAGACTTAATCCACCCCTAGAAGGCTTCCTGTGTTTTCCAATGCCTCACAAATCCCTTAACATAAAAGTGCCAAATCCTACCTAACATCTCCATGGGTGTCGCCAGGATTTTTTCTAGAGGGGGGCAAAACATATTTTTCCCACAAAATTCTTGTATTTCTCAACAAATTCTCGATTTATCAGTTTCAGAGGGGGGCAGGGACATTTTGGCCCCCCCCCCCACAACTTATTAAATTTACACCACTATGACCTCGCGCCTCTTTTTCTTTTCTTTTTTTCTCTTTTTTTTTCTCCTTTTTTTTTTTTTTTTTTTTGGCCATGAACATCTCGACATAAATGTTACGGTTATTCGTTATTTCCCAGATACTCCTAACCAACTCTACATCTCACTCATGTTGACAGTTTCTCTGGACGCAAATACTTTTAACAGCTGATCGCTGTCAAACTAACATTAAACGCAAATTCCTAACATTCAGCCCAGATAACATTTATCTCACATCATTCAGAGGGTCAAGGGCGCCGGATGAACATTTTCGTGAACTATCGGCTGAAACTGTCATGAATGTGACACATTCGGTTTTTATCGGGGCTAAGTTCCAAGATACGTTAAGCGAGACATGTAGTGATTGTGGTAGCCGCTAAAGCTGTAAACCTTCCGTGGAATTTGGAAAATTCCTTGATATCAAAACATTGATGTCTTAAGTGCCAGACGTAATCTGGATTTAGCTTCCAAGTTTGTTGACGGTGACATTTTTGAAAGTGCTGCAAAGAAATGTTAAAAAAAAGTAAATGGACTTTCTGATAGAAGCAATGGCTGCAAGTTTTCAGTGTGACGTAGCCGGTACCGTTTGATTTGGGTGAAATGCTGATTGCTCGGAAATCACTTGGAGACAATTATTGTCTAAGAGGCAGAATACCGAGAATTTTTGAGAGTTTTGTTTGCAGTACTCCACACAAACTTTCGTACCATTTTGCAACTAGGCTAATCATCAGATAGTTCTGATCGGTTTGTTAAAAAAATAGGCCTTTGTATTGCGCCTTTCTTCTGGAAGTATATTACTAGAAAACAGACTGTTTTCTCGATTGGTTTACCAAAATAATGCCGTTCTGTTATTAGAAGATGTTATAAGATCATGAAAAGAAGTGGGTTCGGTCACCATACAGCCTTTGCGCAAAATGAATTTGCAGCTACTTAAGCTTTAGTATAAATTACAAATCTCAGTTATGTCATCTTTGACTTATTTTACATTTGCCATTTATCACATCTCTGTTGCATAGAAATTAGGAAAGCTCTTCATGCTGTCATGTGTCGAGGGTCACCCACTGTCAAAGGTCATTTTACAGATATCCTTGGCTGTCAGCTCAGAATAGTCGCTTAAACCTAAGTCCATATGAAATAGCCATCATAATAAATATCGTTGAAGATAGACATATTTTTCACCACATTTTTGTCTGGTTGCATGCGATTTTTTATGGCTGTTATTAATGTTGGTGACATATTTGTGTTTCATCTGTTAAGGCTTCAACCCATGTGCAGTATCGATCATAAGTATACAGTGGGAGATTTAAACCACATTTTGATTGGATTCTTTTACGACTTTCTGAGCTGGGATTCTCGAGGGATAGACTTGTGGTATTTTTGTGTCTTCCTGTTGACAGGATAACTTTGTCCTGGATGTGTTGTTGGTGGTTCTGATGACCTTGGGGTACCTGATGCTGGGTGGCATTGTGATCAGGATGCGGTTGAGAGGGGAGAGGTGAAAATGACAAAAGCAGAAGTTTGGTGGGAATACGTGCAGACAATATTGCCATTAAGACCATATCAACAAGGCAGAAATGTTTCCCTTTGTGATTGTTGTTTTTATATTCGGCATTTTAAAGTGCAGTTGTTCCTGATCAGATTCAATTTATGAATGAATAACTTGGAACTGGCAAATTATCTGTAGTACAGCAGTCGAATACCTTTCAATGAAGCGGAATCTTTTTTTTTAAAGATAGCGAGCGAATTCTACTTGGATGGGAACAGCCGGTCAGTAAATTATTTATTTCTGGTGACTTCAGTTGGTAAAAATAAAATTAAAAAAAATGCTTTAGTGTTAAGTATAATTGGACCTTTTTTTCGGAATTAAGCATCCTGAAGACATTTTCTCGGCTAAAAATAGTTGGCAATTTTGTTTCGTTTTAATTTCGAAGAAAATCGGATTTTACGGTGACTGTTTCCTCAGATATGCAGTATCCATATCCGAATGGACCCTTCATTGATGCAAAACAAAATAATTTAAAACTATACAAGCGTGAAAAAGGATGTGTTTACAGGATATTATACAGTTTCCAAACCAAGGCCAGAATAAAACCAGGACAAAATGTGCTCCAACTTCCGGTTAAGGCCAATGACATGTTGCTCATCGTGAAAATGTTACTATTCTTAGTTCCCTTTATGTTCAAGTTTGATTTTTCAAATACGAATCATGTCCTCCATTGAATTTCGCCACAGGGCAAATGTCTTTCATGCATCTTTTTTTTAAAGTTTGTATGTTATTTTGCTGAACTTTTGTTGTTGTTTTCGCAATTTGTTAAGCAAAGTTTTAACAATTCCTTCTTTTTTTTTGAAAGCGGGGTTAACTTGTTTGCTGCAGTTTCTGCTAAAGCATAGATTTATTTGTAAAGAAAAAATAAAGAAACCAAAAGTGTTGTTTTTATTTTTATTTAGAATTAGGTCTCAGATTTTGAGGGTCCACTTTGTGCTAATGTGTTTTAGAAATGACGCGATCGGAGAAAGTCTAATCCTCAAGTCACGCGAGATGTGTCACGACGTGGGTGACGCAAGACGTTGTGTGACGTAAGAAAACGATTCGGTGTCTCAACAGATATCTGGGAAGAAGCATACAAACAACCGCAGGGAAAAATATGTTTCCGGATGAGATTTCTAGATCTCTTACCCCGATAAGATAGTGAGTCAGACAGAAGCCTAAATCCTGGCAAAACACCGTACCATTTATTAGTCTTGCCTCTGGTAGAGTCAACAAGTGAGAAAACACGAGGCAATTAACAAGAAGGGAGAGGACATGTTTTTATTACGGGCACTGGAGCTGCTTCTGTACTCCGACAAAAATAGTTATTCCCCTTAATCGCGGAAGAAGTAGTTAATGATACATCTTGTGCCATTTCAATCAGACTAAGATATTTGTGTTTACCATGATCTTCCGAGGGGTGTTGGCATGGATTACGGAAGTGAAAATGAAACAAACAACGTTGAGAGTTCGAGCGATCTGTACTTGTTGTTGAACTCATTTCGTTCAGTGAAGTTTTTTTAGTCAAATATTGTTTTGGAAATAAAGTTATGTTGATATATATATTCAAAATAGGATCAGTAAAGTTAAATTTATTTAAAATAAATCATTTGAATTCGTGGGATGCAGAACTTTAGATAAATATAAAGGAAACAATTGATGATTGCTTGTTGTACTATGTCAAGTTAGCTAGTGTCCGTGTAGGCGTATATGACTGCCGAGGAAATGCAATTATTCACTGTCACGCATTTGTCACTGTATTAATAGCACAATCATCTCGCGTGTTGTAAGGCGTTAGGATATTCGTCTTTTCATCTTTAAGGCGCGAAGATACGTCTCCTTGCTCTTCGATTTGAAAGTTCAGATGTCATGACAGACCGTTCATCGAACGCTATCAGAAATAAATATTTCATAGAACGGAATTACAAATACATATTTAATAACGGAGTTAATCAGAAAATATCCAAACAAGCGCCTGTATGACAAATTTATTTTGATTTGGTATGAGAATTTTTGAGTTATGAAAGATGCCTTGTTGCCCGTTTCTATTGCATATTTTGCCGGATTGGTAAACTTTAGCAGTGTCAGTGAGTTATAACATTTACTTTATAAAGTAAAGTTTGTTTGTTTATTAAAGTGGAATTAATTTATTATTGAGAATTAAAATGTTATGACCGGATTGAGGGCCGGAGAAAACATCCAAGTTTGTTGATATCGGTATCTACATTTTTTGGTGTGTCGTGAAACAAAAGTCTTCTGTAGGCCTAAGCTAAGAAGGACATTGATTTACCATTTTCTCCCCACCAAACAGAAAACACGACAGCTTGTCGAAATAACATATACAGATTATCAAACAACACCAGACATACGGACAAGTTAAACATGAATTAGTCGCCCTGCCTCTAAATCAAACATTACCCAAAGCATGTACTCCCACGTACGTTTCTGTAAATCAATGTCGTGAAAGGAACTCGCGTCCTGGCTGTTATTTCACGTTTAGATGACTGATGTCACCCGTTCGTACTTACTGGCCTTACTTATGTTCCTGATGGATTTACACTACAAGGGACGAGTTTATGGGGGCGTTAGATGGAAGTGTTTTAGGCCTGTTCGATCGAAATGATGATGTCATTTAAAACTTTTACCCCAAAGTACGGAAAGTCAGCATGATTGCAGATAGGCCGGGAACACTATGTTTTGCCTGTGCATTTTCTCTTTCAACCAGCTTCGCGAAGGTCCGGTGGAGTTTCTGAACGAGACACCATCACAGCGTGTATGCAGCTAGCCCACCATCACGAACAACTTTGCACGGGTTTGAAGCAACTGACGCATGCAAAACTATCTCAGCCGATTCTCCGTGGCTGAAATTTTGCCTCTTATATCGGGGTAACCCTTCGGCTATCCGGTAATAATCTTCGGACTGATCCACGTCTGCGCTCCGTATTTACTCTAAGATGAGTAATCTGGGATGAATCATGGCTGGGGAATACGTGCGTGGGCTGATGCTGGCATCGGAAAGCTTCTGACTAAAATTGGTCGTCTGAATCCATTCTAAAGTCCACTCCTTGCACAGGTACCCCCTCAACGGGGCCAACTCGAACACGCTACGAGTTTGTGCAGTTTCTGATACGTGCGCGCGTAAACCAGTGCGCGCACGTGGTGCGCGCGTCTAGCAACGGCCCTTTGCGATTGGTCACGAAGCGTCACCCATGCATAGTGCATGACCCGTATATATATGACTGACCTCCACGCATTACTGACACACAGTGACACCCTGTTCGTTGTTTTGCATTTACATTTGACAATGAGGGTGTCGATATGGTGTCAGTGACGTGCTCCGTGCACAATGTCAACGGTCTCCATAACCTCATAGCAGTCGCTCATGTAGGCCTACACAAATTAGGCTATCGGTCTTTAAAAAAAACTGTACAATCCGAGCGCATAGGATAGACACCGCCGTTTTGGATATAGCATTGCGGCACACCCAACTACGAGCATATATTGCACCATGTACACTACCCTCACCCTACGGTTGTACATAACAAAAATAACAGCGTTGCTGTTGAAACCCCTCATGGCCAGAGTCAAGTTGGACTCCACTAGGCTAAAACAAGACTTATTTATGTATTTATGACGTGTCACTGTACTTGTAAACTATATAGACGCTACTGCCCGGCCTCAAACCGTTATATCATAATAATGTATAATGAATGCCACACACGTGTGTTGCAGCATGCGCACACGTACACGACGATGAAGTCACCGCATCGGTGCCTTTGAAGTATAATAGCGCGCGCGCTGAGCCAACAAACAGATTGACAAGGGGCGGGGTTTGACCGCCGGGTGACGTCACTCACCAGGGATAGCACCGCGGTTGCCCTCGACGCTAATTTGTTTTGCAGAGATCAGCTGTTTGGTACGGTGCGATGAGACGAGGGCGCCTTGTATAAAGTAGCCGGGTAACCCTTGTGTCTTTCCTTCAGCCTCGCGCGATCAGCTGCCTCGCTAGCTCGGCCCCTAAGCTGCATGCAGAGCGGAGTCTTCACCAAGAAGTCCTCACCCCTGCCATCCAAAAAAGAAAAATGAAGCATCTACAAGTTGTGCTACCCGTCGCGCTAACACTGCAGCTTTTCTTTCTGGCTTGTTTGGCAAGACAGCTGCCGAGCTCCAAGCAGTACAACCCGGCTGATAACGGGCACCTTAGAGGCGGCAAACCCTTGAGAGGTCCATCCTCAGAGTCCGGACCAGACACGGGTGGAGACATTGTTACCGAGGACCACAGCTCGGGACAGACCCCCACGACGACAAGCACAGATACTGCCGTCCTGAATAGAACTGCTTCACCTGCAAGGGAACGGGCAGCTAGGTGCGGAGCTTGCGAGATGCGCGACCACCAGAAGGCCCTACGGATCGAGTCCATCAAAGAGCAGATCCTGAGGAAATTAAATCTCAAGTCGGTCCCCAACATCACCATGCCACTTCCTAAGATACCGCCTCTGCAGCAGCTGATGGGTGGGCAGGACTCAGACATGAGCGCCATGCAGGGCGACGCACCTGGTCACGAACAGTTCAGGATGCCCCACATGAATGATTATGACTCCACGCCCCACTACGGGGCTACCACCAAAAGGATTTTCACGTTTGCAAAACCAAGTAAGTATCTTTGCATCCCATCTTAGATTATGCTTTACATGAAATTAAGTTGTAATATGTAGGCAGATTGTGTGCATCGTAAATCAAAATTGGGTCACAAAATAATATCCAAAAATTCTGAATTGAGTACGATTATTTAAAAATCCACGTAAGGTATTACATTAAGCCAATGTGACAGTGGGAAAGCTTTCGGTTTTGGTGGTGATTCTAATCAAATTTCGCAATATGACCAGACGGCTTCGAAATGACATGTCAAATTACTATTGTATTTTGTCCATGTTGATTTCGAAAACAACTCGCCGAGACAAAGAAGAGCAGGCAACCTTTGAACTTCGAAGCTGAAAAAAAAAACAGTTAAGTTTTGGACCCTGTACTCTCATAAGATAAGGTTTCATGTTGCAACTTGGAACGCGGATTTTCCCTGTAGGCCTAATTAAAAGTTTCCTCAATGGATGAAAAAAAAATTCAACGAAAACACGCACCATCTCATAGATGAATTGGGTTAGGCAAACACTTTTTTGGTTGAATGAAAGGAGGAATCTTCGCGGCACTTCCCTGGTTTGATTTTAATGACAAGAAAAGGCCTCTTCGATCCTTCAAATGATCAAGGTTACAAAACCATTTGACTTTATCCCAAGACTTGCTAAGAAAAGTTTGATTGGTGAAGCCAAGGAATTCCACGCCGAATCGCATCACGCCCACGCTCACATTGGATCATTTTTATTTTTTTACGGAGGGGTTTCCCTGCCTCGACTTGCGGTTTTCATCTTAAATTTGACCACCCTGGATCCCCCCGCCCCTGGGAAGTTGACAGACGGCGTCAGATTATGTAGGCCAGTGAAGTACGTCACGTCCCTAGATCGTCCCCTGGCGACCTGTTTTTATTAAGAAAAATGAAACCTCTCATTTTAGTTTTAAAATCAGCCCAAATTTCTGAAAATAGAAGCGGGCAGACGCTCGTTATTGGCACCAAGTTGATAGCCATTAGCCTGGCCGCCAAGCGATGAAATATGATATTAGGATTGAAGAGAGAATGTCAGGGAAGAAATGATGGGAGTATCTGGGGAGGATTACATGTTCCTTAGAGGGAAGGGATTATCTCTACTGTCACCAGGCTAGTGCTATGGCCCCTTCATTTATAAACTAGAAAGGTAATTAATTTAATGTCCTTATTGGAAACCACCTGCAACCCCATAGAACTCCCTTCATTACTTAAAAAGTTCCTTCTTTCGTCATTCGTCAGACAACCCCACATAACTGCCTTCGGGGGTGTCTTTAGCACGTCTAAAAAAAAAAATGGGCCTCCGGCATGGATTAATTTTGTCACTAGGAGAAAACTGGGGGAGCGGGAGACGAATTTGTTAAATTGGAGCAAAGTACTTGGAGCTCGTTAGAACAGGTGCGGTGAAATATGGCGAGGGGCACAGGCATTTTTGAGTCGGATCATTGATATCAATTTATGGTGCACAGAGTTCCTTTAAATAAAAATTGGGAACGATCATTTGTTAATGTGTTCACAATAATGATGATGTCAGTTTACATAATGATTTATAGCTGTAAGTTATAACATGTCATTATTTTGGTACTTGTCATTTGGTAACTTAGGCCAAGTACGTGGGACCTGATAGCTCAGAATTCGTTCAGAACATGTTACAATGGATGTGAAGAGTTATCATTATGAACCCTCAGTTGTATGCTTTCAGCTCTTTTAAACTTGACTCCAAATTTATTGATACACACTTGGGTGATTTTTATTTGAAATAGAAAAACCGGGTGGTTATTACCAGGAGTGACCCAGATGGTTCACAAAGAGAAGTTCGTTGACTTGATAGGTAGTGAGTCTCTCTGGTGAGGATTTAAGCGATCACTAGAGCGATAAATTAATATTTTGGGGGAACAAGTTTTACTCCACCGTGTCAACTCAAAGTGATAATGTGCTGGTATAAACGTTCAGAGTGGTAAAACTGGCCAAAACAAACCTGTAATATAAACGGGATCTAGCAAATAGAATTGTTTGATGGGTGCAACTCCACGGGCTGGTTGCAAGACGGTGCATGAGAAATAACTTCATGCAAGCAGATCTAAACTGCAGATGGGTTTTGTAAAAATCAACAAGATTATTACAAGATTAAAGAAAGAGTCAACAATCAATATTGTAGCCGGTATGAGTCTCTTTGTGTGACTTCATTATGTCACTGTTTGAAGCCTTTTGGAAGCTACGGTTTCCCTGGCAACCCATGCCCTGTCAAATTCTCAGAAATCATTGACTGGTGAGAATGGCGTCAGAGGTTGCCTTTGCCTGATTGGCAAAGACAACCTCAAGAAAAGAGTAAAATGTTTAAACTGAGGATGACACAGCTCGTACTTGGCGTGGGTGTCCACTCCGGTGAAGGTCCGAAACGTGACGAGTCATTTCATCTTCACTCTGTCACGCTTTTCGCCGCAATCGAGGCCGAGTCGTGAAGCGCCATAACCTGAAATGTTGACATTGAAGTCGGGCACTTTGCTCGCACTCGGAAACAGCCATCGTTGGGAGAAGCGTTCGACGTTACGGATGTAACGCCTTGCAAGTACTGACCTTTCTTGTGCCGTAACACGCCTAAATAGTCACTAGTCGTCTTGGTAACCGAGGTGTTCTCCTGTGCTTATACGGTATTGAGATGAATTCTTTGAAGAATTATGACGTCGTCGACTTTAGAACTTGATTCATCATCTGTGTTGCTCAATTACATCTGGTTCTACCTGAACCAGAACATTGAAGACATTACTTGGGAAATTTGCGTCGTGTCTGAGTCAATATGAATTCTTTTTGTGTTTGACTAATGACTTTTGACAAAGTAATGACTAAGTAATGACTTTTTTGGTTGCGTCACAATGATGTCATATTACGTGAGGAACTGAATTAGGCAATCACGACGAGATCGCAGTTGTAGTTTGACCTAACTTAAAGTTACCCTAGCTTTCTGTCAGACATAAAAGAACGGACAAACTCTGTATCAGAATCCTTTGGGCACATTATTGATGTCATTAATGTTACATTTACGATGTAGGTGACATAATTACAGAACATTTCTCGCTATAAACCTACTGTTCAACGTCTACCGGCCACCTGATTAAATTAACTCTCCCGCCGACTTGATGCTGATGCGATGACTTATAAGATGTCTCATTAATTTGGAGTGATTGTATGTAACAGAGAAACCCAGATGTACCGAAATGAGGTCACAATGACGCATTTTGGACGAGTGATCTTCCTGGGGCTTTACCTCTGCGCAAAGCATCCCCACCACGCAATGTTCTTTCATTACATAGATTGTAATCACTGCGAAGACATGATGAACGAGCAGAGAAAGTAGTGCATAGTTCACCTTCTGGAACATTTCTTCTTTTTCAAAAAAGAATCCACAAATTAAAACTAGAAGCACTCAGAGAGCGCCAAACTCCGCCAAGGCTAAACAATTTCCCTGCCATAATGTCAGTAGGCTTACACCCAAAAGAAATGCTCGTGTAAAATGGTGAAGAATCCTAAAAAAAAAAAAAATGGATCCAGACTAGGACCAGATCCGGTTCAGGCAAATCCGTCCATAACTTTTTCACTTATCTTTCCTACGGACAAATCAACCATCCAACCAACAAACAAACCAAATCTGATGAAAACATAATCTCCTTGGCGGAGGTAAAAAGCATCATTCGGCTGACTCATCCTTGAACAGCTGACAGAAAGCGATATTCCTTAGCCAGGCAAGTGACGTCTCAGAATAATAATGAATGAGGACCTGGGTGTTGAAAAGATATTACGGGGTGTTTCGCATCGAGACGCCAACTAAAGCCGTGATCTTGTATCGGTTGTCTGCATTTCTTGGGGTGTTAGAGGTTGATCTGGAGCTGTGCCTCACTTTTAATCCTCAGCAGTTTCTTAACTCAATACCCCCATTATTTCCACGTGTCAAAAAGGTACCATGTCAAAAACGAGGCAAAACTGAACAATATTAATCCATCTCCGTATCAGATTTAAAGAAAGAAGATATTCTCAAGTTGAAAATGAAATGTCATTTGAAAATGAAATATTTTGACCCTGTAAATCATTTCACAGTGCATTTAAAATTGAAATACTGATCCTAGAATCCAAAACCAAACTGATGGAAGCACTTATGAAAGGGCAACAAGATTAAATCTGTTCTAAATTTGAAGGAGATGGTCCGTGAAGTGTGAAGTCTAAATTGGAAAAAATCAGAAAGAGGAATTTCTCTTTAACACGCAAGAAGAAGCAGTATTTTATTTTTCACTGCACGTGTGGAATTATACTGGCTACCAGTAGGAATATTCATGCCGGGGTCTCCATCGGAAGCAAGCGATGTCTTTCTTACAAAGATCTCGGGGTAGTCACAGGGACTCTTCCTTTGCCCTCTGGGGAGTAATTTGGTTCTCTAATTAATAATATCATTTGCCTTGGAGTATAAGAAGCCGAAACAAGGTCTGTTGTGCCCACGGGCTAGACTGGCTGATGATGATGACGTGACTAGGATCGCGGCATCCTTGGAGAGACTACAAACTCAGGGTTAAACAGCAGCTCACGCTCACATTAAAGTGCCTCTCTAGAGTTTTTTTTAATTAAGCTCCATCCGGTAACCTTTTGTAAGCAAAGTACAACCTATAATTAAACCATAGAGCATAGTTCCTTGTTCCATATAGACAACTTTTCCATTCAAAACTCATCATTTAATCCTTCCAAAATCTGTTGACATACTTAACGAATATCGACGGGTTTTAAGATATTGTCAACGTATGCACGTTTCATCAACATCTCTTCAGCATCTTCTGGACAGAGACGATTCCTGCTCGCTGCATGACTGTACGGAACAGTAACGAGGCTGAATGTATAGGTTGCCGATCCAAAAATTAAGTTTCCATCCAAGTTTCCAATGCTTGCACGTGGCCAATGAGAAAACAAGCAAATCCCGTACAACTGCTTTAATCTCGCACAAAGCGTGATTCACAAGTACCTAGGAGTGTTATCTTATCTAGGCCTAGTCGAGAGCTTAATGAATGCATGCTCTGAGAGATCTCTGGGGCTGTTCTATATACCGTCCGGTGCTAATGGTATTCGGGGGCGAGCGATTATGAGGATAGACCTTCCGGTTGGCAAGACCAATTTCGAGTTGGGCAATAATCTGGCCTGCTCTGTCCTAATCAAGACTTGCCTTTCTCTCTTTCAAGTCGGTGCAGGTAATTCTAAGATGCTAATGATGATGAGCTATTGATTTCCGTCAGCTGATTCGGTCTTGATACCCTCCGGTAACTGCTTGAGATCCTTTCAATAACTAGAAAGGGCGTAGGTCCTTCGGTCTTAAACTGACCTTCCTTAAAGACCTTGTCCATCTGCACCTCTTTGTGCTTTTGCTCTATTCATTGTTGCAATTCTAACTGAAATCTGAGGTCGATCGTCAAGGGTATGCCTAGAGGCAGTGGTTATAACTGATTGGTGTTTACTCTTAAATGAGGGGAAATATTAACCATCCCGTTTCTCCTTGAACACTATTTACAAAGGAGAATTTAAGAACACTGATCTCCTTAATCGTGGTTTAGTACATTTACCTAAACTTAACTGAAATAAGGATTTGTTGGTACTGGTTCACCATTAATCTGGCTGATAAGATCATCTTAAGATGTAACCGCTAAGCCCCCTCAATACTCTTGCTCTATAATATTTGGCGGTTTGTGGTTATGCGGTTTGTGATTGACACCAATAATCTCTTGAGAGTAGGAGACGCCTTGTGGTCAGCTTAACCACAAACACATCATTAGGACACTGATACACCTTCTTGACAGCTCTCCCAATAGATGCTTAACAAACATTTAAAGTACGGGTCAGTAATGCAACAAGAAGCTTTAAGCTCTATTATGATAAAAACATTAAAAACCCTAGAAGATTGAGTCATGGGTGGTGTAATAATTGATCGCCCTTCAGATCAATCTTTGGGAGTTAATACACACGCCTACGCTTGCTAGAAAGAACAATAACACAAAAGATCCATGGAGTCTCTTTTGGCGTAAACATGGGGTCTTTTAGTGGCGTAAACAAGCGAGTTTGGACATTTGATGAAAACAACCGACACACTTGCAAGTGGGGATTACAAATGGGTCCAAAATGACAGTACTTTGTATTATTGATCAATGAGTAACGCTGGGGAGAGTTCACATTATCCCACCTTTTTCCCCCTTCTATCCGAGCCTTTTGGGACCCTGGATTTTTTGTACTGGGGATTACAGTAGTTGACAAGTATTGTGAATGCTGACACGCTGGTATAAAGGCGTCTGTCAATCAGGATTTAGAGTTCTGAAGGAGTTTGTGTGTCCCTCCTCCGAATCATCAATAAACATTTTAATAGGTGTATTTGCCTTTAACGGTTGGGGTAACCTCCTCACCCGAAGCAAAACCTTAACAGACTTGGATCAACAACGGTTTGTTCAATGAGCTTATGGGGATAAGTGTCTTGAGACGTACCTGGTAAGCAGGGTGTTTCAAAGATTGAGTTCCTTTGAGAACGAGTCGATAATCTACATAGAATGGTTCTCCAGTCCTACCATCAACAAAATTGCACTATACTTTGCTTACTTAACTGTCAGTCGTCTGAGGGTTTTTCCTCTTTTCTCTTTTAGGATACGAATACAATCTTTTTAGGATAAGAATTTCTTGCAAAATTAATCTTGTTGAGGTAATAGATGTCAGGGACCTGGATGGAAGCAATTGCAACAAGTTATCTTGATTAAGGATACACGCATCTTCGTTCCTTGCACCAATGTTTCCAGCAACAAAATTATTCTCCAGACAAAAAACAGACTTGCCAAAACATATTGCCAAACAATTGTCGGCCACAGTATCTGCCTAGGCTGCCGTAAAGAGAGGCTTGGAGACATTTATGATATGAAACTGGGTAATAACACTTTAGGCCCACGATCTCGATCTTAACTAGAATGTCTGCACAGATTGCCCCATGGTTTTCGCTATCAATGAACTTAAAGTAAAAAGACATTGAGAAATTGAGACTGCAAATATAGCTAAATTGGTAGGGCACCGGTATGGTGTTCCGCAGGTCGCAGGCTCAATTCCCGCCCCAGTCCACTAAATATTGAACCACTTTCCTAATTCTTATCCTTGCAGCACCTCCAGAATTGCATTTAGAAGACCCAACAATATGCTTCTTCGATGTCCAAGACAAGACAGATGGATACGTAGTCTCAAAGGCCACCTTGTACTTCTACGTTCAACCTGCTAAACTTCTCCAGACTACGGTACACCTGATGAGCGTGAGCCGGGTGGTCATGATGAAGGGCGGTCGGGGAATGATCAAGTTGGACACGGTTCGGGAGGAGAAGATCGTACTGAGCTCAAGACACGGCGAGTGGCAGAGCGTGGAACTGACGGACGTTGTCACAGAGTGGATTGACAGCCCGGGTACGAATAATGGGCTCAAGATCGAGTTGTATGATGATGGAGGCAACTCGGTGGTCGTGACTGGACTGACGGATGACGAGGAGACCAAGGTAGGTAGAAAAAAGCCGCTGGAGCTCCTTATCTCTTAGTTACATCACCCTTATCTCTAATGACGATTCCCTTTTCCAACCTTTTGGCAACCTCTTAACGAAAACTGCAGTACTAAAGAAAAACCTACACCATATCAAGAATGGTGTCTCTTGTGAGTTCCACATCGACCTGCTACCTTGGCCACAAAGATCTTCCTGTACTCACATTAGTAAACCCCTGAGCTACACCCATCCTTGTTGCTCACTGACCATTAAGCCACCGGTGTCTCGCGAGTCCTCCCTTAAAGATCTTCACGAACACAGAGGTTCCCCAGAACGGTATCCTTGTAAAACAATGAGGGAGCAAGGAGTGGTATGGAGCTCGAGCAGTATTGACGATTAAAATGATTTGGTTTTTTTCCTCCTTAGAAACCCTTCTTACAGCTGAGACTACACGACGCGAGGAGGCGACGCAGCCGGCGAGCAGCGGGCCTTATCTGCATGGAGAACCAGCCCGCCGAGCGATGCTGCCGCTACCCGCTCCGAGTCGTCTTCGCAGACTTTCAGTGGGACTGGATCCTGATGCCCAAAGCATACGAGGCCAACTACTGCTCCGGTCTCTGCCCCAGAATGCGACTCCAGCAGTACACCCACACCAAAATCATGTCCATGGTCAACCCCCCTCCGGAGGGGTACATGGGCCCCTGCTGTTCAGCTAGTGATATGTCCCCGCTAACGGTGCTCTACTTTGACGACAATGCTGACATTAAATACAGCCTCTTGACCAATATGGTAGTAGAATCATGTAGCTGTGCCTAAACGGGCAGTGTCCTTAATCGGACATGCTACAAATTAAGGCTTCTTTTCCCTAAGAGCGTGATGTTCAATTCCTGGCAGTACTATCACGACGCGAATGGATATCAAATATCCAAACTTGTGCCCAGACGAGCCAAGAAGTCGGCACTACTTTCCGTTATTTGTTATGCACCAGTACTGTGATCCGATAGCAGTCCTTTCAGTGCAAGAATTCGCACGTTTTGACGCTACTGCCAAATTTGAATAAGCACGGTTTTGGGCAGATTACAAATAAAGAGACTTTAAGAGAACTTGCAAGCAAATTGGAATGTAGTACAAACTAGTTTGTCGACCAAGTTGTATGTGGTATGAATGTTCGTTTGCTGGTACTAAACGAACACTAAAAGATAATGTCAATAAAGACACTGTTACCTAGGGGCGGCCATCTTAATTTTGACAAAACACGAACTATGAAAATATCAGATTGGTGCCCGAGTGGTCGTGGAAACTAATCATATGGTTTTCAACAACATCCTTGGGAACTATACCAAAGATGGCCGCCTCGTCTTAGCCTGATGTTAAGCAAAATATGGCTTCGTTTTACAAATTCAAGAAATAATCTTACCTAATTCCTGCTATTTATCTTTTGACTGGCGCCCGGCTGCTTCCCCGCAGACAAGTCACGGGGAACTTGAACACCAGTGGTGACGTCAAGCTTGGTATAGTTTTGCATGACTACAACCGCGGGTACCAGTCACTTGCCTACAAAATGGCGAAATAAATGTGATATTAAAAATCATAATCTAACAATCTAGCACAGCTGATAAAACGGCTGTGGGGGGAATAATGATGGACGTATTCGTGAATATAAAAAGTCATGTTCGTTAGCTGGTTCCAACGAACACTAAAACCAAGCAGGGTCAGCAAAATAGAACTATTCAGATCTATATTTTATTATTTTTTTATTTGTGTTCAGAGCAGGTTTGGCAGTTATTGGTCAGAAATTGTGTGATATATAGGAATCAATAATAAAATTGGAACAATACTTTTGTGGCGGTTTGAGGTTAACATTTGATTATAAAATAACAATAATGATGTCTTCAAGGTCATGCTATTCTGCAATTCGGTTGGAATTCGAATGTTACATAATTATAATGGACTACTACTGCAGGTGGACGGGCCATTAAAGCGTTCTTGTACACGAATTCTAAAGAAGAAAAATGCGAAAAAATAAAAGAATTTCTGTTCTCTTGTAGACTTTAACTCGATGTCCCAATATTAAGTGTTAATAAGTCGAGTATAAGCCTTCAGATTTATTGATTTGCTAGTCACGGACAAAATATTTTAAAAAAAAAAAGGTCGAGTCCATTTGTGTTGCCTCTGGGCTTCCGCCAAACTACTAGAATTATTCATAATATTCAGAGCGTGCATATTGAAAAGCCAGCTTGCTTCATTGTGGTGTTATTGAAAGTGTGTGAATTATGGCCTAAGCCTCTGTCTGCCCTGATCCAGCGGCACTATGTAGCATGGATATGCATGCCTTTCTATAGGGCTACCAAATTTCTGTAAACACTCTTTCTTCCTGTTGCAGTTTTGTGAAAGCCTGTCCGTACCTTTAGTAGAGTTCTCGCTGTATTTTGCCTTTCAGTGAATGGAGAAGGTTATTAGACAAGTACAGAATATGCTAATGGACGTAAACTTAAATAGGTAACCTCTCGCAGTTTCATGTTTTACAACTGGAAAAAAAACCCTGAAGATTGTTGACTACTGCCAGCTTTATACAGCAGCATCAAATTCCTTAAATCCGGATATTAAAAATGCATAATTTTATTATTTTTACATGAAACTTGCGGAATGCCTTTAACCACCAGAAATCGCAATCGACGAAAACTGGTTTTATTTTCGAGGCTGAAATCAGATTCATAAAAAAAGTAAATGACAAATTGTGCAATCTGTTTATGCGGTTTCAAGGAGCCCATAGAAGTACATTATAAGGTAAAACTAACATCAGTAAAATGTATAAAAGTGTATCTTGAACCTTTTTTGTTTCATAATAAAGGAGCAAGCCCCTTTCGACATTAAGTTGTGTAATATATTAACAAGTTAATTGCTTTTGAAAATACTGGCATTCGTCCATTTTGTGTTTCCACAAAAGATTAACAAGTTAAATTTACGGACCGAAAGGGTATCAATCCAAATGTACTCCAAACTCAATCAATTATCAAATATTTGAACACCTGTGTTTCACCCGTTTCATAAAAAGAAGTAAGCGTTCATATACACTGTGTAAAATAAGCAACGGATTTTTTCCACTCAAACTGCAAAAAAAAGCAGAAATTATAAAGTTATACACAGATTAGTTTTTTTTTTTTTTTTTAACAACAATTTAGCACAAAAGAAGACATTGAACCGGATTTTGACCTTCGACAGTACTAAACACAAAGCATAGGCTTAAAAATCAACACGTTCTTTATTGAAGTGAGCTTTGGAAATATGACACTGAATTAAATGTATGAAGTGAACCATGAGAACCATTATCAGGAATACTGACTAAAAACCGATCCGATAGTTCAGGCAGGGATCAACAAACTCCGACAGGTGTGAAAAATCAACCTGTGTTAGGGACTTAAGACCTTGAACTGCAGGATCAGGTTAGATCTAAGGCCTGCAGTGGGATTCATTAGATTTTACAAATTTGGTGCAACCGATGATTGAAGATGATTATATTTCATCTGCGCGATAGAGAATCTGTTGTTTAAAACCACTGTGCATATACCATGCAGTATTAAGTTCATTGGCTCCAAGTGTGATGGGATGAGATTACGCCATGCTGAATCTAACCCGCGGGTAACTTGAGCATGGGCAACTGCACTAAAGCATGGGCCAGTGACTACAGGCGCATGCGCATTTTGTTTGCACGTTGGGTAAGTTCAGCACGGGAGGTGATTTCGCCGAGTGTGTTCTACACAATAACATGATTGGTATGCATTAAATCTCAAAGTTATTACTTTTCCAAGGTCTTTCAAGGATAATTTAGTTGGTTGCTAATTGTTGGAGCGGCGTAAAGAGCTTTTATTTAGTATTAATAAAGAACAAGCAGACCCAGAGACTGGGTACGAAAAACAAGTCTATGGCTCATTTATTTTTTATTACATCAGACAGCTTTTACTTTTGAATTAACGTTGTGCACCTGTTATGGGCAACCTTCGTAATGTGTTTACCCCTGTGCACATTCTTCCGACAACAGGTGTTGTTTTTGCAAGACCATCTCTGTATATAATCTGGTATCATATAATGGCATTTATAACCATGTATACCCCCTATCAAAAAGTAACAAGTAAAAGGTGTTTTTCCCCTTCAAGTCTTGGCTTTCTTTTGTTCTTGAAAAGCCAAAGGACAGAGCAATTTACAGTGAAACGAAACCCGACCAGAAACGTTTGGAATAAGTCGGATTAAAATATCGGATTACAATATCTACATAACAGTTCAATTGTTGCGATGATGGCGTAACTATTTTCACAAATTGTGCAAATACAAACATCTCAATACAACTGTCCAGTCAAAATCGCCTTCTGATGGTATAACTTAAGTAACGACTTGTATGATTTATGAAGAACCCGAACCACCGCGAAAACAACCTTAAGTTAACTTTAATTGCAGGTCCTGGCGGGTAGTCTTAATTTGACGAAAATCTGTCACTTTTTTCAGATCGCGTTTTGGAATCGGCTGTTTGGACAACAATGCTCGCTCTGAGATTTCACGCTGCAAGGTGTTGTGACCTTCGTGTAATGGCACACGACACAATGCACTTTTATCCCACCTTTGTACCCAGGAAAGCAAGTTGGGTCGGGTCCGCGTTGTGCCCGAATGGTGAACAAAACAACAACCAAGGAAGCTGATTTACAACCAGAGCCGATACATTTTTTTTAACTCACCTAGTTATTTTTTTTGTTAATAATATACAATCCCACCGTGCTTTAAATTGACAAGGTTTTTTGGTCCTTAACTTGGTGACCCGCGCAGAGCCCATCCAGGGGTCGTGGTGTTATGCTGACTTCTCAAAATACGGGTTTGGCGAGTAGTAAACAGCTTTTGTCAGACCAACAATACATCAAAGGAAACCCAATTATTACCGGGGCATTGCTTTCACGCTCAATTGCAGGTGTCACAAGGGGTACCCTCGCTACAAGTCGAAAAACACAATTTGCCAGATCTGTTTTCACGATCTATACACTCTCTGGCGATCTGTTTTTCCATGGCGGTGGGGCCACGGGTCTAGAGTTTGTTTCTCTCACCGTAGTACCGCACACCTGCGTTTGCCGTAAGGCTCGAGACCCGAATCAGCTGAGTCTCCGCCAAATAATATTGATCTTAATACGTAAATACAAGGTAAAAGGAATGATGACTCAACACTAAACCAAATTCAGAAAGGTTACTGGTTTCTTTACAAATCCTTATTCAAAGTAGTGCGATAATAATTTGAAATAACAGAAGAAAGAAAAAGACATTCTAGCAACACTTTATTAGATATTTGGCGGTTATGCTTTATTTATTCAATGCAAAGAGTAACTGTCATACCAAACATGGTTATTTTTTTCCGAAAAAAAAAATGAGAAGAGAAATGCCAGTAAATACAATTCATAAATCGCCGATTTCAAAACTACACAAACAAGTCCAAAGTTTGACTTGAACAAATATTTACAACCCAAAATGAACCAACCGCCATACATGTTTCGAAATGGACAGATAGTTCAATCAGTTCCATCTCACAAGTGTGTATAGTTATAACAACTCCAGTACAGAAAATTTCTACACATTTGAGACCTTATCCCTTTCATATGGTTTGCATTAGCCTTGATCCACGCGTAGTTGAAATGCTTTTCATAAGGATACTACTACACTGTAAAAACGTTGGGCAAATAGGTTGATATGTAGACCAACGTTGGTCAACATATCAACAGGTTAAATTCTTGGGCAAATTCTTCCCTAATAGTTGGATAATTTTTACCCAAATTAGGTAATTTCAAACCAATGTTGGTTAAAATCATATTGTGCAACAGTGTTTTAACCATTATTTTTTACAGTGTATAGTTGAATGAAATGTACATTTCTTTTTTTACAGATCGAAAGTTAGGCTTTTTTTCTCAGCCAAATATTTCCCAGCTAGCTTTTGAACAGGCACCACTTCCAAGGCCACTCACACAAATTTCACCCAAACTAGTTTTGAAGTGGGTTTTCTACGAAGCAAATCGATGACGTTGGTGTGCCTACCCTAACCCCTGGAAGTTATTAGAGCGAGTCAATAGTTGGGTCCAGCTGTAGTTTACGTGTGCTTGATGGGTTTTTGTATCTGGTTTGGAGAACGACGCTGTGTCAGAAATGTGGTCTAGTGCAAGTCTGCGGGTGCCATGCGCGTCGTGCACTTCCGAGAATTTTTCAAAAAGGCAGAGGTGCGTTTTATGCAAACAAATTTTTTTAAAGGATTTTCATAAAACAATTATTGAATACACCAGAGTTGTGCACTCTTTGACCTTCTGACATATGATACTTGACCTACGCTGGTTGATTTGAACCCTCAATCTTCAACATGTCATTCAGAAGTTCAGAACTGGATACACATGTATATAAAAGAACTTGAGAGAAAAAATGTACATATAAATACATTATCTTGTGGGTTTGTACGAAGGTGCACTCAACCAGTTCACTTCAGACATGCGCACTGACTGTTACTGAAACACGTGACATCGACAGTAAGACAGGACCGCGGAAATCTCATTTAAATAATAGCTCAAATAAATGTCAAGTTGGTAAAACATTTTGCGTGGTATTCTCAGTCCCTGGTATCACATGATTGACCTTCAGATGTTGATGGAGTATCTTCGGGTGTACTCTGTCCTTTTTCTTTTCTCTCCTCGAGCCTCGCTTTCAGAACAGCCTCGTACTGAGCTGGTGTGAGGAGTTTCTCCATCTGCTGGTCACATCCTCCGAGCTTAGGAAGCACTATGGCGATGTAGCCTTCACCGCATGGCTGGAGAAAGGAAAATACAAACAATCATACCACCCACTCCGATCACCTTCATGTATAGGCAGTTTGCACTGTAGCCATCTCGGAGGTATGTACTTTTGTTCAACAGGAACACGCATGGGCAGAACTCTTGTGCATTCATTGTTAATTAATTTACATAACAAAACACACGGCTGCTGCAATTGCAAACAAACCAACCATTATTAGGAAATGAGGACATTTAATCATCTGTGTAGGCGTAGGAGACAGTGTTGGAACATAATTTGAAATTAAATCGACTACAACTGATGTTTTATACATACATGTATTTTGGGGGGTGATCGATCTAGGTTTGATTCGACGTCACCCCTTGCTTTTTTATTTCTAGATAACATACAAAATACGACGGGTTTTTTTTTTTAGATAAGCCTCGATAATGTGAAAAATTTGTTTCCAAAATTTACGCTTTAATGCAAAATGCCACGAGAGAACATAATACAAACGTACGTATATTTATATGGTATGTCCGATTTGTAATTTGCTAGGATTTGAACGATTGTTTTGTTGACAGGTGCAATATATAAGCTGGGAACAATCTTAATTGCGTACACCTGTCTACAAATCAGCTGCCGTGTTTTCAGGTGCGAAACAGCGTAAACAGTCTCAAGGTTCAAGATTTTTAGAAATAATAAACAGGTTGCTCTTTAATAGACAAAAAAAATGCTGTCAGACGTAAACAACTGATCAACGCGAGCTGATCTATTGTCCCCGATATCAATCTTGATAGGGAATACATTTCCAGACAACAATGTCACTCCAGAGATCATGGGTAGAAAACCATTCAGCGGGAATTGGTTTATCTCACATGATGACCTTCTATTTCTCTTTCTTGATAATTCCCTGAATGTTCATGAATGTGCCGACACTAAACAACATACCTGATGCTGACAGACATTAAGCACATAACTGTCTGGAGCATTACCTTCCAGACTCTACGTCATTTCAATGAATGTTACTTTTAGACAACATTCTTGGTTGCACTTACAATAAAACTGGACCATCTGTTGTACAATTATGCAACATTCACTCGCTTTGATTACTGACGCAGTCAATTAAAAAGAGTGTGCTCTGTTCATGTGTTCTTATATTTCTCTGTGTCAAGTGTACATAATAATAAACAAAGACATTTTTTGTGCATTTGACTTCGTTTATGTAAGATTTTACACAAAAGTTACTTGAAGTAATTGAGGAACGGACATTACACACTCTATCAAAACACGAAAATTCATTACTTTAAAATGAATTTCACCTGAGACAAAAAGATCATAGTCACAAATACCTCCCGCTGAAACAAGCATTTTCATTGCTATATCACAGCACAAGACGTTTTGTATTAAAAAAAACAAAAAGAAAAGAATCACATTGCAATCTGAATTTTCTTTAAGACTCGGGACCGAAAACTAGACTTTGTATTTCGCTGTCGGTTTTGCCAGACGGTAGATTGCGCAATATCTGCGATCAGCTGATAATAATTCATACACAGCAGGGTAGGATCATGAGCAGGGACACACTGTACGAGGCTCTACGGGACAGACGCGCATATTGTCACGTACGTGCGGTGCGTGTGTACCGCATCACTGTCCCTATGGATCATGACGAGTGTGAAGGACACACCAAAATCCCATACATCCAGACAATTGTGGTTTTTAAATACTTGAGGTATTGCACAGAGGAGAACACAAAAGATGGAAATGATTTGCGAAGGAACATTGTGATAAATCTTTAAACAAATAAATAAAAAAAAGTGAAGACAACCAGAGATTCTACATGTATATTCAAATACATAGGCCCATTGCACGGTGTTGATTAACATTAAGTCAAATTAAATGTTTGCCCCCTGCACTGATTTTATTTCAACCCGAGTGTGTCCTGATAAAAAAAACCGAATTCGATAAAAATGAGTTTGATAAATGAATTCGTACTTGCGATGAAAAAGGGCAGATTTACAAAGGGAAATACAGGGGACAAGGCCTCAAAATGTTTACAACATATTCATCGGGTATTTTGTTTGTAACATACCCTTGTTTGAATGAGCTGGGGCTCTTGGAGAAGTGTTTCGTTGACTTCGACGAGTTTGCCGTTGATGCAGCTGGACATGGTGTAACAGGTGCCATCAGCGCAGGTGACTTTGCAAAGCTGAGCCGTTTGGTTCAGCCACTGCCCACCCTAAAAAAAAAAGTAAAACGGCACAAAATCATAAAGAATCGTGACTTTAATTTCATCACCTATGCTCTTCTTGAAACTATTGGATTTTTTGGCTCGGAGAATGGAGGAGGCCATCTTTGTTTGTCGACTCTTATGTCAATTATTTCATTTTCTCTTGTTTTCGATGAGTTTAAAACATTCTTGACTATCTTTTTTTTATTAAAAATGTATAATGTACCGTGTTGAAAATAAGTACGTGATGTGGATTGTCTCACGGCAGCATTTGATTTTACCAAAATAAACAGTATGTAAAACCGAAAAAAAAAATCAAAGAAAACTTTTCGAAAAACCAAGAATGAGGGGAATTATTTTTACTGACCTGAGGTGACAGGTCAAAGGTGAAAGGTTATGATAAGATTGGTAGTGAGCCTTTCACTGATTTAATACCATTTGGGGCTGGGAACTTAGATAATATTTTAATTGTATTGTTTGAGAGTAACAATGGACTTTACTGACTTTGTTGTCACAGCTGCACATATATCATAATTATGCAATGCGCGTCAGGTGTCTTTCTGCAAACATTCCACTGTTAGTGTCCACAAAGGGTCGTTACATTAACAGTGATCAAACACACTTATTAAACATTGAAAGTCAATAACATTAAACATTATTGACAGGTGTCTGTTCTCGGACAATCATGACGCAAAGTTTCAAACAGGATTGCATTGCGAAGTCACGCGAGGGGTTGCATCATTAAGCAATAAAAAGTAGATGAGACATTTTGAAGGAATTTCTTTGACCCTTTCCTTGTTCACCTAGTAAGATGTGTGTCAATGTGTATCTCACTTCTACCTAGTACCTTTTTGAGTAACAAAAACAAATGTATATTTCAGTCGGTTTATTTTCTCTATACTTCAAAAATACGGATAGCTTGCGTGGCTGTTCTTCATATAGTCTGCAGTCTTCTAATCTAAACAAATTGAAATCTTGACAACCTTTCGGCTTATATTTCGAAATAAAATCACGAGCCGTTAACTCGCAATACTTAAATTAAATCGCATTTAAGTTTGGTCGTTGTTGTTGTTGTTGTTATTGTTTACATAGAAATATCCTGATACATTTATACATTTTGACAGTACTTGAGGTGTTTGTGCAAACACCGCTTGAGATTTGTTCAAATAGAAGTAATCATCTGTTGAAATTTGTGTTTGTTTCACACTTCTACTAACTGCGCAACATTAGCCTTAACCAAACTAAAATCTCACGTGCACTGAATTGTGTTGGTAAAGGAACATCGTCGTTTTCTGCTCAAATACTGGTTTACATGTACAGATCAAATATTTTATCTTTAAATTAGTAACCCGAGTATTGAGTAGTGAGGGTGGGAGGAGGGGAAGGGGGTTGGAGATGAAGCAAGCTGATGGACTGATTTAGTGAAATGACGCACAAGTTGTTCAACCCCACCCCACCCCCATTCCACCGACCTCCTACGACACGGCCAAACACCCGTAACACAAACAACCAGCCGACAACACCACATAATGGACAAACAAACCGGAGGAAGGGAAGGAAGTGCGGAGCAAACACCTACGGGACATGGCGGAGAGGAAACAAATAATAAGAGAACTAGAAGACATCTCGTGCCGGGACGGAATTCATTTGGAGGACCGGGCAAATATTGAAAGACACCCACGCCCTGTTGAAACCTTAAGCTCGGGAAGCACTCAGGTAATGCCCAGTGACAGACCCCTTGAGAGAAATGAGATTGGACAAGTGGAGGGAGCACGTAAGCCTGACACACTTAAAGGCACCCGCCAATTAATTTTTTTTCTGTGGTTTTCTGATGATTAATCTTTCTGTCTTTTGAAGGTGATAGCCGGCAAGTTCGAGTTGATTGGAGGGGGTGGGGGAGTTGAGCTAACCTAATTACATTTTCAGGAATTAATGAGTCTATTAAACCTGTTAAGATTAATTTTTAAAATAAATTCTGGATAGCTGCAAAGTAAACTAATTTCGTTATCATTAAAAAGAATGAGAAAAAGGAGTTACTTAATTTATGAATTGGCAAATTACACAATTAGCTAATTACTAAAATATTTTGTGATTATTGAAATGTACATATATTTGCAATGTCAGAATGAATAACAACAAAATTAATGTTCACCATAAAATTTTAAAGGTTGCAGAATTTCTTACATTCCTTCAGAAAAAAATCAATAACTTAGTGCACTGAAGACAAAGCTATAAACAATTAAAATCTCTCAAAATTGCTTACCTTTTTCCGTTTGCCAACGACCTTATTCTGCATTCTGTTCGTGTTTGCTCCAACTTGGAAATCTACCTTCAGAATCTTTTTGTTTTCCCGGATCAATGGATGACCTTTCGCAACCGTTATCAGGCAAACTCTTCAAGCGAAAACAAAACCCCCAGTTAATTAGGTACAAGAATTTCAACAGAGTAAAAGAACATGGTTCTTCTTAATATCTACAGTGTGTATCAAAAGAATGCAAACAAAATTCAACCACTTTCTTGCCATCACCTCATGCTAAAAATGTTTGGTATGTAAACATGTTTACAAACTGATAGCAAGAAAGTGTTTAGAACTGTGTTTACTCGCTAAACACATTTTTTTTGTAGGCCAGGCAAGTAGTCACACAGAGGCAATTAGGCTACCTTTGTCCCAATGCCTAAAATTGAAAACTTGGTCCCATGGTCAATTTGACCTCTCTTGGAAAATTACTCATAACTCTGTCAAAAATTGTCAGATTTGAATGTTTGATGTCTCATTTTAAAGTGAAAAAGGCGTACCTTTCAAACCATACCTATATTATTTATGCTGGTTACACATTCTGCGTCTGGCATTCTGTTAAATTTTGTTTGCATTTTTTGTTATTGATACACACTGTATATTGAAAAAGACAACCGAATTGTTGAGTTGTTGGGTTGTTTGTTTTGGTGGTTTTGTTTTCTCTGTTTATCAAAAGGTTATTTATAGAAAAAGATTATAAATTCTCCTATCTGATTCAGAAAAGTTAAGTTCCTGATATATATAGGTATCATCTATTATTTGATTCAGGGTCATTAAAACAAATATATAAACTATTCTTACTTGTTGGAGTGTTTCAGTATACAAAAGTCTTCGCAAGAATTCCCATTCATATCTGAAAAAAATTAAAGAATTTTTACATTACATTTTTTTTGTATTGAAAGATTTTGTTAAAGCACATCTATTGAGAAATTTGCATGATAATGTTGAGTAGTTAGGTGGAAAAAAATCTGATCCAAAATACAAACAGATTTGAGGCATGTGTGATTGACTATTGAAAATGCAACTGGGCATTACGGGGAAATCAGGTTGATCAACAGATCAGGGAGGGGGCAAGTCTGATTGTCGATTAGTTTGTTTAGTTGTTTATCCATAATCCTTCTAGCATTGTCTGTCTATCTAGAACCAGCCCATTAATGTCAAGACACAATCCCCCGCCCAACTTTAACGGTTTCCTTAAAAGACCCCACAACACTCTAAGGATTGGAAAGGCTAATCTGTTGGATCTATTGTCAATTTGTTCATGACAGGTAACATCTCAATTATCCCACAAAATGGATGTAAACGCACCAGGTAGTAAGACTAAATTGTAGGGGTGTGTCCTAGTGAAAGGGTATTTTTCGGATGAAGATAATGGCTGATTCTGGGTGGTGTGCTCCTCTATTACTCCTTGACAGGAAAGCAGAGTGGGTGGCCTCTCCTAAACAATCTCAGGAGTTCTGGTGTTTTGATTGAGAAATCACTGAAGTTGTTTTCAACACATTTGACTTTTCATGGGACGAAAAAACATGTTGTAATTATGCTAAAGAGTGAATTAACTTCAAACAAGCCAAGCAACAACGGACAGAAAAGAAGGTTAATTACACACATCAACGGACAACATATTTTTTCATGATGCCTTTTTTCATTTGTGATTGTTATTAAAGAGTACATGGGCCTACCTAATGTAATGACTCATGCCAAAAAAAAATGATAAAAATTCATTTCTGAATGCCCCGCCTCCCTTGCATTTCTTGGCATTCTGAGGTGCCACTTATTGTCTTGAGGATTTTTGATACATGTACTTAAAAAACGCAAGTCATGAACAGTTTCTAAGTGGTTTGGAATTGTTAAAGTTTGCATTTTTTTTCTGGTCACAGTTTAGGCAGTCATACAGTGCAAACATGTATTTTACAGACTGCTCATTGGAAGACTTGGTAGAGGGCGCTATTGCATTGACACTGCAATGTTTTATACTGTGATTAATTTGATTGCATGATATTGATAGAGAGTTTACCGAGTCTCGCATGTAAAAGGGGGAAAAATCGTTAAACCAGGCGGAAAAAATGTTGCAACCTGACGCAACTTTTTTCTTCATACATCATCATGATCATCTGAATAATTAAACTAAGTCAGTCAATGCAAAAATGTTGAAATGAACAGAGAAACATTTTCCAATTTTGTTAGGAAATACTTAGAAAATTGTCTTGACTCTCCATGGACTTTGTACACAACCGCTGAAGTAGCGTCTAGATACTACATTATTTCCGAGCAATAGGCGCAGTAGTACGAGACATGGCCTTTAAGTTTAACCCACGCGTTTGCGCCGCGCGCCGTGGGTGAACATGGACATGGTGCCGGTGAACAACATCATGAACAATGATGAACATGCCTGAGAAAAACAAAATTAAATTTAAATTGTGATTTACAGATCATAACTCAGAACCAACTCACCAGTCTTGTAACCCGCCGTATAGTATCTTTCCACGACAGATGGATGTGTTCCCGAGAGAGGAGATTGGTCATCTTGTCCAATCCGACTGAGTTCATTCTCAACGCTAACATTTATTTCTTCCTCCATGGGCGCCGCCATTTTGATTATGAGATAAATCATCAGCCCAATTGAGGGCGCCTGAACAAAACACGGTATCCACACGACGATGCAAGGGGAATAGTTGAATTTATCTGCATCCATCACAGATATTCGAATCGATGGCACTTGTTTACTAAACGGTGATGTTACGTTGATAAATAATTAAGTTTACCTGAAAATATTATCTGTTTCGTGTTTCTTTTAATTTGATTAACGTAAGGCCCTATTCAATTTGATCGATTCGCATGCATTTTTTTGGAATGGTTTTCTGTTTCTAAATTCTGTCATTTAGTGGTCCCGTGCAAGCACTGCTTCTTAAGGACATTAATCCACTCTCGTCAACTTCCAGTTTAGTCCCTGGTGGACCGTTCGGGAGTTTAGTCCCTGGTGGACCGTTCGGGAGTTTGATCTACAAGGTACAGGGTAACGGTCCCCTCCACCAACTGTCATGTATTGTTCCTTGGTGTTTTGGTATTTATGTATTATCGTATGTTGTATTTTGGGGGCAATTCCGTAATCATGTTCGGACGTAGGATGTCAGATTGTTCAATGAGCAGTGTGAATGTGATACATTACTAATATGTGACATGTAATGAAGAGAAAACAATTACAGGCCAAACAAAATGTGCTACCAACTTTACGATCTTATACAATTATGCGGTCAGACGTACAAAAAGAGCTGGAATTGCTCATGTATGAAGTGGAAATAAAGTTATTGAAATGTAAAAATTGAATGATAATGAAAAATTGAATGAATGATGATGGACTTTATAATCAGAATCGATCATTTTTGTCGAAAAGTACAGCAGCATTATAGCTTTAAAATTGATCAAGTTAATGCTTTATTATTCTTTCCTTTTTAAAAGTTTATATCCCCATGTTTTCCTTTTCTTTTCCGGCATTTTCTTTTCCGGCATAAAGCTTTTCCGATTACGCAAGATGCGAGTTCGATGATTTCGTAGCCATTTTACGTATGTCAACCAACCTTTCAAAGTAATTAGAATTTGCCGATTTTTTAAATTGAAATTTTTATTTACGTAATGATACAAAGTTTAGCCTTCATATCGAGGTAATTTGTGTATTCTTAAAAACGCAACATCAGCGGCCATCATTTCAATAGGCCTATTTCTTCTTGTATTTGTGGATGCGTGCAAATTTTTTAAAAATAAGTTTAATTTACGATTTAATGTTATACTGCAGTAGGAGAGTGATCCTAAAATTGTCCCAAAAGGCTAAATTTATTAAATTCTTGAAGAAAAAGCTTTGATGTGTGTTGAACTTTACAAATCACATGTTGATATTTTTAACTGGAAATGGGAGAAAAATATTAATGTGTCCCTTTTCAATCTCCATTTCCGTTGAAATGGTTTGAGGTTTGAACTCGCGCGCACTTTTTGAGTTGAGTGTCCGAGCGGTCATTCCCCCCGAAATCAAGTGGCAGAGTCGTCAAACTTTGCGTCTGAAGAGGAGTCTAAAGGTTCGGCAAAATGTTGTGAACAATCGAGCTAGAACAATGGTATCTATCCTGATTGCAGTCTTAACAATTTCAATAATTGCCTGCACAGAATCACGAGGATAAGTGTCGACTTATTATGTCATGGGCGGGGAAAGAAATTAGAAAAGGGGATGCGGACGAGCGAGTCACCATACCAATTAACGTCGGTGATTCTTTATATACCCTGAGACAAATTAACAAATTCTCCAGTTGTGTTTTAATATTCTTGTTGACACAAGTGGCTCAATATAAGCATTCCTTTAAAAAATCAGTTACCATGATTATAAAATTAAATATATTAATTACTTAATAGCTTATAACAGCATGTAGTATAGCCGTGCACTTTACCCCATAGCTGCCCGATTTATGCCTCTGACGGTGCAGTCAAAGGTCAATTTTTACGGCTTGATAAGTTCATTTCGGTATTTGTGTCCTTCATATGATATGATTAAGCTTCATAGGTATGCATGATGACCGCATTCCACGGTTTGTCGACTTTGACTTCGGGAATGAGCAATGGTATAACTGGATCGGGAACAGCTCAGGCGTACAATCGAGGCCCCGACTGAGAACTGAACATACCTATAGTACGCTGCGGGAAAAGACAATTTGTGCGAATATTTTCCGCAGAGACAACTTCTAATACACCTGTTGTAGGACCAATTAATTAAGGACTCTGACATTCTGACTGTGCACCTGTTGATAAACTACACACCATGGAGTTGTTTTCACCGCTCGGTGTACTCGGCGTATTCGCTGGTCTACTGCTCTCAGTGTTTCTATTTCTGGTGGTCTATTTTGCCTACTGTCACAGTCTCTATGCTCATATACCGGGTCCAAAAAGAGACAGGTAGGTGAACTTGTTTGGCGTGTAATGCCATTCCCATTGTAGCCCCTATCCACCAAATCTTCAGTAAACATGTTAACCCCATAAATGTGGCCAATTTACTGGACTACCTCCGTAAGTAAAGGCCATGCACACTTGCACCATGTACAAAAACATGTAGAACTTCCAAATTTTGATTTTCACATTTTAGGCTTACTTTTTTTGCTTTAGAAGCATACTCACCCTCTTTAAAGGCTAATCAGAAAGTGATGCCTTTTTCAGATGTCTATTTTTCGTGAAATTTCCAGATTCGTTTGCACACGTTTGCGCATCAAAATTTCAACCTGAAATTTCACGAAAATTAGACATCTGGAAAAGGCATCACTTTCTGATTAGCCTATAAAGAGGGTGAGTGTGCTTCTAAAGCAAAAATAAACTACAAACTAAGCCTAAATGTGAAAATCAAAATTTGACAAAGTTCTACATGTTTTTGTACATGGTGGAAGTGTGGCTTTTACGGAGGTAGTCCAGTAAATTTGCCACATTTATGGGGCTATCCACATGTATAACCTTGGCTGATTAAATATCCTGTAAAACTACCACAAGAATGTTTGGTTTTATAGTTTCTTCACAGGAAACATGTCGACCTTACGGAAGCGTGTACACGAGGGGAGTAATCTACCAGAATACCTGTACGATCTGTAAGTAGGCCTTTACGGGACTTTTGTTAAAAGACATACTTTTCAAACGGCGATCACATCTGATGATATGAAAAAGTCGTATGTATAATTAGTCGTTCACAGTCGCTATACTGAGGGTGGGAGCCTGGGAAGGGCACAGCAGAGGAAGGAGAGGGGGCATATGCACCGGGGCACACTGGGGGGGGGGGGGGGGGGGATGGACAGAGGTACTTATCCCCGCGTTCAAAGCCTATCCCCCAACGGCGGCACCCCCCCCCCCCCACTTCTCAGAATATAAAACAAGTCAATGAGCTTTTGTGCTTTTATCATTGTAACAGGATGAAGGAGTATGGTCCAGTGTATCATATATTTCTGATGCATCGTGCTATTGTCATGGCCTTAGATGCACCATTTCACAAGGTTCGTAATGCTTCTAATCTTAAAACTCATCCCGTTTAATAAATTTACACGTCGTCCATAATAATTCTCCTTTATCTCAGTCAAAACTCGGATGATTTGTCATTCGAGAAACAGTTAAAGATGACCGATTTAAAGCAAAATTTTTAATTCATTTTTTATCAGGGGTGTGAGTGACCACTGATAAAAATAGCTGAAAACAGCTGAAAAAGGTGTTAAAAAGCTGAACTATACTTTTGTACACAGCAAGTGAGGGAAAAAGCTAAAAAAAGGTGAAATCCAACACTCACAAAAGCTGAAATCAGCTTTAAAGCTGAGATTCACACTCCTGTTTTATTTCAGGAAGTCTTCACTACAGTAGCACACATCAAACCCTACAGTGGCTACAGGTATCTGAGTAACGTCTTTGGAACGAGGTTCATGGGTAATGGCCTTATAACGGAAACCGTCCCCAGTAAACACGCCAAGCGACGTGCGCTCTTCAGCCCAGCTTTCCACAGGAAGTAAGCAATACCGAGAACATTTGTTTAAACAGTATTCCGAAAACTGTTGTCAACCCGGACATTATGGGTATTTACTTGTATGTAAGATGATCCCCGGGCAACTTTTAAGGATTGAAGATAATCACAAAACTGATTTGATTTTACTCACAGATATTTGATGAGCCTGATGGACCAGTTTAACTTCAGCGCAGACGTGTTGGTGAATAGGTTGACAACGATTGCGGACGGGAAGACAGAGGTGGCGATGCTGGACGAGTTTAATCGTCTTACCCTTGATGTCATTGCTAAGGTAAAGACAAAAAGAAGGTTTGGAGTTTATTGCGATACGAGATCTCAGTAACTGTAACCCTTGACTAGCATACCTGAATAAATTATATTGAAGGAAGAAAGGGTGCATGGAGGAGACTAGTATCTGTCAGAACCCGAATTATCTGCTATTTCACACAATCATATCTCAGACCTGTCTTAAATCCTGGAGCCTTTTCAAAAGGCAGCGGCGTAGCTAGGGTTCTCGATCTAGGGGGCGTATGGGGGTTTGAGATTACAATGGAGGGACGCCCAAAAAAGTCATCCGTGCTGAAAGGTAGACAGCTTTTTTTTTTCACCGGACACCTGCCCTCCGCGAAATCAAATAGTGGAGGTGGGGTGGGGGTGACACCATCTTCACATGGGGCGCTGTTCCAAACGTATATCATGGCTACATTAGACAATACCTCCGTTATTCGATTTCCAGGGGACGTTACAATAAACAGTCACTCGCGAAAAAAAAACAAGTTATGGTAAAAAAAAAATACGCACAAAATCGCTGAAAAAAGGGATTTTATGTTCTTCCAGCTAATCATGGTACCTCATATGACTGTGCTTTTCTTCGTATGCCAAATTTTCAGTGTGGGGGGGGGGGGGGCGACTGGGGGCGCGAACTACGCCCCCCCCCCCCCCCGCAGCTACGCCGCTGTTCAAAGGCCTGAGAGATGACAAATCATGCATGGTTATCATTTAAAAGGTTCTGCACAAGAAATTGTGTCATTGAAAATGGAGCTTTGAAGAAAAAAAAATGTTATCGCTGAGCAAAGCCATTGGAGGTTTACATGTTTACATAATCACTCAACAGTACAGTGACATTTTGTATTTGAAAGGTCGCATTTGATCTCCGGCTGAACATCACTGAGGAAACAGAATCTCCGTTTGTGAAAGCTCTGACGATGACGATGCAAGGCATACAAAACTCATTCAAAGCTCCATGGAAAGAAGTAAGTATGATTTGTATATATCCAATTAAAAAAAGTCCACCAAATAAGGAAACGTTAAGGTTTCCATCGAATGACATTGCTGAATTCAAATAAACATCTAATCATAACAACCGTCTGATCAATGAAGACGTCTTATTCAAATGATCAACTTTAAATCACCCAATAATATTTCAGACCGTTGCAATTAGATTTCGAGCAGAGTTGTAACTGCCTAAAGAAATTGTCAAATTAAAAACAAAGTTTGCTTTCAGTCCAATTTAAATTCAGCTCTCTGTCGTCTGATTGCCAGTACAGACGCTATCGTCCAATAAGATTGCTCTATTTTCTTTTATCTAATCAAAGTTCAGCCCATTGCCGTCCGATCGTCAGTATCGTCACCAAGTAGGCGAGGCCATCACGTTCCTCCGTGAGACGGGACGGGAGTGCGTTAAGCGCCGTTTGGAAGCCAAGAGGAAAGGGGAGGATCTCCCTCAAGACATTCTGACTTACATCCTACAAGCCTCGGAGGACCTTGAAGGAGACGAGGACTTCAAGATGGAGGAGATGCTGGATGAATTCGTCTCATTCTTCTTGGCAGGTAAGGAGACGGTTCACATCTAAGGAACTGAGGTTTCATTCAAGCATGTTTACTTTAATGTGGTTGGGCATTATTTTACAAGCATCTCAAAGGAGGGATGAACACTTTGTTTTCTGTTGCACCATTTTGAGACTTCAAACCTTTTCTCGGAAATATCTGCATTTTAACACCTGTCTCTCCATCTGTTTCAGGACAAGAGACAACGGCAAACACCCTGGCTTTCGCCCTCGTTGAGCTTGGTCATCACCCGGATGTCATGCACAGGTAAAACCTTTTTCTTTTTCCAACTTAAACCGTGTAATGCTGGTCACGTCAGGCTTTCGTTTTCTTAGATTAGGATGAAAAAAGTTACAGATAGTCAACAAGGGTGTTTTATTTTCCTCTGTATATAACAGATTGAAGACTGAGGCTGTAGCAGTGATGGGTGACAACGATTACGTTGCATACTCAGACCTCGGCAAGCTGGACTACATGATGATGGTTCGTAAATTCATATTTTTTTCAAATGCATTTATTTTTTATTTAGGAAATTTATTAAGATTACTTAAACGGTCGCGCCATCTTTATGTTACTCTTTTATTCAGGTATTGAAGGAGACGTTGCGACTCTGGCCGCCCGCGTTCTCCACAAGCCGTGATCTTGGGTACGACGTTGAAGTACGAGGTTACACAGTACCAGCGGGGACCACAGTTTGGGTAAGCTTGAGATTTCATTCAGTTTTTAAATTCAAGTCATTCTATAATTAACATTTCTGGACTGGTATTGTAGGCTATTTATAAGAAGCAAATTAAGTTAAAACGAAGAAAACTATGAATTATTGGGTAACCGCCGCTGATGTCCGTGCCCGGGAACAGTTCTTCATTCTCTTGCTATGAATTATAATGAATACGATGTGAAATATATGAAATTCAAAAAGAAATGTTATTGTCCATTTAAATAATTTTGCTAATTTGTTGATTCCAGCTGAATGCCTATGTCATGGGAAGAAATGGGGAGTATTTCAAAAACCCTCTCGACTTTGATCCTGATCGGTTCAAGGACAATGAAGACAAGTGAGTATTTCTTTCTCAAGAATTTTGTTGTTGCTATTTTCGTAACCGAATATGTACAGATGAGGTCCTCTAATAACTTTTAAACACACCTTGAACAGCTGCACTGATCTGATCAGCATGACTTTCGTTTGGTTGCAGGACTTTGTATGCATATTTTCCATTCTCTCTTGGACATCGTTCTTGCATTGGTCAACCCTTCGCTCTGGTAAGATTCCGCTCATACAACATTTATACCCCCTTTTCTCCTCCTAAACTATTCCTTCAAACCATTGGTGAGATTGCAGAGCAGGAATCATGAATTGGGTTTAGATTTCTCAAGAAAACTCAGTATTTATTTGGTCCCCTTATAAACCTTTTTAGATCGAGGCACGAGTTATCATGGCCAAACTACTCAAGAAGTTCGACTTTGAGCTCGTCCCTGGTCAGGGATTTGAGATACTTCAGGAGCTGACGCTGAAGCCGAAGGGCAGAAGTCGGAACTACATCACCCTAGCCGAGTAAATCCGAGTAGAGACGAGTCATGCCGACCAAAACGAGTAGAGTCGAGATGACTTTTTAAATGGGCCGTATTCACGAGTTGGCCATATTGAATTGAAAGTGAGGTAAATTCTTAATTTTTGGAACTTGCGAAGAAAAACGAAAGCAAGTTAATTCCTAATTAATTCCAGTCTGCTTCAATGAATAATTTTAAATTTGTAATTACAAATTCCCTAATGTTTAAAACCAGATTAAAAAAGACAGTAAAATAATGCTGCATTGTGCCTGCATAGATAGTCTGGCGCCATCCCATTGAACAGTTCACACTTAAAGAAATACGTTCAGGGAACTCGACAAAAATGGCCAACTCGTGAATAAGACCCATTCACAGTTTATAATGTTAGGTACGCCTTGCAATTTTTAATAATAAGATGGTTCAAGATTTTGTTTATTTACTGCCTATTTTAAAAGCATTTTTTTTTGCTCTAACTCAAATTGTTATTATAAAGACTGCGATTTCGAAAATCATGACGTAGCAAATGTTCAAACTAAGCATTTTTTTCTGTTAGTATCCTCTGAATTAAAATTTATCTTTGATTAAAGAAAATTGAAAGTTATTAAATTTGCAAAGTTGGTAAAAGAATGTCGTCAGATTTTGTAGCTTTGCTAATAAATTTACATCTTTGTTAAACGGTAACCGGAAACACATTGCCATGACAATTTCTTTAACGAATGCACGGAGTTAAAAAAGTTGCTCAAAAAGTTTGTAATTTCTTTTAGAATATATTTTGTTTTACCTCACCAGCGGAAATAAAACCCTAATTAATTATAATTATAATGAAACCAACATCAACCATGCATCGCGAGCCATCAATATAGCTTCAGTCTGAGATGATAATAAAGCTTTAACCACGCAATAGACTATTGGTGTTGTCAATTCAATGGGAGGACTGTGCAAAAATCAATAAGGCGTCTCTTGTAAACACTCGTTTCTTTACTGTAGCCATTTCTCAATAATGAAGCGTTACCCCGCATATGGGTTATGTACACCTGGGTGGCGTTGATGCGTTTCAGGTACGTGTACAAAGATGATGCTAGATGTTTTTACATTGCAGTGGGACAGCAAACACAATTTCAAATATTTGTCCGTTTTATTGAGCATGAAGCGCATCGCAAACATTGGTTGGAGGACTTCTTAAGAAGGATGTTGACTCTGAAGACACGTAATATATATTTAGGATCAGGTGCAGCAAAGAGGTGAAACGAATCACGAGATGACATATTTTGGATAAGAAGACAATCCCGAGACAACACCGTCGGATCTTGAAGAAGACACACACGATAATGCTCTCGCACTTAGTATCGGACAATGAATAAGCATCCAAGTGAGTGTTGAAGAGTATAATGTGACAAAAAAACAATAGTTGGCTGAAGACATGATCATGATGATGGAGGACATGAAATATCATTTTGCTCAAGATAACTGATGTTTCGATGACATCTGCACATGAGGTACGGAGAACACATTCGAGGCGAGAACCCTTATAACTGTGTCCAAGGTATTTAGACTTTTTCCAGGCAACTGACCACAGGTACCATGCGGTTCTCGAATCGCGAACTTAGACTGATTCTCTACTCTTTCTTCGTCGGTGCAATAGTCGCCACTCTCGTTAACCAAATCATCAACCAGCGATCGCCACCCAGAGCACGGAGGAGATGCCCACCTCTTAAAGAGTCCCAGGAGAAATTCTGTCCTCAATGTCCGAAGCTTGAGTGTCCGAAATGCAAGTCCCTGGATGGAGGCAGTGCTGTCCAGCAGGTGCCTAAGACGCTGAAATCATTTCTGAGTAGGCATTGGGAGGTCATGCACAACGATGCGGTGGTGTTTGCCAAGACTCGCATGAAATCGTAAGTCAGGACCTATTTTATTAGTCTTAGAATAATTAGGTCTGCATGATGGGTTGGGTTCTAACCCACGACCACCTGTTTGAAGATGCAGATGATTTGTTATGTCTCTTGACTTTAATGTGTGGTTCTTTGATATATGGTTACTTTTTGAATGAATTAGTATCTTGAATCAAGATATATTTTTATATGGTGCATTTCAATCAAGCAAGGGCCAAATACTGTCTGTGAATGCCCCCGAGTTTTGTTTTTTTAATAAATATTGGTGCTGATATTTATTACTGTTTTAATCAATATTGGATCATTAGATTGATTTCTTATCAATTGATGTCAATTATCTCTGCTCAGTGTTCCAAGCTACGTCATCTCTCTACATCCCAGTGAGAAGGACCCAGAGATAAGTCACACCTTGATAGAGCGAGGAGGATGGGAGGAGGAGCTGATTGTGCGCATGTGCCGTGAGATGAACAAGGCCCCCAGCGATGCATACTTCGTGGATGTGGGAGCTTACGTTGGTAGGTTGTCCTTTCTCTATGGTTGTGGTTGTATCATGTTTTTACAGCGTATGCATGGTGACAAGAGCCTCAAGAGGGCATTAAAACAATGTCATATACATGCATTGCAATATTAAGGTGCATTTTTACTGCCTAAAATGTCATTACCTTCCCCCATCGCCCCCAACAAAAAACAAAAATCTTACAAGCTGTGGTACTAAATAATACAGCCTCCTGCATAATACAATTGCGAATCAACCCGCGGTTAGGCGGTTTATACACCCACCCACCCCAACCCACCGGCCGAAAAAAATTAATAAATAAAAAAATTATGCCATGCCTGCCATCCCTCATTGAAAGCTCCCCCAAAAGCTTGACCAAAAGCTGGATCCGCCCCTGTCATATTTTCACTTTATAACACAAAGAGATCGTAAATTGTGCCTAAATGAGCCGGTATAACTAGAAATGTTTTCACTGTTATTGCGAATTGACCATTGTGCCTCAGTTTAAACTCCCCTACTCATCATAGGGTCCACATAGAAAGCAAATTGTTCCCCAACCATGCGGGCTTGAAAATGGAAATTTAACTATTAAAACCAAGGTGGCTTGTGTCAAATTATTGGTAATCCTTACTTTTAGGACCCCGTTCCTATATAGGAAGGGAAAGACTCACCAAAACAGTTGACAAAATGACACTCAAAATTTACATTCTGATACTTCTTGGCACATCTGAACAATTGGCATTGGCAATGACACCTTCTTGAATATCAGCAGGTTTAATTTTGTGGAAAGAGGGCAGGGCTTTGATTTATGAGGGAAATTCAGGGGTAAGAGACGACGATGACATCCTGAAAACAGACTCAAAAACCTAGATGGCAAACGTGAAAGCTCGATGCAATGAAAGCTCGTTGCTGATTGGCTGATAAAAAATAAACATCTTATTTATTTTTTTTAGCAGCCAATCAGCATTGGGCTTTCATTATGTAGGGCTTTCACTGTGTTGTGAGAACTACAACATGCACGTCTGACTGCGAAAAAAGGTAGGAAAGTCACATGATTTTCTTTGAAAGTGCTTTCAAAATTACAACTAACATGAGTTTATCAGTTTATATGAAGAAAAAAGACTGCTTTAGCCTGCAAAAGTCACTTTGGTACTGGACAGACATCTGCAAAAGTCAGTTTTGAACAGAACTCGTAAAAAATAGAGGCGTCCTAAAAGTAAGGATTACCAAATTATTTATTAACAACAGAAGAAAAACTTACCCAGCTAACTGAAATGAAAGGATGAAATATAAAGGAAGCTTACTTCTTCGGAAGCTCCATGCAACCCGATCTTGCGGGACATTCAGCCTCCCCGAAGCTTGCAAAACTCTCCAGACGGACGAAGCAAAGCAATGTTTTATATACCTTGCACTTTCCAGAACTCAACATCGTGTTCTGTTATAACACGGCAGTCTTTTCACAATAGAGAGATTCAAAGGCAGCAACATGAAGACATAGGTTTTTTTGACGAACATATTACCGCATGTCAGTCGCACGAACGGCCTTCCAACTTCGAATGTCAAACTTTCCGTTTCATTTCCAAAGAAGAACCGTCCCAAAATTCAACCAAAATATCGTTGAGAAGTGGACACGTGAACTTCCAGTTGTCCCTGACATTGCTCAAAGGTACATAATGCTGACTCGAATTAGAAACTTCACACTGGTTTTCATAAAAGTGTGTGCTCGGTGCACAACCACAAGTTCAAAGTTAAAATGGCGACCTCAATTAAAAATGCATTGCGTAATGCACGCACAGGACGACGACAGTGACACGCCGCGTGAAGAACGCGCATGCGCAGGAATGTGATCTGCATAATAAGAACAGGTGCATGTACAAAGGAATGTTGGCGCGTGTATGATGCTGCACTGGCCCATTGTGCAGAAAGTAAACTTTATTGAAAAAGGACTGAAATGAAAGGGGCAATGGGATATTCAGTCGATGCATTATATACTTGTGTCTTATTTCTGCATGCACTTTCACAAACCAAGATTTGGAAGTATTTTCAGGCAAAATTCAAAGCTTAAAAGATCTGTGAATGTAGGTCTCAAAATGTTGTCAGATAATGCTGAATTTCTTGTTTTGATTCTTTGGACACGTCAAAAAGTGCTCGAGTGACAAGCCAAATGCTTCAGTTGTGAAAAGAAAGCAAAATATTAAAAACTGCTTACTTACTTGATTTACAAAATACAAATAAATACCTAGGGGTAGAAATATATGCCTAACAGAATTAGTTAAAAATACAATAATTATTTACTATTTTCCCCTTAAACAGGGAGCCTTTCTCTTGGGGTGTCGGCCTGTGGACATAAAGTCATAGCATTCGAACCAATGACCCGGAATGCCTTTCTTCTCAAGGAGAGCGTCTTCCTCAACCAACTCTCCTCCGAGAGGTTCACCATTCACAACATGGCGCTGGGAAACGTCAACGGTAAAGCCTGCTTCTTGGCCAGCTCCGGTAACCAAGGAGACGGGAGATTTGTCTCAGGTGAGACGCTGGGAGTGGGTAGAGACAGTCGGAAAGCTTGGGTTGGTATCAAGGAGAGGGGAGATTTGTCTCAGGTGAGACGCTGGGAGTGGGTAGAGACAGTCGGAAAGCTTGGGTTGGTATCAAGAGCAGAACGAAATTTAGCGAAGGATAAAATTAAGAAACTCAGATATCGCATTTGACACTGAACTCTTTTGAGGATTTTTTTGGCGGAGTTATTTTATGTTCTTTGTAGTAGCTACTCGCTACGTCAATTTTTTTTTCAAAGTGAAAATTTTAAGGACATGCTCACTTGATTTTAAAAAGTGAAGAAACAATTGTCTCCTTGTAGTTTGATGATGGTCGTAAAGATTGAGGTTGTTTCACTGTTTTGTGCCTACAATGTCGGCTGCCCTTCTCCAGCCAAGCCCAAAACCGCTTCTATATTTCTGATAATTGTCTGTATACTGCGACCTACAGACAGAGTAGGAACAATGGGAGAGTGTTCTTCTTTAAAAACAAACAAACGAGGGAGTAATTTTGCTTGTTCACCATTGATGATGATGCTGATAGAACTACACTTCTCTTTACTCAACAGGTGGAGATGAAGGGCATGAATGCAACTCGCATGAAGACACCATCAAGATGGCGAGACTTGACGACGTCCTCCAAGAAGACTTTATCATCTGGACACTGCACATCGACGCGCAGGGATTCGAACCAGCCGTCCTGGCCGGCGCCGAGTGGATTCTAACCGGTCCCAATCCACCTCGTTATCTGCACGTGAGACTAGGAAGTGTCTACAGTCAGGAGGTGATGGAGGTGTCGAGGGGGTTGGTGGAGACGCTGGCTTGGTTGAAGGAGATTGGATATGCCTTGAAGAATGCTGCTAATGAACCTATTAGAGATCTGTCCAAGTTTGTCTGGAGTCTTGGACATGAAAAGAGTTATGTTTTCGGCGTTTATGGCATGCCATGAGAGGTACTTTGCTGGTCGATGGTTCGAATCCATGCTGTGAACATATAAAGCACCCCCCCCCAAAAAAAAAATCAAAAAAAATCAGGGATTTGCCCAGGTTTGTGTAAATTCTAGGATGTTTATGAAGTAATAATAAAAATACGGGTTCTTATGTAGCGCTTTTATCTACGATCAAAGTGTTTTACATGCATTATTATTACCCCTTGAAGTAGGGGTGTATGACATAAAGTAATGTGAGGCATCTCACTGGACGAAGGTTCGAATCAATGTTTCTTGGACTTTAATGATAATGACAGTAATCTAGTTGAATTGGAAGACAATGGCTCTTTTCCATTGAGGATAACTGCTATGGTTTCATTGATTTAACAGGTGATCGGAAAAATGAACTGTTTAAGTTTGTGAAAACCAGAACAACTGTACATATACAATTTTGAAAAGTTTCCCCTGTGTATATTGAGTTCATTGATGAGTTTACATTTAATTAATTTGATCATAAATAAATATTTGCACTAAGCACTTAGCACTTTGTTTCAGATCTATTGCTTTATTCAATTCAGCAAAAAGTCCTGAGTTAACCCTAAAAGGGCCGGGTTATTTTGACCATCTCTCAGCCGGATCTCGGCCATCGAGTGACGAAACATTTTGAAACTCGGTACATGCATAGAGCAACTCATCCTGAACATACCCAAGAAATTTCGTGACTATAGGTCAAAGGGTTTGGGAATTATGGCTAATTAATTATTCATATGTACAAATGGTAATCGTGCTCTATTAGGCTAAAAAGTCATAACAGCTCTGGTTGCGAAAAAAACAAAATTTCAAAGCTATCGCGGAAAAAGTTGAAGGGGGGGGCGGATTCGTCCCCCCCCCCCCCCGGCCCTTTTACGGTTAAAACAAAAAATATACAAAAAATTAGTTAAAAACAAGAAGGTGTACTGCTCTTAAAAATATTTTTAAAAAGAAAATTAAGTTCAGAAAGTTATGCTCTTGCCTTGTGGGTGGCTGCCGATTTTACACATCTGAAGACTTTCAAAGAGTAAATAGTAGGAAAATGAGTACTGTCTGACTTATCAGGCCTGAGAATATAACAAGGCAGCAAAGTGCACGTCATCCTTCCCCCTAATTTTCGCCTTGTGACCCTTGAGTATTTTTATAAAAATATTTTATGATGGAAGCATATTTTTAACCAGTTCACGCCAGGATTATTTTGATATGACCAGACCGAGGCACAAGATTATTTTCCACTCGACTCAATGCCAGGCAGGTTGAAGCCATCACCCTCGGGCAGCACAATCATATTTCTGGCCTCGGTCGTTTTCTGAGGGTAGCTGACAGATATTTTCAAGCCTCGCTCATTGCGTGTTTGCCGTTCTGAATACCGCAAAACCTTTGCGTGTATACATGTCATCCGATGCGAACTGGTTAAAAGGAACATAGCCTCGCTCCTTCAAGAGTGTACTTCCGTGGGTGTACTTCCGTGGCCTTTTTAATAACAGTTGTCAATGCAAAGGGCATTTCTGCTGGTGTCCTTATCCTGCTTTCTACATTTACAGAAGCTGTCAATGCCCCCTCCCCATAAAAACAAAAGAAATCCCACACCTAGCTGAGTTGGCATGTCCCCCTCATCTATTTACAAACAATGACATAAGTTGGCATAACTCCCAGTGTGGTTTCGACTGAAGTACCACTGACTTTCGACTGAAGTACCACATTCTGAATTCCAAACCTGTCAAAATTAGAGGAAACAAAGTCAACAGAACTCTTCATCTTCTTTTCTTGCTCTGGCCTAGTCTAGAGCTCCAGAACCACACGGAAGCCTTTACCACCAGAACCAAATGAAAAAAGGTTCCGTTCTTTGGCTTCATATCAAAATTATTTCATGTCTTGAGACACTGATTTCCATGGAAAACATGAAACCACAGTCTAAAGCCACAGCCTGAAGCCTTATCCTGAAGCCACAGACTGAAGCCTAAATGTCTGACCGAAGTAAAGCTCCGACACTGGTAGAGAGTCATGCTAAGTGGTCGACATTGCAGGATATCCACGGAGAAGATGTTTCACTGATGGAGGTCCATGAACTGGACTTCGCTGAGCAGCAGGTAACGTCGGGGGAGCGGCCTAGGGGCTGGGGAGAGTACCGTGAAGACACGACGGTCCATGTCTACGTGAGTGCTACAGAAAATAAAAAGCAAAACAACTAAAGCATTGAAATCTCTCTCAATATTCTGAGGACAGGGAAAGATGGACTGTCTACTTTGGACAATCAATTTAGGACAGGACATTTTGAGGTTATTTTCGATTTTCATTTTCCTAAGCTAGTTTTATCATTCAGTGTAAAAATAAGATTCGATGGAATCTCTTGGAGCTGACAGAGTTCTCAAGTTTACTGTTTAATCAACACGTAAAGTTTTCAGCAATTACCTTTAACTTTTTGTCTATTCACAACTGTCAAATTTTTTTGAGGAAAAGTTATTACTTTTTTAAATGGAAGAGTTTAACGGCTATGGTACTTACACACAAACGAAGCCGGCAACATTTGTCTTCAGGAGGTCATCTTCTTTGGATTTGGCCAGACTCACACTGAGGAGGTGATGAGACAGCTCATTACCTAGAAAAGGAAACCCAATAAAATCCATTGATGAAAAATTATCCAATTAATAACGTTTCCTCACTTTGAGTCCTTTTTTCTCCATTATCGGCAATAGTTACAGGTTTTCATTTATGACTTGCTCATTCAAATCAAACATTGATCTTTAAAAAAATGGTGAAGAAGTTTATAAAAAATATTGTTTTTTACTTGGTTGTACTGCCACCAGCTTAGTTTGGTTGTCTTCTGGAGTCATTCCGAGGGGTAGGCAGGAATTTGGAACTGCAGGAGCTGAAAAAAGTAAGAGCTGAAAAAAGTTAGAATATAAATGAAACGTATTAAAATAGTAACGATACTTTGGCTCATACAAACATGTTTTTAATGGTGTATAAAAATAGAAGAAAAACCAACCCCCAATTTTGAATATCTCGACATCGCTGAATCTGACTTCAAAGGAGTGTGGGTAGAAGCAGTTTTCAAAGCCGTAGAAGTATTCCCTTATCCTGCTGTCACGAGCTGTGGAACGGAAGGCTCTTGTCCTTTCAACAACCTGCGTAAGACAAGACAATCAACAGATATGAGTACTCATTCGGGTAATGACCAAGAAATCCTCACACAGGTTCACCCCATTGCACTGTACCTCAGCCTTTGATCCTGGTTCCACGGGGTAACAGTGCCACTAGTATTCTGTGCTATTAACCACGCTGAACATGATCTACACTTTTTGACTTAAAAAAATACAAAGGGAAGTTGAAATCAAGTTGCACACTTACCCCGCCTGATTTTTGTTGAAGCACAACTTTGACAAACGAAGGCATGTCACGAACTAACTCATTGTACAGTCTTTCCTGATCCAAGACGACAATAACATCAACTGCACGATGAAAAATATAAAAGAAGAATTGCCTCAACTGCAGGATTGCAAATGGAATGACAATAGAAAAGATTCAAAGCTACAATTAATTTGCAGAAGCAAGGCCCATGTTTATGATATTTGGATATTTCTTCGGACAGTGTAAACAAATCATCAAATGTTTTCAATATCTTAATTTCAGGATGTGAATATTCATATATGCTAATGAGCAACTAACCTTCAAATGCTTTTGCTGCGTGCGTGATACACTTGTAGCCGTCTCCTTTAATCCAGCCACAGGTGTTGATAACACAGCCACTCACGCTGGCTGCAAGAGAAATCAGTGAGGTCAGAGGTCACACAGGGTCAAATGTGAATAAGAACCAAGGTCAAAATGATTGATGCAAACAAGTACAGAAGCAGAAAAATAGGACAGACAAACATCGAGGCACAGCCCAACCAACCAACAGAACAGTTTTAGTTATTCCAAACTGAGTGGATTCCAGTAACAACAAACACAAGGTATTCCTAACTGGACAGCTTTAAGCACTATTAAATTAAAGAGGCATTCTCAATTGGGCGAATTTCATTGTAGACCAGTATTCGAAAATGGGCAGATCTAAATACCTCTCTGATTGGTCATGCAGCGTTTGTTGAAGACTTCTGCCATACTGGACACCAGTAAGGTATACAGCTTCAGATTGGCTCCTGGCGTCGTCGCTCCAAAATGATACACAAGAGGACCAGCCAATGAGAATCCTTCTTCTATATCCGCTGGCCGCTCGATCAGTAAGGCACCAATAGTTCCAGGAACAGAGATAACACCCTTTTGTGATACAGGAAGTGAGAAATTGAAGACTTAAGAATATTTAAAATTTCTAAATGGCAACTCCGTAAATTAGGATGTACATGTCAGACACTTTAATGAGCTGCTATTGGAAAAGTAAATGCGACACATGACTAATATGTGACATCTAATGACTAGAAAACAATAACAGACCAAACTAAGTACCACCACCTTAAAGTTATAGTCCATCATTTGTAATTTGTGCATTTTGTTCGTTTGAAGCAACAAAAGTGCTCAAAATCTAAAGAAAGGTGCTGAACAACTGAACTGATGAAGTTTCAGCTCAGCTTCAGCTGTATATTTCGAGAAAAACAGCATTCTAGTATCTCAATTTCAAATCAAAAGTTGCTGAATCATGTTTTGAATTGGGTCTGAATTCAGCGTCCGAGACACGTTCTCACTGAGCCCATTGCAGCTACGCGATGTCGCGCACTGATCCGACGGATTATAGCAACCGCGCGCGTGTGCGTCGTGTCAACGCTTGCACTCGCTTCGCCGAATAAAATAACGAACTAATAACGGAAATTTCCAACGGTGCTTAAGACGCACCGTTGGAAAGGCCTTCTTTCGTTGATTTCTTAAGAATGACAGCTTGCCAGAAAGAATAATTTCACAGGGAGTTTAGTCCCCTTACTATCTCTCAACCAAGTATGTTTTTCAACAATAATTACGCCAGTTATTTTTTGGATAGCTGCAAATGATGGACTCTGGCTTTAACGACTTTATTGTACAATGTACATGTACATCATGTGGTCAGACATACGCAGAGAATTGGATTTTACAGAATTGCCCCAAAGATTCATCTTTGCGGGACACCAATGGCCATCCTACTGTCCTGTGACTGAGTAGTTAACTGACTGAGTAACTGAGTATAAATAATGTCCTTAACGGAGACTTTCTGGTCCAGCTTGACTAGAAAAGCTGTCGTGACATTGTGAATCATAAGAGATTTATACCATACCTGGCCAACATCAATGTCAACAAAGGTTGGTCTCCTTCCAACACGGACAGCATAGTTGAGCAGAAGACGACACACTGTGCTTTTACCAACATCAGTAGGACCAATGACCATCACCTGTAACAACATCGGCAAACAAGGAGCAACAAAAACTCAGATGTGAAAAAGACAGGCTTCTAGTCCAGGAAGTTGAGGATGCAAACCTGCACAGCCAAAGACTGTAAAGTAATTTACACTCGGGAGCTTCATACAAGCTGCACTGCAAACTTGCAACAGACTCCCCCGTCCACCGAGGGTAATCACTGTTCACGACTTTAACTCCTTTAGTCATAATTCCATCCAAAACTGCCTGGCGAATTTCTCACTTAAAGTGTACCCTTGCTACCTGTCAATAATACAGCGCACATTAACGAATTAGATCTTGACATTTTGTCAGGTGACTACATTAGCTTGGTCAAACTTGGTTAACAGCACTGTGAGAAATGTACACAAATTTAAATATGGTCCGTGTCCAAAATTTCAGTATCTAAACAACGAAAGCTCGAGAACAGATCTGAGAAATGGTTATGGTGCTTCTTTATTTTCATTACAGTAGAATGACAGAAATTTGGAGGATAAAGAAGAGAGCTTACTCTTGGCCCTCTAGTGCCCTCCTGCTCAGCCTGTTGCCTCATCTGTTCCAAGGCTGCATGGGTGTTGAGATAGACTGTCATGGGTGTGTCTCGGGAGATGTAGGCTACTTCCGTTTTGCCCTTCAGGTGCAGAACCAAGGTCAAGGAAAGTCTAACTTTGTACAATGTTCCCCTCTGTATTCGGCCATAAGCCACGCCCAATTTGTTTGCATTACTTTCGAAATAGGCTCCTGTTTCACATTTACTTTTGTTCTTTAAGGCCAGTTCATACTTCGTGCACACAAGTGAAAATGGACATTCACGAAGTCAAACTGTTGGACGTAACCCTGACAAATTTACTTTACTCTAAAAGTTGGGTAAAGTATAACAGAATACAGGACATAAATAGAGGCTGTGTCTTAAAGGGAATATACAACATTTGCAAATACCGAAAAACAGAACTATCAAATGTTTACGAAATACCTCACTAGGATGTTGGTAAATGACAGTCTAAAGCATCCTGTAAAATTATGGCACCTGGTGTGAAGTCATTATCAAGAAAAGTGTTATTTTTGTATCAATTTCCAGCGGTGATCGGCCGACCACCGTTGGAAAAACCTAACTATTTTTCAACTACTGCTCCAAGTTTACCATTTTTTTCAGTCCAAATTTTGTTTGCTATTGGTTACATATATTCACGAACGGGTGCAGGCCAGCTAGACTGGTTCCAGTACCTTACAATTTTCCGGCATCTATACATTGATCCATTTCATCTTTAGTGGAGTCAGGAAACCAGACTACTTGAACATCTGTTTTTCTTGTTTTTTTTCCCAGCATTTTCGAACACAAAACTTTAAACATGTCGTTGTAACAATATTTGATCTATTATACTAACCCCTCAAATAGTCCATTTCTGAAAATTACAGCAAAAGCCAATGATGTACATTCCCTTTAAAGGGAAAATACAACATTTGCAAACATCAAAAAATAAAACTACCAAATCATTTTGAAATACCTTGCTGGACTGTTAGTGAATGACAGTGTAAAGCATCCTGTAAAATCATGGCACCTGGTATACTGTCATTTTCAAGAAAAGTGGTATTTTTGTATCACTTTCCAACGCTGGTCAGCCGACCAGCGTTGGAAAACACTGGCTTTTTTTCAAATACTGGCCCCAATTGACCATTGCACTTGTTTGCAATCGATTACACACCTATGAACGGGTACAAGCCAGCTAGACTGGTTCCCTGACCTTACAATTCCCCAATGTATGTAAACTGCTGTTTCTTCTTATATGGAGTCAGGGAACCAGACTACAGGAAAATGATAGTTTTTCTTGGTTTTTATAGCATTTTCGAACCCAAAACGTCAAAAAAGTCAATGTAACTATATTTGCTATATATTTCCAACCCCCCAATTCCATCCATTTCTGAAAATTACAGCAAAAGCAAATGATGTATATTCCCTTTAACATACGTTTGTTCAACAAATATCTCATCATCACCAAACATATTAATACTAAATTGTGCATGATGGCTATTAAAGCAATACTGTTACTAAAAAGGATATATTTAAGGAGCACCCATGCCATGTGTAGACTGCAACTTTGGCTAAGGAGGTGAACTTGTAGACGCGACTCTTCAGCAGTTCTGTTCCAAAAACCTCCGCTAGGCCTTCTTTTAACTGGTTTAAAATTAAAGCGGAAAAATTATACAAACATACGAAGAATGAGCCTCCTGCAATATGCATAGATTCTGAATAACCTAACCAAAATATTTAAAATATTCTCTGAACTGTCTGCAAATTCAGAACCACGATCCTTTCACAAGATGGAAAAAAACTTTAAAAGCATTTTGTTTAATTTTGTAAATTAATTCAGAAGTGTATTTTGACACAGATACTTCTTTCTTTTTATTGTTAAGCTAAGTGAAATGCTGTATTAGAAAATAAACACAATTTTCTTGGACACTAAAATAATTCAAGCAAGTAAAAGTACTTTTATTTAAAAAAAAAAAAAAAAAAAGAACTTTCAAAATAAGTCTAATCTACAGTTTAATGATGGAGAAGTTTTACATTACCCTGAGTTCTACTATTTCATCTGTTTCCACTTCAAACCTCAACTCTGAGTCCTTCTCAAGTTTGTATTCTTTAATTCCCTGTTGACTCTAGAAATAAAATCCAAAAAATAAACAAAAAAAAGCATATTATTGATAAAAAATGTGTGTTATCAATTATTATTGCCATGTAAACATCACACAGCATATCATGCATAAACATTATGGACATTGTGCCTGCTGCACTGGTTCACGCACACAACCTGCACACAACCAAGTTGGCAACAACAGAATGCTGTGCTTGACTACCAGTGAGCTGTCAATAATGCCTTCTATATTTGCATATTCATACTTAGCATGCATTATTCATACTACAGTGTAAGCCCTTTTTAAGCATTAAGACTGAGTACATTTACTGTTTTCTCAACATGTAGAAGTCAAATTGTGATCAATTTTACAAAAGTGTTTCAGGAATTAACATTAACAAACATTACTGACAGTTGAACAGGGTTTGCAAGGGTGAAAAAGCAGAAAATGGGGCTATTTTATTTCAGCAACTGTGAAGTAAAATGTATCAGGTTTGCATTGGAGCGAGGTTTCACTTTATTCAGTACCTTCTCAGTAGGAATATCACTTACCTGCAGACTCCACTCGGAGTCGCAGTTAGTGCATGATGAGATGACTGTGATGAGTCTTATGATTAACGCAGTCTGGGAACAGGTTGTCCGAAGCCTGAACCCAAACTCTGACCCTACTCAGAAGGTCATTACCATTACATAAACCCAAAACTAAGTTTTAAAAAGCCATACATGTACAGTTTCAAATAAAAGTCAACATAAATTTCAACTGAATAATGACTTTCAATACATGAACATCAGAGTGAAGCAAATTTGTAAAATTTCGACCTTGTTGCTTCTTGAAAGAATTAATGACAATAATTTCCTAGTCTCACACTTTCCTTTTTTAAATGCTCCTGCACGTAAAGTTTGTGATGTTGGTTAATGTGGCCAAAAAAAAAAAGATGAATAATTGTGTGTCTTCCAAATTCTAGAGAAATAGAAAATGAACATTTTACACAGATAAATACAAACTTTGTAGGTACATTTTGCACTACATTGCGCAGGACAAACATTTAGCTGAAGAATGGAGACTAGTGCCCTGCAAATTGTCCTGCAATTTTGCAAGGCAGAAGGAATTAAATGCTCTCTATGAGTAAATGCTTGTTTGGCAGCTTTCTAGAACCAAAAAAAATAAAGTTTTACATCAAGCGCAGCTTCACTAGGGCCTATATTTTATCAAATCACGGTGGATGTTCCCAGCGGCGCACCCAGGATTTGGCTTTGGCTTGGGGGGGGGGGGCTAAAAAAAAAGTAAAAAAACGTTGCCCAAAATTTTCTGCCGCAGAAAAAAAAATGTTTTTTTTTCCGGGGGGGGGGAGGAACTATTTTGACATTGGTGGCGCCACTTACACCCCTATTATACTACTCGAAAATAGGCCACATGCAAAAAAAACACCAAGTTACCCCCCCCCCCCCCCCCCCGGATGCGCCACTGGATATTCTGTTTATACTTATTTGTATTTTTGTGCATTTTCAAACTGCTTCAATTTAATGTCTTAGGTTGAACCTGGTTCTGTTATTTAATCACATGGAAAAGTAAGGTAGCACTTTAAATGACCAACTACAGATTGACAGTTTGTCTTCCTAGCAACAACTTCATCAGTGTTCATCAGACGCAATGAAGAGGGCATCATCATTCAAGGGGTTTATTATAGGGGTACATGTACAGTAAAAACAGACGATGGTGATCAATAAATAATCAATGGTGAAGTTTGTCCAAAAAGTCAAGATCTCATTACCATAGGCCTCTTGAAGATAGTCTAGTCTACAAATAACCCTTTCTTCAGTTTATTCAATCAAGTACATATCTATATTTTATATTTTTATTTATGGTTGAAGTCTCCTTTAATTTAATGAGGTATGTTCGGGTATGATTTCACTTTGAAACCATTTAAAATACATGTAACCCTCCTGCTATTTAAGAGGTCACAAACGGTCAAAATTTCCTTTCACTCCCCCGGCATACTTTTAACAAACCAATGTGGGTCTTGACCAATACTGACCAAAGTAATAACATGGCTCAGAATGCATGTTTTCATAGGAGATCAGGAATAATAAATTATTTAAAATTGTGATGACGAACAGAGAGCCTTTTAAAACTTAACTTTGACAATTAATACAAAACTGTCCTGCGAGATTTCCTGATTAACCTACTGAACATGTACCCCTAGAACTATGGGTATTACGAGTAATGCTAATACGCATAGTTCTAGGGGGGTACTGAACATGCTAAAGTGAAAATGAAAAAGTGAAAGTGAAACTAAACTAACTTTATTTTAAAATGTGAGAACAAAAATTATTTTCTTACATCATCTTGTGAACCGCCGGGCTCTACACCACTCGCCTCAGCCGCAGTTGCCATTGTAAACTTATAACATCGACTGTTTGAACCCAACGAGACGACGAAACCTTTGACCAGACGCTGCTGCCCTCGCCGGCCGACGATACGCTCGTACGGACGGTAGACGAATCAGCCAAGTGCCGGTCAACTGATCCTCCGCCGTTGCTCACACTTGTTGGTAAATAACGACCAGATAAACATTGAAATCCGTCACAGTTGACACAAAACCTGCTATTGTATTGATCAATGGATATTCACGATCTGGTAAGTGATGTCTTTAATGACGTAAAACTTAAAAATCACCGTTTGTCCGCAGCAATTTTTGGCAATCGACGCGATTCTTCCTGTACAAAAGCGCCGTGCACGCATATCGTGCAAAATTTGAAACGTGTGCATGTGTGATATGAATGTGGTTTGTCTTTGTGTCTTTGGCTGGCCTACGGTGGCCCACAACTGTCACGGCAAAAGCAAAAGCGCCACGGCAAGCGCAAAAGCGCCGCGGCAAGCGCAACAGCGCCGCGGCAAGCGCAACAGCGCCACGGCAAGCGCAAAAGCGCCAAGGCAAAAGAAAAAGCGCCAAGGCAAAACAAAAAGCGCCGCGGCAAAAGAAAAAGCGCCACGGCAAAACAAAAAGCGCCACGGCAAAAGAAAAAGCGCCACGGCAAAACAAAAAGCGCCGCGGCAAGCGCGAAAGCGCCACGGCAAGCGCAAAAGCGCCACGGCAAGCGCAAAAGCGCCACGGCGAAGGCAAAAGCGCCACGGCGAAGGCAAAAGTGCCACGGGTTTATTGGGAAGGGGCGTAATCATACATGCCGCTACTACATCAAAAAATAACATGGGAAGGAGAATGGCCGCCACCAGGAATTCTTATTAAGCACAGAATTTAATTCTTTGAGAAGTGATTTTATGGCTGAGAAAATAGCAAGGCCAAGGAAAACCGGTCAGGAAATAAATCGTCGATATTAATTTGTTGTAGGATAATTATTATTCCAAGAGAGTTGCTGCCGTGAATCAGAGTTTATCAAGGAGTGGGACTCGCTATCGGCACCATCAGGGCCGTTCCTCATTTCTTTACATTTCGTGGGATGCAAACAATTACAAGGACGGGAGGCTCTGTGAGCTGATGCATTTTTGAAAACATTTTTTCCCCTTCCGACTAGCATGCAGAGAAGAGTTCCGTTAATTTGAGCCTTTTTTTCACAGGTGTGTATACCAGTGTAGGCACGAAAGTGAGCTGCCCAGAGTGTATGAGTTAATTTTTTTTTCTTTTTCAGTATATCATACACATCTATAGGAAGTCGATTAAGGCTCTCCTGCAGGGCTGCGGCAGTGGGTGGGTAAGGCTTGTCAACACGTAACTCGCGCGCCCGCGGGCCCATTAGGTTAGAAATTCCCAGAGAGCGGGAATTTCAAAACTCTTCGCTGAACGTTGCTTGCACTGACCGGTTTTCCTTGCTATTTTCTCAGCCATAAAATCACTTCTCAATTCATGGTGGCGGCCATACTCCTTTCCATTTAATTTTAGATGTAGTGGCGGCATGTATGATTACGCCCCTTCCCAATAAACACGACTGAGTTGAAGATAACTCACAAATCGAGAAATGGATCGTTCTATTAGACAGTTGCAACGCTTTCGACAGAGGAGGTTAGGTCGTGGATTTCATGTAAGGAACGTAACACAGTCGAAGACTTTGGATATAGAATAAGAAAGAAAGAAATTAACTTTAAAAAGGGGGGGGGGTAAGGGAGAGACACTAAACAAAGGAGAAGTGTTATCGTTGAGATGCACAGTTCTAAGCTCTTCTATGAAAATTTGGTGAATCTGAAAAGAGCCGTTTGCTTTGTTTCGAGTGAATACGGAACTATTTGATGCCGGAAACAAGCCCTCTTTCTGCCCTGCAGGCTGATTCTGCGATGATGTGGAAGACTGTCCACAGGGCAACTCATCATCGCTATCGCTAAGCATCATGAGGTCTTGTTCGGCTTGTTGGTTTCTTGAGCCGGGGGTGGGTGGGCCAATGAGTTCTAGGTTCTGAGTTAATTTCTTTCTTTCTTATTCTATATCCAAACTCTGGGCAGCTCAATTGTGTGCCTACACTGGTATACACACCGGTGAACTCATGGGCGTCGCCAGAATTTTTTCTAAAGGGGGCAAAACATATTTTTCCCAAAAAATTCTTGTATTTCTGAACAAATTCTCGATTTCTCAGTTTTAGACGGGGGCAGGGACATTTTGCCCCCCCCCCCCCACTCATTCAATTTACACCACTATGACTTCGCGCCTCTTTTTCTTTTCTTTTTTTCTCTCAGTTTTTTCCCCTTCCTTTTTTGTGTGCTATTCCAGGGGGGGGGGCGCCCCCTTGCCCCCCTCGCGACGCCCATGGGTGAACTAAGTCTCAAATTAACGGAACTCTTCTCTGCATGCTAGTCGGAAGGAAAAAAACTCTTCAAAAAAATGCATCAGCTCACAGAGCCTCCCGTCCTCGTAATTGTTTGCATCCCAAAAAATGTAAAGAAATGAGGAACGGCCCTGATGGTGCTGATTCACGGCAGCAACTCTCTTGGAATAATAATTATCCTACAACAAATTAATATCGACGATTTATTTCCTGACCGGTTTTCCTTGGCCTTGCTATTTTCTCAGCCATAAAATCACTTCTCAAAGAATTAAATTCTGTGCTTAATAAGAATTCCTGGTGGCGGCCATTCTCCTTCCCATGTTATTTTTTGATGTAGTAGCGGCATGTATGATTACGCCCCTTCCCAATAAACCCGTGGCACTTTTGCCTTCGCCGTGGCGCTTTTGCTTTCGCCGTGGCGCTTTTGCGCTTGCCGTGGCGCTTTTGCGCTTGCCGTGGCGCTTTTGCGCTTGCCGTGGCGCTTTTGCGCTTGCCGCGGCGCTTTTTGTTTTGCCGTGGCGCTTTTTCTTTTGCCGTGGCGCTTTTTGTTTTGCCGTGGCGCTTTTTCTTTTGCCGCGGCGCTTTTTGTTTTGCCGTGGCGCTTTTTCTTTTGCCGTGGCGCTTTTGCGCTTGCCGTGGCGCTGTTGCGCTTGCCGCGGCGCTGTTGCGCTTGCCGCGGCGCTTTTGCGCTTGCCGTGGCGCTTTTGCTTTTGCCGTGACAGTTGTGGGCCACCGTAGGCACCAGACTAAATCCACATAATTCATATCCCAATTGCGAATAGTGACCTAATAGGAATATAAATTTTAAAGAAATGTAAAGTTGGTAGCACTCATTAAAATTAGAAACGATGGAAATTCTAAAACAGTTTTTAATAACTTGTTTGATTCAACAATATTTTTCTCAGGTGCTAAGTAAGAAAAAAATGCGAAAAATGTCAGAATACATTGGTGTCATGTATAATTATCAGGTCTTTAAAATGTTGTTTCTCAAGTATAAAGAAAAACATAGAACAAAGAGGGGAAGGTTTGTTGCTTTTTGTTTTGTTTTGTTTTGTTTTAGTTTGTCTTTTTAATTCGGGAGTGGGAAAATTCAAGTTACTGTAATTTTAAATTAACCTACCATTTCTTCTTCTTTTTTTCCCCTTTTTTTGGCGGAATTATGCTTTAGTAACGGTTCAGTCACTTCAGCTCAAATTAATGGATCAAAAACTTTAATTTTCCTTGAGGATCATTCTAATCAAACTTGGGTTTGAATTGTTCAGAAGCTGCACCACAAAATATTGGCTTTTGGCCTTTAATGGTCAGCAGTGAAATCTTGAAGAGGCATCATTCGCAAAGCGGCCGCCGGATATTGTTGTGGGCCATGTTATTTTGCACACCGGTCGCAAACAGTGAACGTTTGGAGGGACCAAAATAAAATCATCCATTCTATAAAAAAACCACCACATATTTTTGTTTTTAAAGAAATTCAATACAAGTATGTTGAGCTCTAAACTATTTTAGATATAAGTAACTAGTTTGTTTCGGGAAAATAGTCTTCTAAAGTAAAAAGATTTAAATTTCAACATTATTAAGCCCCTCAGCCTCTTTACCTGTTCCAGAATGGTACCGCCATCCTCATAGATTGATATCACATTTATCGCGGAATTTCCCAGACAAAATTTCCCTGACAACTGGCTATAAAAAGTACCGTTTCGCAACTATTTCTGAGGAAGAGTTGAACACAAACTCATTAAACAAGTTGTGACTGTTTCGTCATCAACACATCACCATAAACAGGTAAGAAATGCCGACGATCTGTTAAAATTTCGAGTTGAATTGGGAACTTTACTGTCGTGTATTATTTATTTGTGAAGGGGATGGATCGGGAGTGCACAAAAGCCCAAGGCACCGACACGGTATGTCATCGCATTCCTGGGAATCTTGCCGTTTTCCACGGTCGCCATCAGCGGGGATCTGGGTCAAATCTTTCGCTCATCTTCCAGGCTGTAATTTGTAAAAGTATTTTAAACGATGATTAGAAAACGTTGAATATTTTATATAACCTGCAGTTTGTTCACACATGTGAAAACCTGTCCTAGTTTTGTGATTGCAGTAAAGTTGTTCAACCATCACCATTAAAGCATTATTCACTTTCCCTTTATTATACTATTCCTTAGACCTTAATATGTATTTCTTGTCATTTAAAAATCCTTATAAGTCTTGCAACTTCAAAGCTCAAGACAAGTGTCTAAATATTGACATCGTCAAACTAAGAAAAGTTGTGGTCTCCCTCTTGTGTTATTGTAATGGCTTTGCATGATTTGTAAAGTCAAAGATCAGTTGGTAAACCCCTTTTTATTTGTGAACAAAGGAAACAGTTTGATCACAACAATGGAATATTTATATTTGGCGTGGAGGTTTTATAGCGTATGCAGCATCACCAGTGAACTGTGAAGGTTATGAAAACTTTGGATGTGTCTTTAGGCAGTTTGGAATTCCATTTCAGTGGCGAATGCCGGTCGCGAATCAGTTTTGTAGTACCATGGAGGAAGGAACACATTCCTCCATGGTAGTATTGACATATATATATAGGCCTCATGTATTTTTATGTACAATGTAGTTGTGTTTCCTTGTTGAGTCATACCACATACCAGGAATAAACACTACCAAAAGAATATTGCAACCTGAAGCCACTTTTTTCTTCCTATATCATCTCAAGCTCCAAAGGTCAGTCATTGGCTCTAGTAAAAATGTTGAAAAGACATGAATCTGGGACTGAAAAACATTTCCAATTTTGTTAGGAAATACATGTACTTGGAAAATTGGAAAGATTTCCATATAGGAAGTTCACTAATTTTCCTCTGTATTGACTAACAAGCCCCGGCCCAGATAGCAATTTCATGTCATCAAAGTCAATTTGAGCAGTGAGAAAATACAAGCATTTTCTTAGAAAACACTTAGAATTTTTCAGTCCACTCTCATAGGGTTTGTACACAGGGTGTTGAGTGAACTTCTTATATGGAAATCTTTCCGGAAAATTTTCTTGACTCTCCATATATATAGGCTTTGTATACAACAGCTGGAGCGGTGTCTGGATACCACATGCTTTGCAATTCATTTTATATACTGTGCAATTCATAGACATTGTTTCAAAATATTTAACTTTTGGAATGTAAAATTGAAAATTATATTTGAACAAGTCCGAAAGATAAACAGTCCAAATCAGATACTGATTTCTGTACTGTGCATTGGGCTTTAATATTTTCTGTAATGTTCTTTTCAGGTGATTTAAGTATTTGCCAGCAACTATCATAGTGTGCCACTACAGATTAGGAGAGTGGTGAAGGCTTAACGTCATCATGGTGGAATACTACAATGTGCTCGGCGTTTCTAGAGGTGCATCGTTGGAAGATATAAAAAAAGCGTAAGTAATCTGAATTGCTGCTTAAGGCGCTAGTGATTTCCTTCCACAGTATGGGTTCCGTGCACGAACAAGAGAGGGCGCTTCTTTACCACAATCGGGAGCACCGTGGACGGAACACACCGCGTGTGTGTACTGGTTCGCGCACGTATGGTGTAAACTACGCACGACTTATTATAACTTATATTCTGATTGTACCATAGCGTCTTCACGTGAGCATCAGGTGTCATTGGCTATGCGTTCGAATGTCACTCAAAGTGTCTCCCCCAACTCTCCCTTCCTTGCCGTTGAGGGGGTACTTGTCCACGGAGCCTATACCATACCGGCTAGTAGTAGTAGTGAGACATGTCAGTGCATTAGGGGTGCTTGTGTTGTATGATATGATGTTTTGATTTATCAAACAACCAACTCATCTTGGTGCATATGTAGCAAGATATGTGGCAAAGGGAACCCCCTACTGAGGGGGGGGGGGGGGGTAGCAATAGTCTAGGGTGTGTATAGGGTGTAGGAACATGAGGAGGGGGGGGGGGTTTACCCCTTGGTCACAAATTGTGCAGAGTATATTTCGGTAATATGATTTCTTTTTTGCAAATGAAAAAAAAATCATTACAATAATCAAGAGTTTATATTTTTGGTTAATTTAGCATCAAGAGTTGGTCGACAAATTTCAAAATTGTGTCGAGCAGAAACTCACACAAAACATGCAAAACTCACCCAAAAAAATGCATCATGCTTCACAATAAACTATACGGCAGAAATACAATGCACTGTTATTTTAATATCGCAGATTTATTCAGTGAGAAAGAATTTAATGATCTTTTTACAGCTAACCAACTTACGCTTAAGGCATAGTCTGCGAGAACATATGTACATGTATAGGAAGCGTCATCTGTAAATTCCATAAATTGCACAATTTGTGCCACTCGTACATCAGCTATTGAATTAATGTATACAGGGATATGTAGCGTGTATCTCTACTCTGTGTACATTGTACATAACTGAGTATGCGCTGGCACAGCAGACATGACACGATGCATATTTTTGCATGTGGCATACTGGACCTGTCTGAAATGCCATGGCGCTGATGTATCGTGATTGAACAGGTTTATTTATATTGAACGTCTAATTCATCATCGCGACATTACCATATGCTGAAGGTATGTTGTTTTATGATAATGTCTATTTCTTCACTAAACCTGAATTTTGTTCTTAAAAATCTTATATCTGATGATGTACTAGTTCATGATACGTAATTGACACAATGCCAGCAGTTTAATTTAATTGTCATTGCTATAGAAGTAAAAGGGAAAATACAACATTTGCAAACATCAACAAATAAAACTACCAAATCATTTTGAAATACCTTGCTGGACTGTTAGTGAATGACAGTGTAAAGCATCCTGTAAAATCATGGCACCTGGTATACTGTCATTTTCAAGAAAAGTGGTATTTTTGTATCAATTTCCAACGCTGGTCGGCCGACCAGCGTTGGAAAAAACTGGCTCTTTTTTCAAATACTGGCCCCAATTGACCATCGCACTTGTTTGCAATCGATTACACACCTATGAACGGGTACAAGCCAGCTAGACTGGTTCCCTGACCTTACAATTCCCCAATGTATGTAAACTGCTCTGTTTCTTCTTATATGGCGTCAGGGAACCAGACTACAGAAAAATGATTGTTTTTCTTGGTTTTTATAGCATTTTCGAACCCAAAACCTCAAAAAAGTCAGTGTAACTATATTTGCTATATACATGTATTTCCAACCCCCCAGTTCCATCCATTTCTGAAAATTATAGCAAAAGCAAATGATGTATATTCCCTTTAATCTTAGGCCTATGACATAATTTGAAAAAGGATAATTTCTATTGTAGAGCAATCAGAATTTCCATTTCACTTCGAATTCCATTGTTAACACTTTTCTTATCCAAAGGTAATTGGAAAAGCCTATTAACAAATACCGTACCTGTCAAAAACCTTTTGGGCAATTCCACGGTTACTCACGTTACATTTTTGATGTATTTACCTTGGGTTGTAATTACCTTACTGAAAAGGTTTAATAACTGTTATCCCCATGGTAGATAGAGTAGACCTAGACCTTAGTACCTAAGCACCAAAGATGACAAAATCGGTTACTCATGTTACGAAAATGTAACGCGAGTAACCGATTTTGTGCGTCTTGTTTATCATACATAACACATTTTTCTGGATGTCATCTTTGGTGCTTAGGTAGGTCTAGGTCTACTCTATCTACCATTGGGATAACAGTTATTAAAGCTTTTCAGTAAGGTAATTACAGCCCAAGGAAACTCAAAAGTACATCAAAAATGTAACTTGAGTAACCGTGGAATTGCCCTTTTTGAATCCTATAACATCCTGGGCTGTGTAGGAATCATCGGCAGTTTTGGGTGTATAAATTTGAAGGCTCTACAGTTCTCATGAAAAGTAATAGTTGCTGGCCTGGTGTGCATTTACTGGTAGTACGGGAACGGGGTACCTTACTTTAAAGGTAACACACAGGTACCCGGCTACCCGTAAAAGAAACCCAGCCCCAAAATTCAAATCCCGGAAGTTGTCTGAAGGGCTTTATACTTTATAGCTTTGCGGTGTAAACTGTAACTTTTGCGAGCATCATCTGTCGCGCATTAAAATGCACATAATGTGAAACCTGGGTGTTTTTTTTTTGGGGGGGGGGGGTTCCATTAGGCAAAAAATAGTTCTGCTTCCGGTTTCCCTACCTACCCTATTCTGACAGCCCCTACCCTAATTTCTTTATGGGAAAATGAGAAGAAAAAAACACCCAAAACCATCAATTTCTACCTTTTACCCTTGACTACATGCAGACGTCTCCATATGGTCGTACACAAAACAAATTGGCAAAAAAAATTTTTCCCTACCTACCTACCCTATTTTCAAATGCCATGTAAATCGGAAGCTGAACTATTTTTGTTTGGCCTTAGCCTGTTTGAGGTATGGCCAACACAAAGAAGGGCACTAATTGGTTTGGGTAAATACAAAAAGACTTTACCCAAAATCACAAAGCACCTTTCTATTGTGTCTGATACACGTCAAATCTAGGCTAAGGTAGCCTGGTTTTCGTTTTGAAAATTCTCCGGAAGTGGCATTCAAAGCCTTTCTTTTTCCTTGTCTGAGAAGTTTCTGAAAACTTGTAAAGTTGGTAACCGGTACCTAATCCCATGATCTGGAACCGGTTCATGACATCACCCGGTACCCGGTTCCGATACAGCAACCAACCTCTCTAGATACAGCAACATTCTCAACAACCATCTTGTGAAGTTTGAAAGCACTGGGAATGTTGGGGTTAAAGTCACCTTTTCCAATGTCCTTTTCTATTTTGACTTGAAAATGCGACCATGGATTTTGTAGAATGTAATCAGGATGATGAAATCTCTAATGTACAGTACATGTACACTCCACCTTGTCTGCCTAATGCTATACATGTGTGTTGTAAATCAAATGCCACTTATGGATTGTGTATTATGGTTCAATTGTGGTTAGGCAAATCTTTTTCCCAACATGCTGACATTTTGACCCTGGCTGCCTCTAGGGTGTTTTTTTTTTGCAAGGAACATTCCAGAATACTTACATGTACTACGTATGCCAAAATCCAGTATGTTGTAAAGCAGTGACACGTTCTGTGTACTGAAACAAAATTTGGATGACGTCAAATCCTAATTTTAATCCCACCATTATTAAAAAAGACAGAGCTCTGCAGTTCTTGGTCCAATTTCACATGACCGCTTTTAACTGGTTCTTTCTGCTTTTATCTGGTTTTATCAAAGATCAGTTGATGAGAACCCGTCACTAGCAACATAAATTGCATGACATTTTGGCTGGTAACCTGTTTTTGCTAAGCAAGTAATTTCTGTGCTGAGCAGCTCCCGAAAATTGGCCCTAATCCTACATCCAAGAGTGAAAATACTGCAAGCCTTGGAGTAAAGCAAAGTATTGTGAGTAGGGGGAGTGTGGCCAAGTGGTTAGGGTTCGTGACTCATGATCAGAGGGTCAGGGGTTCAAATCCAGCTGCTGGTCATATACATGTACATGTATTGTGTCCTTGGGCAAGCCACTTCACCCCCCACTTGCCTCTCTCCACCCAGGAGTATAAATGGGTACTGGCATTAGCTGGGGAGTAACCTGCGATGGACTAGCATCCCATCTCAGGGGGAATAGAAATATTCTTAGTTGTTTCATGACATGAAATTGGAGATAAACGCCGGCCTGATGAGCCACATTGGCTCGTGACATTACTTTACTTTACTTTATTGTGAGTAGCAACATTTTGGGTTAATAAAAGATTCAGGATCCTGTATTATTCTCACGTAGTGTTTGAACATTCTAATGTCTGTTTTCAACCTTTGAACCCATCTCCAGATATCGGAAGAAAGCGTTAAAATGGCATCCAGACAAGAATCCAAACAACAAAGAGGAAGCGGAAAGAAGATTCAAGGAGATTGCGCAGGCATATGAAGTCCTGTCGGACAGTAAGATACAAGTTTTGTTGTTTAGTCATTTACAAGTTCATAATAATAATAATGTGGTGATTATATAGTGCTTTATACCAAAGGTCTCCAATCACTTCACAATTATTCCCCCTGTTCATTAGGCCATGAGTCCAGTTTTTGCAGCAACTCGAGATCAGGGCATTCTGGTCTCTACCTTCACAGGTACCCATTTATAGTCCTGGGTGGAGAGAGGCAATTGTAGTAAAGTGTCTTACCCAAGAACACAAGTACTATGTTCCTTATCACGTGAGGCGAACGCCGTAACCATTGGACCACAGCACTCCACATGATTTGTGATGAGTTCATCACAAGTCATTCCCTTAACAAGCTATCCAAAGAAACTGTGAGAAGGACATTCCTTTTTTTTCATGCCATGTTACTTGTAATTGTGACAAACCTACATATTAAGCCAGTGTCACTCAGGCCTGAAGTCACTTCTCAGTTGTTTAAGCTTTTACTGCAAATGTGTTTTTTGGCAAGTTAAAGGGAATATACAACATTTGCAAACATCGAAAAATAAAACTACCAAGTTTTTACGAAATACCTTACTAGGATATTGGTAAATGACAGTCTAAAGCATCCTGTAAAATTATGGCACCTGGTGTGAAGTCATTTTCAAGAAAATGGTATTTTTGTATACATTTCCAGCGGTGGTCGGCCGACCACCGTTGGATAAAACCTAACTATTTTGCAACTACTGCTCCAAATTTACCATTTTTTATTCAGTTCAAATTTTGTTTGCTATTGGTTACATATTCGTGAACGGGTGTAGGCCAGCTAGACTTGTTCCCTTACCGGTAACTTACAATTTTCCGGCATCTGGAAATTGATCCATTTTATCTTTAGTGGAGTCAGGGAACCAGACTACTTGAACATTTTTGTTTTTCTTGGTTTTTCAAGCATTGTCGAACAAAAAACGTCAAACATGTCAGTGTAACAAAATTTGATCTACTATACTAACCCCTCAAATAGTTCATTTCTGAAAATTACAGCAAAAGCCAATGATGTACCGGTACATTCCCTTTAAATGCAAACATAAAGGCATTTCTTCCGAATATTGAGCTTGTCATGTTTCATGTGTTCTTTTGTGTCTAGAAAGCAAGAGAGATATCTATGACAGATATGGCGTCGATGGTCTCAAGCAAGGAGGTACACCGTTCCACAGTAAGCATGTTCCTGCTCAGGCTTATCATTGACAAAACCTTGGGGAGGGGCGGAACTTAACACCCCTCTTAAGAAGAGTCACACAATTTGGTGAAAATATCTGTTTTTACTGGGAACACCGGTTGTTTCCACTGGTCTTGGATTATCGAGATTTCACATACATGTATATGGGAACATTTCCAATACTAGTGCAAGCTGAGAACAGTGTGCTGGAGCTGGTTTTTTTTTTTAGTTTTGTTATCATTTTATTCTCACGAATCAAATTTATTTTCTACAAACGCAGTCATTTTGGAACATTTTCTGACTCCTTTATTGTTTGCGTCTGTAGGGTCGGCAGCGAACACCGACTTTGGCTTCAACCACTTTGGCAACTATGGCGGCAACTTCCACTTCACGTTCAGAAGTCCAGACGACATTTTCAGAGAATTCTTCGGAACAAGTGATCCCTTCGCCGCTTTCTTTGAAGGTAAATATTTTTGGATATTTCAAAGTTTTTGAGACGATTTTGGGATATTGTGTTTTTTCAAGCCACAACTTTGTCGATAGTCTTTCAATTAATTCATGATATGCAAATTTATGTAAATTCCATCCTGACAGATTCAAGAATGGGCCAATCACAGAGAGGGCAAGGCAACCTGTTCCAGGAATCGTTTGGAAGGTCAGGTTTTCCAGGGCATGGGTAAGTTTCTTTGTACCTGTCTGGATCATTCCGGCATTCAATCATTGACATACTAAAAAAAAATGCAGTTATCCATCCTACACACTTATTCAACTTCATAGTGTCCCATCATTTTAAATACTTCCTTCCGTCATCGGCTAGCAGTTTCAAACAGTTGTGCTGCACAGGTTTTGAAATTGAAAAATATTGTCATCATTTTTCATTTTTGTTTATTTCAAATTATTAACTCAAAATGTTTTTCATTCATTTATTTTGCGTTTATGTTTTTATGTACTTACTAACAGTTTTTAAAACATTAACTTCAAGTAAGTTTTATTTGTTTATTCTTAGGTGTGAAGATTAAAACTTCAATAGAGGAAAACAAAAGTCTCATTTTATTTCAGTTTTTAATGTCATTTCATTTTCTTTGTAGAATTGTTCACATTCCTAATATTTGTTTAACAATGCTTTTAAACTGTTAAGTTCCAACATAGGCCCACATACACAAATTTACCATAAACATATTCCTAAAACATTTACCACATTAGGCCAACAAAAAAATAGTTCTGCTTCCGGTTTCCCTTCCTACCCTATTCCAAAAGTACCACCCTGATATTTTTTATGGGAAAAATGAGGGGAAAAAACACCCAAAACCATCACTTTCTAGCTTATACCCTTGACTACATGTACACACAGATGTCTCCATATGATTGATTGTACCCAAAAAAAATAGCCAAAAAAATATAAATAAAACATTCCCTACCTACCTACCCCCTTTTTTTCAAATGGCAGGTAATCGGAAGCAGAATTCTTTTGGCCTTACTGCAAACGGCATGTTCATTGAACACATTTCATCCGTTGCGATTATTGCCAAATAAAACCATGTGCTTGATCCATTGGAAAATGCTTATGAGGGAGTGAACTGAAACGTTCCATCATGTATGGAACATTTTGACGTGTTTCTCTACCTCTATTCTTCCGACCTATCTCTCACTATCCCTCTTCAGTCCTCTCACTACCACCAGTTTCTTCACCCCCTTCGGTGATCCATGGAGTTTTTTCCAACCTCGTGGGTAAGAAAGACACATAAAGACCCATGAACAAGAACCCTGAACTGCCTGTACTTGTAGTACGCCTAGCTAACTTTCATTGCTGTATTGTCTCTGTGCATTAACATAGAGGGCGCCATGCTGCATAATCATTAGAGCCAATTGAGGGTACATGTATGAAAGTCGGGTCATGCGTATTAACAGAACATAATGTACTTAACCAATTTCAGGTTATAACTTAGCTTACATTAATGAGTTTGGTGTCGCTGTTTTTTTTACACAAGGAACACGAACACTTCTGGGTGTGCAGGTTTTTTTGTATAGCAGTTTGCCAGTAGAGAGCTATGAAGCTCAGCCCAAACGAGCTTGAGGTCAAGGGTCAGCTGTAGCTCTCCTGTTAGATGCTGCTAAAAATTACTGTTAAATAGGAGCACTGCGTAACTTCACGAGCAAAGAGTTTCTCTGTTGTTTTAAGCAAAAACAGAATATTGTCAGTGACTAACTTAACATGTTTAACAAGAAAAATGCAATACAGGGTTAAAAAAGACGTTTAATCTTTTGGAAGGGGTTGAAATTTGATAAAAAGTCAACAGAGGGACTCAGATCACAAAGTGAGGAATTCAACCCCACATCTATGTTTCAGCTTTCAAACTAATCAGCATGTAGGTTTTCCATTAACTTTATTTCATTCTCACATGTACATTTAGATGTAGCACCTGTGCTTTTTAGTTTAATTAATAAGCATTTTTTTGTAGAACTCTTGAGCTCTTTGTTGAATATTCTAAACACACTTGACATTTCGGATGTTGCTTGTTCAACCTAATGACAATGAAAATTATGCATAATTTTTCATAAACTTTTTCATTAACCTTGTGGAATGACCAGAAAATGTGGACGCCTAATGTGTCAGACGCCGTGATTAGAGACGGAACCACTACTTTAACCAACACAACATATGGAGCTGCCAAACTCCCACACCTACTATTGCTTGCCGTCCTCCTTTGTTCCCAATCCTTAATAACTACTCCTTTGTTTATATCCAATATCTGTCAACTAATAGTTCAAATTTGCCTGTTATCCCCCCCCCCCCCCCCGTTTTTACAACCTGGCTCCTCCCCCATGATGAATCGTGTATTATATTCCCTCTGCCCGACGTCAATGCATGGATTTTGACCTGCTTGTCTGCATGATGACTTCTCGTCTGTAGTGCTCAGAGTACGTTCTTCTCTTCAAGTTTTGATGATGGCTTCGGTAGTTTTGGTGGTTTCGGTTCATCTTCAGGGTAAGTACACAAAGACAATTATCGCTGTTCGGTGTCTTAAAAGGCTGGGAATGTCTCCATTTAGTTTGTCGAGTCTCAAGTCACTCTGGTCAAGTCTCAAATCACTCTGGTCAAGTCCCAATTTATTGTTTTTAACCCTGCACTGCTCAGGGCAGTTGGTAGCGACTACCCAGGAAACATAATCTGTGCACCAAAGGGTAAAGAAGAAACAAGAAAATGCCAATCCATCTTTTGCAAATAAATGAGATAAAATTCCTGCTTTCTTTCACAGGTTTACATCGTTTTCTTCATCGTCTTCATTTGGGAATGGACCAGCCAATGTAAGGAGTGTATCGACATCGACAAAGATGATTAACGGCAAAAAGATCAAAACGACAAAGTAAGTTTAAATTATCAATTATCCCAACTTCTCTTTACTTGCTCTGTGTCATACTTGTCTCTAACAACCTCTTTAATGTCATACGTTTGTAATCCTTGAATCAATTGAGGGTCTCCTAAGAATGACAAACAACCTTCCATACTAGCCTTGAATGCAAGGCTGTGTGTGTGCTGTATCATTGTGCGTGAATCTTCAGGCACTAGCTGGCAGTAGCTAGCTGATTGCCCAGCTTGGCCGAATCCACAAACACGGCCAAATACCCATCCATTGCATGCACGAAGCCCACAGCACATTACATGTTCACACACTGCCGCCATGTGAGAGTCCCACGTGCACTGGCTCTTGTATTGTATTACGCTCGAGGACAGACAACAAAAGGAGCACAAAGGAGCCTTTGACCCTCGGACGACGGTGCCTATTGTTAAAACCGGTCCTCGATCGTACGGTTATGTGCTTAGTCTATGGGAAAGTGTTATATTAGAGGGACAAAGGAAAACACAATAGTTGACCTCAGGCGTATAGTAAAAAGAGACGGTGGGGGTGTACATACATGTGTGAGTGAACTCACACAGCCTTGATTATTGTGTAACTTCCGGGTTTTACGTTTTTCTTTTCTTTACGTCGGGATCCCGAGGAAAATGGAGGTGGGGGGAGGGAGTTAGGAGAATATACAAATTATCAAATGTGAGTAATGTAGGTTTCACAACGGCTTGTTATGCCACAGATCAATGATGGTTGGTTTGGTGACCCATCGCTCGTGATGCGACCCAATCCATATTTTTAAACATCTTGGCGTGTCCAATCAAGGGTCAATCAGATCCTGTTTGATCGTAAGCAGCTCATTCTCATTAACGCAACCAGAAAACCCGGAAGTTACAGTTGAATCAAGGCTGTGTTCCTTCAGAGCAGGGGCTGTGACTCTACATGGGGCAGTACTATACTGCATGTGTACAGTCGACTCTCGTTAGTACAAACTCTGTTAATACAAAATTCTGGTTATAACAAACATAAAGCCTTGGTCCCGACTGTGCATTTATGTGCACAATGAATGGGACTGATGTTCCTCTTAATACAAAATTCTGATATAACAAACAATTTGGCTAGGTCTGAACTAGCCCCATAAATGTGGCCTATTTACTGGACTGCCTCCGTAAACATAGGCCACGCATCCACATGTACAAAAACGTGTCGATTTTGCCAAATTTTGATTTTCACATTTAGGCTTACTTTGTAGGTTTTTTTCGCTTTAGAAGCATTCTCACCCTCTATATAGGCTAATCAGAAAGTGCTGCCTTTTTCAGATGTCTAATTTTTGTGAAATTTCATGTTGAAATTTTGATACGCAAACGTGTGCAAATGTATCTGGAAATTTCACGAAAAATGGACATCTGAAAAAGGCAGCACTTTCTGATTAGCCTATATAGAGGGTGAGAATGCTTCTAAAGCGAAAAAAACCTACAAAGTAAGCCTAAATGTGAAAATCAAAATTTGGCAAAATTGACACGTTTTTGTACATGTGGATGTGTGGCCTATGTTTACGGAAGCAGTCCAGTAAATAGGCCACATTTATGGGGCTAGGTCTGAACGAGTTTGTTATAACGAGAGTCGACTGTACATGCACTGTGTGGGCTTCGTGCGTAAGATCGACGGATCGGGGTTTGCCGTGTGTGTGGACGCAGAGCCCGGTAAGCTACGGCCAGTGATGCCTGCACATACACATATACAACCTTGCATTCAAGGCTATGCCACACTGGTCTCTTGTAGAAATCAGTTTTGGATCAGTGAAATAAAACCAACTACAGCCTGTCTCAAAAAAAATGGTACAATCGAAAACGATTTTTTGTTCAATATTAAATCTCAACATGAGTAAGTCGTTTTGAGCATCACATTAAAGAAAAAAGACCAGGCTTTCCAATACTTTTTGTTTCATCTCATTTGCTTTTGTAAATCCAGAGATAACTCCAGTTTAGTGCGGAACACAAAAATCAAGTTTGTTTCTTTTGCCAAGTTGCAATCTTTTGTGAGCTTCAAGACAGCATGGCACAGTACTCGAAACAACTCTGCCCATGCATAAAAGTGGCACAAAATCGATTTGGGTGTATCGCACTAAATTGATTATATCTCTGAATTGACAAAAGCAAATAAGATCAAACAAACACTATTGGAAAGCCCAGTCTTTGTTCTTTAATATTATGCCAAGTAAGAATGACTTATTTTGAAATTTCATATTTAACCAATTTTTTTTCTGATTGTACCATTTTTTTGGAGACAGGCTGTATAATTGGATCTGACCCTCCCACCTGTGGTTCACATTTTTTTTCTTCAACTGATCCATCTTGCCCTTTTGGGGCAAAGTTTCTAATTAGCATTGTATTTAATAATTTAAAAGTGTAGGTCAAAAATCTATTGTTAACTTTTACCTTGGAATTGCAGTGTTGGAATCACTCTAAGTGGATGCAATTTAATTTTTTTTTTCCCGTTGATATTTTACTACTCCTTGTAGGATTCAAGAAAACGGTCAAGAGACAATCATCAATGAAGAGAACGGCATGATCACGTCGAAGACAATCAACGGTGAGCCGCAGCCGATGATTGCCAACTAGTCCTGAATGCCAGGTTTGTACCGTCACTGCTCTGTGCCGTCACTTTGTGCCAGGAATCCTATCTGGCTTGCTCCAATGAACTAGACATTTGGACCATCGCTATCTTTTGCAAGTTGAAGTTGCTATCAACCTTTTACAGTTTGGAGTCCGGACTCAATTTGCTACAGATGTACAGCGTGGTAGATTGGTTGGTGATGCTCAGTAGGAGAGTCCAGCCTAAACTACGCTTACCCAAGTTTTTTTAATTAAGGGTATTCGTCACTTTTGCGGCTTTTCAGCAACGGCTCATGGCTGTGCTTACTGGAATTATTGGATCAAATCTTAGCTTTTGTTATATCGTTTGGAATCCAAGTCAAAGTGAATGCCTTTTGAACAAGAAATCTGCATGCAGCATTTTTTCTACCAATTTTTGTACAAAATTCTGACAGCAGAATAAGGAAGATGTGAACAGATGAGTAGTGCCTGTTTTTGTAACCTGTGGACTGCTACAAATTTGTGATAAGTGATATTATTGGGGGCTAAGTTTGCGTTTTGTTTTCAGGCATGCAACTTTTGCTCGGATCCGCTGATTTCCTCGTTTTTAACTTCTCGTGAATGCTATTATAAAGTGAAAAATACTGTACAAAGTCTTGTGTGGTTTAAAGTTTCCTCGTTTTTTTTTCTTTTTCTAAATTCCCAGTCGCATGCCTGTGTTTTAGGAAACATGAAATGTGCAATTGTGAATAGAACATTTGGGGCAATGTTTAACAAGGACAGACTTATTTAAAATCGAATCTCCTCTCAAGATGGGAAAATCAAAGTCCAAATCAAATTTGAATGACATCCTCATGTGGAATTTTCATGTTTCATTTGGCTTGTTTCTTTTCATACCTATTTGGAAACAGTTCACTGTATATTAAAATGACCTTGTAAATTACCTACAGATGATGTTTGTGATGTTTGTATTAAATTTGCATGCTTTTTAAAAGATTATAATCAAGGGGGAAAAAAGAGAATATTTTGAGTGTTATCCTTTATGAAATTCAGAAGATTTGTCTTATTGCATCTGCATGTGTATAAAACAAAATGTTATGTTATATAATAATTGGATCTTTATGTTACAAAAGCCATTGTCAAAGTATTCGTATCTAGCAACAAACGTTTTGTCACTACATTTGTAGCGCCAGACAAGTTTTGAGATGAGCTTCATTTTGATTTTTGGTACACTTTCTGGGTACAGAAATAATGGCTGCTAAACTTGGAGGTAAATTATAAGACATTTTATTGGTCCTGAGTTTACTGATGTAATTTATTGTTGAGTGTTTTGTTATCATTCTGCAGACTGTTTTTCATGATTTGTTCTTTCATTCTTTATGAGAAAACTCTTCACGTTCATCCTTTTTGTGCTGTTAAGTGTTCTAATTAATTTTGTTGCAAGTTTATGAAGCGCCCTCTATTGGTTGTCAATGGAAAGTCACATTGGAAACGTACGGCTTGTGTGCCTGCAATTACACCGATTACTATATGGCTGCGTCTTTTTGCGATAGATTGATTAATGAAATATACAAAAGAAAGGGAATTTACAGACAAATTTAAAATTTTTGTAAAGCAGAAAACCAATAGAGGGCGCCTCCGATTTCTTGTGAAACAGTTCAAACTGTTCAAGTGGTGTTAAACTTGTTTTGTTGCACCATTCGTCAGTTCAAATTGAGCAGGTTTCGCAATGACTTTTGAACAGATAGTCACTTCTCAATAGTTTGTCTCCATAAGGATTAAATACGGAAAGAAAAGACGATCATTTCATTGCGTTCATAGCTACATACTAATATTTTGTCATAATGACAAGTGTATAACATTTTGATTATTGAAGCTAAGCGCTGTATTTATCTCATAGTGTTGCTTTGAATCTATAGTGCCCATATGATGCGTGATTATTTTAAAGATAATATTTATTTCTGTAAATATTTTCCCATAAATACCGATATTGATAGAGAAGTGAGCATGCGCATATCAAGCCGTGCTCGTACATACGTGCTGTCCTTGTGCGTGCGGATAATAAAACACGGACTTAAGAAATGTCTCGACATTTTATTCTTTTTGTCATGTCAAAAAAAACTAGAAGGAAAAAGCCGATTCTGTTTTAAACTATGAAGTGTATCCTTCCTAATTACAACGTCAATGCATAATCCATCCTCTTGCATATTTAACTTGTGGAAGCGCGCGTTTTGATTCCCGATTGACCAATCACAGTGGGGTAAATGACGTGGCGTATTACGATTGGTTGTAGATCTTCACGTGACAAATATACCTCGGCGTGGGAATCGGCTTCACAATCATACATTTTTACCATCGACCATGCATCATAGCCCGACCCTGCCAAACATTGTGGGCATGCATTTGCAACAATATTTGTGGGCATGCATTTGCCCTTATACAAGTTATCATTAATTTTAGAATTAAAACCTCATGATTTTAATTTCGTATGAGTAGGCCCTACGCACGCTCATCACGCGGAGCTCGTACCCGTACACGTGATATAGTAAGCTTAATATGCTTCTGATGTTTACCAGTCCCACTCCGCCAAGGTTTGCGGTTTCCCATTGTAAATTCTTGGGCGAGCGTTAGGAAGAATTATTAAGGGATTATGATGTAAGGAGTTATATTAGGAAAATTATCTCCATATTGCGCCGATGGGGCACCTGATAAGTGCGAATTAAGATTAAATTAATCCATCGTTCAAATACCTTTTGGGACCTTACGAGGCATAGTACAGGGCTATGATTTGGTGTCTCTAAATCCACGGATCTCCACCACAAAAGGTTTGTGTTTAGTACGAAACGGTGAACAAAACTTGACTATTGTTCGGAAACATGCTTTTTGTTGCAAAGTGCACTGAACGGAAAATAATTTGGTGGATAATTGTTTATGGTTTACGGAGTTAAAAACTGGATTTTGTCAAAGAGTTATTCGACGAATGAAAAGAACACTTCAATAACTGCACGTTGGAAAACAGCAACTCATCGCAGCGTACAAGAGTGACCATTTTGATACTGCGCTGCAAGGAATAGCGCTTCTAAGATACAACGGGATAGATACCAAGGAATATACGTCCTTTTCATCATTTTTTTTCAGCGTCGGAAGTGGTAGATATCACTGTTGATTTTACTGAAAGCAGCTATAGAATTTGAAACGGGTATCGAGATTTGTCGATATTTGACCGAAGAATAGATGTTTTATCTCACAACGCTTCCATCAAGTAACGGCGATATCCAACACACATGGTATTAAAAAAATATTTGGTAACATCGGTTGGGAAAAAAAGAGGATTCGTGACATTCTAGATTGGTCAATTAAGGTAGCGGACAAAAGTTGGAGGAATATGAAAATGGCTGGATTAATTCGAATAGCGCTGCTCCTCTTGGGTCTGTGCGCGCACAACTCGGCCTTAGCCATCCCCAACACGACCCACACTCCTACCAGTACCACACAGTCATCAGAGTTAACAGCATCAGCCAACAATGGGACCATCTCCCTGATTCCCGCCGTTGGACAGCTGATGAGTGATCTGGAGGACATCCTAGCTAACTTGAATCTCACCGTTCCGCTGCCCGTGAACGTGAGTGAGGAGTGCGATCTACCGACCATTGCACCGCCTGAGGAGATTGAGAGAGTGCGGTCCGAGAACGAGGGACTGCCCATCGAATGCAGGAAAGGTAAATGTTGATCATGTATGTAAGATTTGAGGCTTTGCATGGTGAAGATACTAAATAATGAAAGGTTTGCGGAAACACTATGTGCGAATAATTTCTCAACTAAGAGAATGGTTCTGAAAAGAACCAAAGGTATAAACTCGACGTTCCGGTCAGTATGCTCTGACTCTCCTGAAGACGGTCAGAGCATACTGACCGGAACGTCAAGTTTATACCTCTGGTTCTTTTCAGAACCATTCTCTTAGTTGAGAAATTATTCGCACATGGTGTTTCCGCAAACCTTTCATTATTTGATCATGTATGCCTGATGTACATTATACGTCTTGTGCACTTATCTCTTTGTTCTGGAATAGGTCCCAAGTTCGCAAATGAGTCGTACATTAAGTAGGACCTCATGCGCTGAAGGAATGAATATGGGTGGGGGCGAGCTGACGTCTCCAATGAAAACATCTATTCATTTGCACACGTTTTCATCGGTTGCAATATGTAACCATTCAGCACTCCAGACTCAGGAACCATTGAGTTTCAAGAACATAGGTCTGGGAGCTAGATAAGACGATGGAAAACAATTCCGAATGTCCGCACCCACATGCAAATATATATATATACCAAAACATTTTTATGCATCATCATTTTTATTTCCATCTGCACTTTTTTTCAGTTACGTAGTGCTAAAATGAAAATTAATTAGTTAGGCTTTCTTAACTGTTGTTATTAAGCTTTATACATTGTATTGTATATGACCTTGCGCAATAGCAGTCAAGGACAGCTGATAATAGATACACCATCATTCAGAGTTACTAGCCCAAATGTGGCTTAAAATATTAATGTGCTATCTTGACATTCCTGGGTGTTATTTTTTTACATAAGTTAGGTGTAATTATAAAAGCCTTAGATTTTTTCACAAATGTGATGACAAATAAGATTTTGAATTTCGTTAATGGTTGCGTAATATGTAACATAGTAACCTAGTGTTACCAAGATAATATAATATTCGTAATTATAGGACTGACTGTACAGTACAATTTTTCTCATCTTTGTTCCAACCTGATGTGATTCTGATACTGATTGAAATGAGTTTCATTAATATGAAGTTTCATCAGGCTCTTACCGTTTCGTTTGCATTGCCCACACTATCCAACGAGTACCATTCACTCCTTTTATATTGTTCCTTACTTAAGTTAACGTAGCCCACTTTATTTTTCAGATATTTTGGTTTCCCATTTTCTATGCACTCAGCCACAAGAAACAATTCAATTAAAGACGTCAGTATTGGAGTAATGACGCGTGTTCTGCAGCTAATATATTGGCCTATGGATGCCAAAAAAAGTTTCGATAAACTAGAAAAAGTCTGCTAATTACTTTGCAAAACAATTTCTTCAACAAATTTATTATACAATCATGCAAATGCTTGTCAAAACATTGGAAAATCGAATTCTGAATTTGCTGATTTACACAGCCACCGAATCAAACAGAATGGCATTAAAAAATATCTGCAGGCTTATGTTATTTTACAGCATAATTTTGACAACTTGATTCAAAATCGACAGGTGCCTTAGTGAAACAGGTGCACTGCATTATTGTAAAGCAATTTCTGTCTCCAAAAATTCTTATTAATGTACGCATACACTGTAAAAAACGATACATGCAACTACCTAATTTAATTGAGTATTAGTACTTAAAACATATGCTAATAAGTGAATCGAGTTGACCAATCCCACATGGATCTTTTGTCAGCCCGGTTTCATGATGTCTGACTCTTAAATGAGTGAAACGACAAATGATTTTGATATTTTCATCATTCAGATTTTGATGAAGCTCTGGCGATTAAGTTTGACGTATTGTGTGTTACTTCTGTTAAGCCCGCTCAATTGTTTTGTGTGACCGTACACCTTATACCCTTTCGTACTTCCACAAACACCCTTCACTCAGTATCAACAAGTGACCCTCAAGAGAAAACTTCATGTCAGTGGCATTTTTGCAACCATCGCACATCAAAGTGTCGAGGTATGTGCCATCTTCACTGAACTGCCTGATAACGCCTGATACTGCAACATAAATGTTACCAGTTTTATCGCAGCACACCAATCCTGGCAGGCGGCCCCCACACTTGACATTTTTGAATATTTCTTTGCCATCAAAGTCTATGCACCGGAGTTCGAGGTGTGTTTTGGAATAATCTGTGTTTGTGTAAATGAGCCGTTTGTCACTGATAGCCAGATGATGACCAACCTTAGGCGCAGGCAACGTTTTGATGAGGGAACCATTTCGGTTGTGTGTAGATATCGTATCCTTGCCCTTATAACCCACTGCTATTTGGTGACACCCTTGCACTGCGAGGCATGTTGGTGTGCCAGCAATGTTTGCCTCTGTAGCTGGTGTGAACGCGTACAATTGCTTATATTCTTCGTTCGCAGTTTTAACATCAGGGCCGTCTAACATGATGATTGTATCCATGTCTAGTATTTCAAGAGCAAGTAGATTTACAGGTGTAAGCGAATTCGTATCGTATTTCCCAAAACCCCTACGATATCTATCAATGCCTAATTTATCCCGTCTACCACAAACAACGTTCTTTGTTGAATATGCTGCAAAGCATGTAATATTCCCCCCAGCTGTTAGTACCTTCTCCCATTTTTCTCCCAACAACAGACTCCCAAGCTCACTTGCATCGTGACTTTCCTTAAACCCAAGAAAAGACTTCGTGTGGTTTATACTCGATCGTTTCTGGAATTGCACTTGTTCTCTCAGATCTTGTAACAGTTCTGTCTTGGACTCGAGGACCTCGTAGCAACTTGATGTTGTCACCACTCTGTTCACCTTGCTCACCACATGTCCTGCTGTTACCGGATAAGCAAATTCATTGTCCCTTTCCTTAAAAATATCTTCAGCTCCCTGTCTCAGTTGTTGTTCTTTCTGTCTGATTTTGGCAATCTCCTTCTCGGCCTTGATTGAAATTGCGATCTTTGTTCTTCTCAAGTGCGTCGCTAGTCTCTGGCGTGAGTACTTCGTTGCTAACGGATTGGTTTGAGCAAACTCTTGCACGCACTGATTTGTTTGAGTAACTGCATCATTAATTTCTTGTTTGCATTTGTTGAAAGCTTCGTCAATGTTGCTATGGAAGTGAGTGGAGGGCTCATGGTTGGAAGAAGCGCATTTGTGGCAAATCAGGACATCACACGAGTTACAGTACAAGCAAACCTCCTGTCCTGGATGTTCCTTACACTTAGGCACAAAATCCTTGAGTTTACCGTCTGGCCCCAGTTCTTCCAAAGTTGCAACCTTGTGACTCCTCAGTGCTGCCCAGCGCTGATGTGCTCTCTGGCATTCCTTGCAGAGGTAATGCTCACAATCCATACATCTCGAAATAGCCTCATTCTCCTCATCACAAGCCTGACATATGACCCTTGGTACTTGATCTCCGTCTTGATCTTCCTCCTTAGTAACACCCTCTTGGCAGCCAGGTAGTTGTTCTACTCCATCTGTCAGAATGGTTTCCTTGCGGCATAAAGGACAGCCAATTTTCTTGTCATCCTTGTTCTGAGCTTGTTTGAGTTCTTCGAGACATTTCAGGCAGAACGTATGTGAGCACTCAAGCATCCTGGGATCCTTGTACTCGGTGAAGCAGATAGAGCATTCCTGTGTTTTCTTGGCAGTTTCCGCCGATCCTGTCTCAGATACGCTGCCCTCTGCCATCTTTCTGTCCCTTTGGTCGTGGTCTGAAAGGGGAAAATTATGGGCCTATATTGAAAAGGGAAATTTTTGGCGTTCGCTGAGCCACTCGTTTGACGTTCCGAAACATATAAATTCATGTTTGGCTTACTATTGCTTTTTGTTATCGTTGATTTGATGTGCGATTTTGGTATTACACAGAATGCCAAGCATTACTTACCTGAACGTATTCCAGAAGATAATGGAGGTACAATCCAAACGTTCTTTAAATTATCCTCTGACAAAGTTATAAATTTCCGTTGCCTTCAGAATGATTTTAGAAATAGGGCGCGTTTTATTTCTAGCTACGCCACTGTTGTGAATATTGCCTGAATATTCACATATTCCATCGCCTGAATATGACCATCAACATTTAAGTCTCTATAGCAACATTGTTGACTATTTTTATTACCTTCGGGTATGTTTACTATGTTTGTGTATGTCACGTTGTGTAGTTGCCATGACACCATTGTGCATAATGCTAGGTTGTTCATTATAGTGAGCGAGTTATACACGGCTTGCACGTAGACCCTGTCTACATTTTGATGAGTGTCAAAACGCAGTGATGCATATCCTATCCGATAAAATGTGCCTGGCCTCAACACGTTTTGTTCCTTATGAGATGACGACTACTAATGTAGAACACTGTTGATGCATTACTTAATTTTGAATCCGTCCCACCCTATACAATTCAAATTGAAGTATGAAGCGGGAAAACCAACGAATAACGGACCCTCTTGCATTCAATCCTGGAAACGCGCTTTTTATTACCGATTGACCAATCACTGTAATGTCAATGACGTGACGTAGCACGATTGGATGTATTGTTCACGTGACAAATCATCAGTGCCACCATTCTTCTCATCTTTTGGCATTTTTAATTCATATTTTGTTATGTATATACTTGTTATGTTTCCAAAACCAGTTACCATTTTGGTATGAAAAACCTCATTATTTCAATTAAAATGAAAAATATATATATATAAAAAAAAACGCACGCACATCACAATTTACATTACTGTGCACTTCTTGTGTACTTGTTTCTTTGTTCAGGAATAGGTCCCAATATAGCAAAGAGTCGTGTTGGTGTCAGCGGTGGGATAAGTCACTGCATGCCCTCAAGGAATGAATATACAAAAACATCTTCCAATGCTATGTGCATCATTATTATTTCCACCAATTTTGATTGTATACGTATAGGTCTATAATAAAACTTTTTAAGGGGCCCATGACATGAATTTTACTAATGAACATAATTTGTGCACATTTCTACTCTTAAAATTAAATTATGA